CAGTGTTTTTATTCTACACTGAAAAAAATATCTATTAATATTTAGTATTGAAATGATCCAAGTTTATTCAACAACCGGTGTGTATTAACTTCTGATCAGAACTATCAGTGATGCTTATCCTTTTCTTGGACAATCTTGCAAAATCAAGTTCAAATAAAAAATCATCTCCAAATTTGAGCGCACTGTTCAATTTCTCTAGTTGTTGATGTCATTTACAATGACTTTTAAACCCAGCCTCAACCTTCTTTCCACCTCTCTGGAAGCAGTGAGTTAATCTATGGCTTTTCTTACTGTGAGCTGGCAGCAGAGGTTGTTACAAAGCTGAGTTGTAAGTAGGTGTTAGGTAGTGGCTGGTATGTAGCAATCTCCTATAACCAACAGTCCTGCAGCCATTTTGCAAAGCCTGCTCAGGTGTTGAAAATGATCTACTCAAGTAGTTCATGTGTAAATTCTTGCCTTTGCAGCAACATTGCACAATTGGTTTACTCGGTCTGAAATGTAATAACTTAATTGTAATTAGTATTATTGATTTATTGCTAGCATATTTAAATTGCTTCCTCATATTAAATCCTAGTATATAAAAAGTGTACATAAAGTTTTGTATATAAAAACTTAAAATACAAATCAAGTTTTTTAGGCATATAGGGTAAGGGTCAGTCTTTTCTAACCTTTACTAGTTTCCCTTGATTAACATCTTTGGGTACAAACAATGTCAAACAATGGGACTTTGGGATGACACAGTTATTACTTGAGGGTTGAAATAAGAGCCTCGTAAGCATTAATATTATGCTACAATGCCCAGGTTTAGTTTTCCAGAATCCTCTTGTTTTAATGCATTTTCTAATTCAGAACTAGCGTTCACACACAACATCAAACCCTGAAGGAAATGCATGAACTAAGGACATTTCTACACAGAAATATCTGATAGCATCTACAAAATATATTCCATTTAATGTTGCTCCATTTCTGCCAATAACTGCACCTTTTCATACAATCATTTGAATTGGATTGCCTGTCATCGGGTTTGGATGGCCGTGTACTGGTGCAGAAAAAACAACAACAAAAAAAACAAAAACCGAAGAGAGCAGCACAGAGAACCGTCATTCGTTTGTACTACTAATTGCCAGAAATAATGCCCCCCTTTTTTTTTGACAGGATTACACGTGAAAATGACCTCATATGTTGTAAAATGGATTTGTAGTGGGGAGAATGCATTTCTACACGCGGCAAAGCGTTTGTCTTGATCACCAGAGTTCTGAGTTTGTGATCCATTGATCTATAAATAGAAGGTGAAGTTGAGGCTATTATAGTGTGGTATTGTAACCTGAACAAAATCGTAACAAATGAAGTTGTTAAGAAGATTATGTCAGCTTGTTAATTGTGTGTCAACAAAACATACACATTGCCTTTTGGTGTTGATTTGTAGTTTGAAGCTTTTCAATAATCTTGATTTTTTTGTTCCTGTTTTTAGTGGTAGATTCCACCAACAACAAAAAACTGAATGTTTAAACTGAATCGTTGACAAATCACTGTGACCAAACTAAAAACTCTGGTAAATGATATTAATACACTTTTGCTAATAAATTAGGAACGTTTCCTAAATGAGCGACAAACAAGTACATTGGTACATAAAAACACTAAAATCAATAGTCCTCCCTATTGATCTTCAGATGATTCTCAAAAGACCAGAAAATTAAAATACACTGCCCAAAAAATAAAGGGAACAACTCCAATAACACATTCTGGATCTGAATGAATGAAATAAATATGAAAATCATTTCCACCTGTTGTCTATTCCATTTGCACAACAGCAGGTGATATTGATTATCAATCAGTGTTGCTTTCTGAGTGGACAGTTTGATTTCACACAAGTTTGGTGACCAAAACTCACAAGCTCTACTCCTCTCATCTCGACCACTGCTCTTCTGCTCTCTGACTCTGGTTGCTATGGTAACGTTTACATATCCCCTCAAAATAAGATACAGAAAACGTACATTTTATTTTTGTGAAAATTTGAACTCACAATAACGACTAATTGGAGCCCTGAGCTTGTTTCTCTGCAAGGAGACGGTTCCATCTGGGCGTGATGAGAGACAATGACACCTGAAGCTTATGCTTATGCACAGGGTTTTCATGGTCTCCAAGTAGAGAAGCAGTTTGAGCTTCATTCCCTCATTAACAGACGGTCATCATATCATGCAGAGCTGCTTGGAATGTGGGAATCACCTACCGGGATAAATCCATTCTCCTGTCTCTTCTCTGGTCTTTTCCCCTCAGCAAAGAAACTTTCCAAAGAATCTGATCTGTTTCTCACTCATTTTGCTGCTTGCAGCTCAATGTTGGCACAAGACGTAACCGAGAGAATCTGGTGAAAGGATTTCCAAAGTAAAAGATCCTTCAGACTCAGATATTACATAAAACAGAAATATTTCATTATTTCTTGTTTGGCTCGTTACCGATTGGTCCGGTCTGCGGCCCGGTGGTTGGGGACCGCTGCTCCAGGCACACTGTCCATCATGTTTTAGGTGTTTCCTTGCTTCAGCCCAGGAAGTTTCAATTATTAGGTATTTGATGAACTGCAATCAGTTGAATGAGGTGCATTAAAGCAGGGAAACATATGAATGATGCAGGGCCGTGTTGGGAAACACTCATCACTAGAGTCACTTCTCATGAATACTGAAAGAAGCCAAATGAGGTGGCCTGGCCATTTGGTCAGGAAGGAGGCCTCCCTGGTGAGGAGTTCTGGACACATCCCACCAGAAGGAGAACCAGAGGAACCAGACCTCTGGTTCTCCTTCAGAGGTTCCCCCTGAGGAGATGAAGTAAGTGCATGTTTCCAGTTCACAATATTCACCCCACTGCTGCCAACTCACTGACTTCCTTGCTGTATTTATTAACATTTCAGACAATAAAAATTGGTATTGATCAAAATCAAAATGGATAAATGGCAATTGACCAGAAAACTGCAATTAGTGCACCCCTACGCAGGATAGAATATATACACATATTTTCATGACATTCTTTGATTAAATACATTTCTCTTAAGTATCATTAAAAGAGCTAAAATTTTAATTTGTACCAGGTGAGTCTTTCTCATCTGAGAATGTGGAGCCTAACTTTAACATTGAGAAGTTTCATTTATTATCAAACTCTATCAAACATATTGTTTTGAAGCCAAAAACCCCAGAAATATTTAGAGCCGACAAGAAGAATCAAGTCATTTAAAGTTAGAAGTCAGTTTCATACAAATACATTCTAGCATAAACTGGACCGCTCAAAGTTGCTATCATGCTAAGTTTCTATTAGCAGCTCCTCAAATGTTTTTGATAACTATTACATTCACAACACACATGAAAACATTCCTTTATCTTGCCTTTTTTTCTATTCTCCCTGTTTCTGAAGGATAAGTTCTTTTTATAGATGTCCTTTTATAACTTATCTTCCACTGGATGTAGCACATCCAAATGTAGCACATTTGGATGTGCTACATTGCGATGCAGGTCATATTACCGGTGAAGCGTGACCTTACCGCGGCCACTAGGCGTCACCCAAGAGCAATTCATTTTTCTTTTTGTGTGAATTCTACATACATTTTTTATCGAGAGAAAGATAGTTTTTTTGTAAAATGAAATCACAACTTCAGAATGAAATTGTGTTTTGGTAATATGATAACATAGAAATCATTTTAATAATCTGCTCCATGTAGGGCGCCCTCTACTGGCCCTGGGGCTGGAAGAGGCTGCATAGTTGCTTGTACTGTGGGCCGGCCCTGTCCAATGGCAGACCGGATGTCTCCGATTAGGCTGCTGCAGCGAACTGACCCCAAATAAGAAGAGATTGGATGAATGGATGCACGGATGGACAGTAAACCCAAAAGTTCTAACATAAGTTTTACAGTCAAAATTTTAATGTATGTAGAAACATAGTCACTGAAAATGAAAAAAGTGCCTTTTGGCCAAAGAAAAGGCATGCTGTTTATGAAATTTTATGATGTCTCATCATAAACATTTGAAGCACACTGGTTTGCAAAACTGAAAAAGGTTCATTTAAAAGGTGTGCAACGACATCAAGTGGAAAAATTGCACTCTTTCTTCAAAGCTGACTATGGAGTTATAGGGATGGAAATAAAACATTAAAGGCTCCTGATCAAGTTGTTTAATTAGATCATCAACAATCTTGTGCAGTTTTATCTGCATGTTTCCCCCTTTCCTCAGAATGAATCAAACTAATGATGCACAAAGATAGTTTTAGATGTTTAAACGTCCTCAGTGAACCGAGCAGATTATCATTTCATAAACCACACGGAGTCTCGTGATCTCTTCCTTGTTCATTCCAAGGTTCAGCTGCTGACCCTAGCTGGACGGGTCCACAAGAGATGTTTTCACCTGCAGAAAGTGAACCATGACATGGACACACAGAGAGGAAAGACTTTCTGTCACCACCACATTTAATCAAAGATTTTACAGTCCAGACTTTACACCATAAGGAAGAACTTTGGAATCAGTCCTGAAGATTTGTCCGTCCTTTGTTCTTCAGAATCAACAGTCTGTAAAGTATAACCTTTTAAAACCCAACGAGTCATTATTTGACAGAAATTCTTCCCACTGTGTGAAACAGCAGCCTGTTAACTGCAGCAGCAGCAGCAGCAGCAGCTGCAGCAGCTCTGGGTTCCTTGATGGAAATTTACCACCAAACACTGTAAAGGGCTCAGTCCAAACCCGGCGCTGATCAGCCGCGCTGTCACAAAGACTTCATCATTCTGAGCTTCCACATACATTTCGATTGACAACTACTTTTCTACTTTTCCAGCTCGCAATGAAGCACAGCGTGAAGTTGAAAATGTTGGACCTGGCGACATTTTAACGGGCATTACTGAACACGATTGATCTGATCAGATTCTAATCAATCACACATGGAAAGTAGAGCAACACAAACATCAGCTATTTATGCATCGGACTAACGTGGACATTACAGGAAAGGAACCGGAATGCATAACTTACCTCCACCGTGCATTTGACAGAGATAAGGAAACCTCCATACGTTCCCCAGTCCGACTGCATATGAAACACAAGCCAGAATAAACTGCGTCGGACTCGCCCAGCTGTCCCGAGCGTCTTTTACCATGACTGCGGTTTGTGCAAACGTTTGCGCTCAACAGCCCAGGGCGGCAGAGTCTGTGCGCTTCGAGCTCACAGGGCTTGAATAGTGGTCACTTGAAGTGGGAGGGACTGACGGACTGCAGACTGACGGACTGCAGACTGACGGACTGCAGACTGACGGACTGCAGACCGGGGGCCGAAGCTTCTGGGATCTGCGCTTCTTTAACAAAATTCAATCATTTGTGGTCAAACTCAGTGGGTCTATTTGTCACATGTTTCGATTAAGACATTCATTCTCTCCTTTCCACAGTTATTTAATACTTAATAAAGTCATAAACCAAAATCCAAAATTTAAATAACATGTAAAGTGGGCGGGGCTTGCGCATAAAGGCTGTGAATATAAAATAACAAAAGCATATGATGCGGAAGAAACATTTTGATGCTTAGTAAAAGCTATGAACTAAAACCTTCACTAAAGTGGAACCATTTCTTATCACTGATAATATTGTATATTTCTCCAGACAGAATAATTAATTGCTGTGTTGAGTCATCCAGTACTTCAGCTCTCATGGCTTTGTTTGTAAAATATTACAGACAAAATACATAAGATTAAAAATGATGATTTTTTTCCATCCTCTTGAACATTATAATTGATAATTAATGTTGAAACTACAAAACTGTGTGTGTGTGTGTGTGTGTGGTGTGTGTGTGTGTGTGCGTGTGTGTGTGTGTGTGTGTGTGTGTGTGTTCATGACAGAATAATAAAAGCTGTTTGAAATGTTAATGAACATGCAATATTGTCGTAAATATACTGGATTTAATCAAATGCTAATTTTCCGTCGTCCCATATAACTGATGACACAAACGACATTCTGTAAGGAGAGCTGAGTCAGCCACAGTATACCTGAATATCCAGAGGACATCCTGAATTGGTCAAAGACATTTAACTCTCTGGTATGGAGATAAAATAGTCTCATAATTCAGAAATGTGCAGATTAAGATTCACAAATGCACAAGATTCACACTGGATGAGATCCATGTGTCAATCAAGAGATATTTTGTGTTTGCATAAGAAATACAAGTGTTCTGTGCATCTCTCAATTATGAGACAGTTTTAGCGACATACTCTGGTGCCTAGTACTTCCAACAGGTGATTAATTGTATCTGAAGCTATTACCCTAACTCAGTATATGAAAGGTACAATTATTTCATTTTACTCCATTGTAAAACAGAGATTGTTTTAGATGTTTAAACCAGAAGACACTGTGTGTCTTCCCTAAAAATATCCTTATTACTAAAACACAACTGGGTTTTCTGCTTGTGGTCAGGTGACAATGTGAAAAGAGCTATTCCTAGAAATTTGCTTTCTAAGAATATGTCTCAGTAGAGTAATTGCATCAGCTTGTAGGTGTGCGATAAACAAAACCTGGTGCCAAATAAGATTCTTGCAAAACATTTGACTTTTAAAAGTTCATTTTCACATTCAATACAGTGCAATTTCAATACACTTTTACCTTTGCTAGGTTAATTGCATGAATAAGACTTTACTTGTAATTTGTGTCTTTGTATTCAAATGTTCTGCCTGCCTGAGAAGAGGCTGTGGCTCTCAGATGGACGCAGCTGGTTGTGTAGTGATAGTTTCATGCTGTGTCCTAAATAATTGCCTTTCCCATGTGAAAAACTGTGTGGAGGGAGGAGCCTGGGGGCAATGTGTGAATCACTACACATGCAGACTGTATGCTACAACACAATCATGTTTTCTTTAAGAGATAGTGAACAAAAACAATGACATGCACACTTTATGTCAGATTTCAGAGTCTGATCCTACATTGCCTACCAGCCATGAGAATTGATCTGTAGCTTAAGATGCACAAAATTCTTCCCTGGCTTTTCTATAATGAATTAAACCATTGGGTGATTTGTGAACATTCTGTTGTACATCAATGTTGTACTAGAATGTTTGATTGTTGTTGCCATGTAAGTGTGTCATGTGACAACTTTTTTATAGGCTGTGAGCTGGAAGAGCAGAGTTTTGATTGGTTGACAACGGGAACAAAATCAAAATAACTAATAGAAAAATTAAATGACTTGTAAATTTTGTGCATGTTTGCTTGATATTTCATTGTTGATAAATAATTCTTAATCAATCAATCAATCAAATTTTATTTGTATAGCACATTTCAGCAGCAAGGCATTTCAAAGTGCTTTACATCATAAACACAAAAACACAAAGTCATGCATCATGGAATAAACAATACATTGTTACATTTCAAATCAAACTCTAATCAGCTGGTTTTTAGTTGAGATTTAAAGGAAGTCAGGGTTTCTGCTGTTTTACAGTTTTCTGGAAGTTTGTTCCAAATTTTTGATGCATAGATGCTGAAAGCTGCTTCTCCTCTCTTGGTTCTGGTTCTGGGGATGCAGAGCAGAACCAGAACCAGAACCTGAGAGTCTGGAAGGTTGATTCAACAACAGCAGATCTTTGATGTATTGTGGTGCTAAACCATTCAGTGATTTATAAACTAACAACAGTATTTTAAAATCTATTCTTTGAGCTACCAGGAGCCAGTGGAGGGACTTTAAAACTGCTGTTATGTCTCTATCTTCCTGGTTTTAGTGAGAACAGGAGCAGCAGCTTCTGGATCAGCTGGAGGATTGATTTGTTGGACAGGCCTGTGAAGACGCTGTTACAATAATCAATGCAAGAAAGATAAACGCATGGATGAGTTTCTCTAGATCTGGCTGAGACATTAGTCCTCTAATCCTGGAGATGTTCTTCAGGTGATAGAAGGCCGATTTTGTTACTGTCTTTATGTGGCTCGCAAGGTTCAAGTCCGAGTCCATCACGACTCCCAGGTTTCAGGCTGATTGCTAGTTTTTAGTTGTAATAACTGAAGCTGTGCATTGACTCTAGATCTATAACTGTAGCTCTATAGCTCTAGATATATAGCTCTAGATTGTTCCTCTTTGATGAGAAGTTTCCAGTTAACAAAGAAGTTTTAATTTTCACATAAATATTGTTATTCTTTTCCCTCTGTGGAAGGTTGAGCTGATTGGCCAATTGGATTTGAGAAGGCCGGGTCTGAAGTTTTAAACAGGTGGACCTAATTTATGTCAGACCAGATAGAGTGGAAGATGACAGAATGCTGATGCTCCACTCTTAAATTTACTAAGCCTTGCCACAATTTCTAAACAAATGTTTATTAAAAGTCCCATATTTCTGCATTTTTGCTGAGAAAAAAAACTCAGCAATATGTTGGCTCTATCCCAGAGTCAAATTAATTGTACTAATTTTTTCTATCTTCAATAGCACTGTGTTTAATGCTGATGAAAAGAAAATAAATCTCCTTTAGTTTTCTGCTCTGCTGGAGTGCAGAACTGTGCAGAACTGTGCAGAACTGTGCAGAACTGTGCAGCTCTCAGCATCGTGCAGCTGCTCAACACCATGTGTGTTTTGCCTTTGTCCCACAGAAGAGTGTTTCCCCCTGAACTCACTGGCTCAGACGTTGTCAGAAGTTGATTTGGCTTTTCATAAAAACTGACTTAATTGAAAGCCCAAGTCATTGTTTCAAAAGTACAGGAATTTTTTCAGGGAAAGTTGTGAAATCAGGATTTTTGGGGTTGAAAACATCTAAGTGATGACTAAAATTATCCATAGAAGAGGAGCATCTGCAGAGGAACACTGATGGTTCACAATTCATTTATTGAACATGTGAACATACTGTAGGAGCTACAAAATACACAAAATGAAATTACCATTAGTAACTCAAACCATGTCACCTTCATCCATTTGCCTTATTGGATTATCTTTACCTTACATTATGACATCTTTTAATCTTTGACAATCTCTATCTTGAGTGCCTTCACGATGTGTTGACCTTATATATTCATTAAACCCCTTTAGCTGTGAAATATTCTTTTCATCATACTGCAAATGTCTGACTTTACAAAACATTAACGCTAGTAAACCTTTGAATTACTGAAGAAGCATTACTAATTTACCACAGCATGTGAGCACCATCTACTGGACGAAAGCATAACTGTTACATTTAGTAACAAATTCTAAGATGATGAAATATAGCAAATATACATTTACACAGAACCGGCCCAAGGCTTAAGCATATCAAGATACTACATAGGGCCCCCAAACCATCAAGGACCTTCGACGAAAGCTTGAATTTGAACACAGATTACAGATACATCTTTTTTTACATTTGTTTATTGGTATGGAAAATATCAGTACATTTGACTTGATGCTTTCAGTGCAAATAAATGAAAACATTTTACACTAATAAAATGTTCAAGGAAAAGGAAAGTGTACAAATAATAATCTTTAATGTTTGATTACTGTTTGACCATCAGATGCCATAAGTTTGAGATTTTCTTTGTGTTTGATCACAGTTACATCTCAGCAGATCCTAGGCAGTTATCAAAGGTTTCTTCTAAGTTCAGCGAACTTTAACCCTTTTAAATGAACAATGAGGGCCTCAAAATTATAATCTACTTCAATCAATCAATCAATCAAATTTTATTTGTATAGCACATTTCAGCAGCAAGGCATTTCAAAGTGCTTTACATCATAAACACAAAAACACAAAGTCATGCATCATGGAATAAACAATACATTGTTCCATATTACATTTCAAATAAAACTCTAATCAGGTGTGTTTTTAGTCGAGATTTAAAGGAAGTCAGGGTTTCTGCTGTTTTACAGTTTTCTGGAAGTTTGTTCCAAATTTTTGGTGCATAGATGCTGAAAGCTGCTTCTCCTCTCTTGGTTCTGGTTCTGGGGATGCAGAGCAGAACCAGAACCAGAACCTGAGAGTCTGGAAGGTTGATACAACAACAGCAGATCTGTGATGTATTGTGATGCTAAACCGTTCAGTGATTTATAAACTAACAACAGTATTTTAAAATCTATTCTTTGAGCTACAGGGAGCCAGTGGAGGGACTTTAAAACTGCTGTTATGTCTCTATCTTCCTGGTTTTAGTGAGAACAGGAGCAGCAGCTTCTGGATCAGCTGGAGGATTGATTTGTTGGACAGGCCTGTGAAGACGCTGTTGCAATAATCAATGCGACTAAAGATAAACGCATGGATGAGTTTCTCTAGATCTGGCTGAGACATTAGTCCTCTAATCCTGGAGATGTACTTCAGGTGATAGAAGGCCGACTTTGTAACTGTCTTTATGTGGCTCTGAAGGTTCAAGTCCGAGTCCATCACTACTCCCAGGTTTTGGTCTGATCGCTAGTTTTTAGTTGTAATAACTGAAGCTACAGCTCTAGATCTAGAGCTCTAGATCTAGAGCTCTAGATCTATAGAGATCTAGAGCTCTATAGAACTTCAACGTGAAGTTGAGTTTTACGCCATTTTGGTTCTGCTCTGAGACAGAGTTGTCTTGCAGGTCGAACTGTTTGTGCTTTTCTCTATGGAGATTTCTTCCTACCAAACACAACATTTACTTTAATTGAAGCAATAGAATCAATGATATATGAAACTTTAGACTGAAAATCATCTACCAACTTATCTACATTATGACAGCTTAAGGGTGAGGAGGAAGAGTAGATTTGATTAAATGTTTCTGCTGTTTTCTGTAAAAGAACGTTTTGTGACAGTAGCTGTTTGTCCAAGTGGGTCAAAGAATAAATAACTTTCAAAGATAACAGCAAAGTGATCCGACAGGGCGACATCAGTTACAGAGACATTGGAAATATTCACACCCTCACTGATAACCAGGTCCAGTGTGTGTCCTTGAGTGTGTGTTGCTTGTGTGACATGTTGTGTTAAACCAAAATTTTCTAAAATATTAGAAGCTTTTTTGCCCCTCTGTCTTGGGGTTTGTCCACATGAATGTTGAAATCACCAACAATTATTAAACAATCATAATCAATGCATATGATTGATAGATCATTCAAGTCAGTAAAGACATTTTCCACATATGCTGGAGTTTTGTATAAAGTTAGTGTCAAAGTTCATTTGAAGCCTTTAACCTGAATTCCAAGATACTCAAAAGATGTGAAATAACCCAAAGAAATTTTACTACAATTTATGGTTTTCTTAAATATAGAAGCCACGCCTCCTCCTTTTTTGTTTTCTATTCTCACTTAAAAAATTGTAGTCAGGAGGCGCTGATTCAATGAGTACAATTTGGTCATTATCGTCATTCAACCATGTTTCTGTCAGAAACATAACATCAATAATATACTCAGTGATTAAATCATTAATTAATAGAGCTTTAGAACAAAGTGATCTGGTATTTAAAAGAGCTACTTTAAGTGACTTGCAGGTAAAAAGATTTTCAGTCTGAGGTTTGAATTGGGACCGCTGTATTTCATATTTCTGTTTTTTGTCAATTTTCTTGTAGTGATCTGGACAGGTTAGTTTGTTCTCTAGAGATGCAACAGAGAAGCATCTGCAATAAGAGCCACAGCAGACTGGAGGAAGCTAAGAAGAGCTGCAGCAAAATGCTGCAGCTCTTCTATCAGCATCAGAACCAAGGACGTAAAAAGGCTCAACAACCTAATGAAGAAGGCTGGTTCTGTTCTGGTTCTGCTCTGGTTCTGTTCTGGTTCTGTTCTGGTTCTGCTCTGGTTCTGTTCTGGTTCTCTTGTTCTGCTCTGGTTCTGTTCTGGTTCTGCTCTGGTTCTGTTCTGGTTCTGCTCTGGTTCTGTTCTGGTTCTGTTCTGGTCTGCTCTGGTTCTGTTCTGGTTCTGTTCTGGTTGCTCTGGTTCTGTTCTGGTTCTGCTCTGGTTCTGTTCTGGTTCTGTTCTGGTTCTGCTCTGGTTCTGTTCTGGTTCTGTTTCTCTGCTCTGGTTCTGCTGGTTCTGTTCTCTGCTCTGGTTCTGCTCAGGTTCTGCTGGTTCTGTTCTGGTTCTGTTCTGGTTCTGCTCTGGTTCTGTTCTGGTTCTCTTCTGGTTCTGTTCTGGTTCTGCTCTGGTTCTGTTCTGGTTCTGTTCTGGTTCTCTTCTGGTTCTGTTCTGGTTCTGTTCTGGTTCTGCTGGTTCTGTTCTGGTTCTGTTCTGGTTCTCTTCTGGTTCTGTTCTGGTTTGCTCTGGTTCTGTTCTGGTTCTGTTCTGGTCTTCTGGTTCTGCTCTGGTTCTGCTCTGGTTCTGTTCTGGTTCTGTTCTGGTTCTGCTCTGGTTCTGTTCTGGTTCTGTTCTGGTTCTGCTCTGGTTCTGTTCTGGTTCTGTTCTGGTTCTCTTCTGGTTCTGTTCTGGTTCTGTTCTGGTTCTGTTCTGGTTCTGTTCTGGTTCTGCTCTGGTTCTGTTCTGGTTCTGCTCTGGTTCTGTTCTGGTTCTGTTCTGGTTCTGCTCTGGTTCTGTTCTGGTTCTGTTCTGGTTCTGCTCTGGTTCTGCTCTGGTTCTGTTCTGGTTCTGCTCTGGTTCTGCTCAGGTTCTGCTCTGGTTCTGTTCTGGTTCTGTTCTGGTTCTGCTCTGGTTCTGTTCTGGTTCTCTTCTGGTTCTGTTCTGGTTCTGCTCTGGTTCTGTTCTGGTTCTGTTCTGGTTCTCTTCTGGTTCTGCTCTGGTTCTGCTCTGGTTCTGTTCTGGTTCTGTTCTGGTTCTCTTCTGGTTCTGCTCTGGTTCTGCTCTGGTTCTGTTCTGGTTCTGTTCTGGTTCTGCTCTGGTTCTGTTCTGGTTCTGTTCTGGTTCTGCTCTGGTTCTGCTCTGGTTCTGTTCTGGTTCTGTTCTGGTTCTGCTCTGGTTCTGTTCTGGTTCTGTTCTGGTTCTCTTCTGGTTCTGTTCTGGTTCTGCTCTGGTTCTGTTCTGGTTCTGTTCTGGTTCTGCTCTGGTTCTGTTCTGGTTCTGTTCTGGTTCTGTTCTGGTTCTGTTCTGCTCTGGTTCTGTTCTGGTTCTGTTCTGGTTCTGTTCTGGTTCTGCTCTGGTTCTGCTCTGGTTCTGTTCTGGTTCTGTTCTGGTTCTGTTCTGGTTCTGCTCTGGTTCTGCACTGGTTCTGTTCTGGTTCTGTTCTGGTTCTGCTCTGGTTCTGCTCTGGTTCTGTTCTGGTTCTCTTCTGGTTCTGCTCTGGTTCTGCTCTGGTTCTGTTCTGGTTCTGTTCTGGTTCTGCTCTGATTCTGCTCTGGTTCTGTTCTGGTTCTGCTCTGGTTCTGTTCTGGTTCTCTTCTGGTTCTGCTCTGGTTCTGTTCTGGTTCTGTTCTGGTTCTGCTCTGGTTCTGCTCAGGTTCTGTTCTGGTTCTGTTCTGGTTCTGCTCTGGTTCTGCTCTGGTTCTGTTCTGGTTCTGCTCTGGTTCTGTTCTGGTTCTGTTCTGGTTCTGCTCTGGTTCTGTTCTGGTTCTCTTCTGGTTCTGCTCTGGTTCTGCTCTGGTTCTGTTCTGGTTCTGCTCTGGTTCTGCTCTGGTTCTGCTCTGGTTCTGCTCTGGTTCTGTTCTGGTTCTGCTCTGGTTCTGTTCTGGTTCTGCTCAGGTTCTGTTCTGGTTCTGTTCTGGTTCTTCTCTGGTTCTGTTCTGGTTCTGCTCTGGTTCTGCTCTGGTTCTGCTCTGGTTCTGCTCAGGTTCTGTTCTGGTTCTGTTCTGGTTCTCTTCTGGTTCTGCTCTGGTTCTGCTCTGGTTCTGCTCTGGTTCTGTTCTGGTTCTGTTCTGGTTCTGCTCTGGTTCTGTTCTGGTTCTGCTCAGGTTCTGTTCTGGTTCTGTTCTGGTTCTTCTCTGGTTCTGTTCTGGTTCTCTTCTGGTTCTGCTCTGGTTCTGCTCTGGTTCTGTTCTGGTTCTGCTCTGGTTCTGCTCTGATTCTGCTCTGGTTCTGTTCTGGTTCTGCTCTGGTTCTGTTCTGGTTCTGTTCTGGTTCTGCTCTGGTTCTGTTCTGGTTCTCTTCTGGTTCTGCTCTGGTTCTGTTCTGGTTCTGTTCTGGTTCTGCTCTGGTTCTGCTCTGATTCTGCTCTGGTTCTGTTCTGGTTCTGCTCTGGTTCTGTTCTGGTTCTCTTCTGGTTCTGCTCTGGTTCTGTTCTGGTTCTGTTCTGGTTCTGCTCTGGTTCTGCTCTGGTTCTGTTATGGTTCTGTTATGGTTCTGTTCTGGTTCTGTTCTGGTTCTGTTCTGGTTTGTTCTGGTTCTGCTCTGGTTCTGTTCTGGTTCTGTTCTGGTTCTGCTCTGGTTCTGCTCTGGTTCTGCTCTGGTTCTCTTCTGGTTCTGCTCTGGTTCTGCTCTGGTTCTGTTCTGGTTCTGTTCTGGTTCTGCTCTGGTTCTGTTCTGGTTCTTCTCTGGTTCTGTTCTGGTTCTCTTCTGGTTCTGCTCTGGTTCTGCTCTGGTTCTGCTCTGGTTCTGTTCTGGTTCTGTTCTGGTTCTGCTCTGGTTCTGTTCTGGTTCTGTTCTGGTTCTGTTCTGCTTCTGCTCTGGTTCTGTTCTGGTTCTGTTCTGGTTCTGCTTTGGTTCTGCTCTGGTTCTGCTCTGGTTCTGTTCTGGTTCTCTTCTGGTTCTGCTCTGGTTCTGTTCTGGTTCTCTTCTGGTTCTGCTCTGGTTCTGTTCTGGTTCTGTTCTGGTTCTGCTCTGGTTCTGCTCAGGTTCTGCTCTGGTTCTGCTCTGGTTCTGTTCTGGTTCTGTTCTGGTTCTGTTCTGGTTCTGCTCAGGTTCTGTTCTGGTTCTGTTCTGGTTCTTCTCTGGTTCTGTTCTGGTTCTTTTCTGGTTCTGTTCTGGTTCTGTTCTGGTTCTGCTCTGGTTCTGTTCTGGTTCTGTTCTGGTTCTGTTCTGGTTCTGCTCTGGTTCTGCTCTGATTCTGCTCTGGTTCTGTTCTGGTTCTGCTCTGGTTCTGTTCTGGTTCTCTTCTGGTTCTGCTCTGGTTCTGTTCTGGTTCTGTTCTGGTTCTGCTCTGGTTCTGCTCAGGTTCTGTTCTGGTTCTGATCTGGTTCTGCTCTGGTTCTGTTCTGGTTCTGTTCTGGTTCTCTTCTGGTTCTGCTCTGGTTCTGCTCTGGTTCTGTTCTGGTTCTGCTCTGGTTCTGCTCTGGTTCTGTTCTGGTTCTGCTCTGGTTCTGCTCTGGTTCTGCTCTGGTTCTGTTCTGGTTCTGCTCTGGTTCTGCTCTGGTTCTGCTCTGGTTCTGTTCTGGTTCTGCTCTGGTTCTGTTCTGGTTCTGTTCTGGTTCTCTTCTGGTTCTGCTCTGGTTCTGCTCTGGTTCTCTTCTGGTTCTGCTCTGGTTCTGCTCTGGTTCTGTTCTGGTTCTGCTCAGGTTCTGTTCTGGTTCTGTTCTGGTTCTTCTCTGGTTCTGTTCTGGTTCTCTTCTGGTTCTGTTCTGGTTCTGCTCTGGTTCTGTTCTGGTTCTGTTCTGGTTCTGTTCTGCTTCTGCTCTGGTTCTGTTCTGGTTCTGTTCTGGTTCTGCTCTGGTTCTGCTCTGGTTCTGTTCTGGTTCTGTTCTGGTTCTGTTCTGGTTCTGCTCTGGTTCTGTTCTGGTTCTGTTCTGGTTCTGTTCTGGTTCTGTTCTGGTTCTGCTCTGGTTCTGTTCTGGTTCTGCTCAGGTTCTGTTCTGGTTCTGTTCTGGTTCTGCTCTGGTTCTGTTCTGGTTCTGTTCTGGTTCTGCTCTGGTTCTGTTCTGGTTCTGTTCTGGTTCTGCTCAGGTTCTGTTCTGGTTCTGTTCTGGTTCTGCTCTGGTTCTGTTCTGGTTCTGCTCAGGTTCTGCTCTGGTTCTGTTCTGGTTCTGCTCTGGTTCTGTTCTGGTTCTACTCTGGTTCTGTTCTGGTTCTGTTCTGGTTCTGCTCTGGTTCTGTTCTGGTTCTGCTCTGGTTCTGCTCTGGTTCTGTTCTGGTTCTGCTCTTGTTCTGTTCTGGGGACAACTGTGGAGCCTCTGGAGATGATGAGGCAAAGAAGGATTATTCATGAGGTCAAGGAAGTTATGGACAACCCTGACCATCATCTTGTCTTGGGAAAGCAGATCATCTTCAGTCAGAGGCTTCATCAGATTCACTGTAATACAGACTGCTACAGGAGATTTTACTGCTGACAATGATCACTGCCTACAATAACTCCTGAATTTCCTTTTGGGATCCATAAAGTATTTTTGAATTTCAATATTGAAGGTGAAACATATTAATTCATTCTTTCATTTGTCATCCAAAATTTTCAAAAGAGAAAAACAGAGGACTCTAGTTCTTGTTCTTTGTTACCTGTCTTTCATTTCTTTCAAAATATTTCAGACTATAATATTCAGTAGAGAGTCTAACGTTTCCATTTTAATTTATGACAAGCTCTTTTTGTATTACCAGGCATCATCTCATTGGTTGGCTCTGTCTTTTGTTCTGGCTTGTTCCAGTTCAGCCATCATTGGTAGGAGACCGTCATACATGTTGGTCTCAATGGCTCTGAGTTTCTCCTGGTACTCCTTTGGCAAGCCATTTTGTTCTGCTCCCATTACAATCACCTAATGTTAATGACAAAAAACAGTCACTCTTTAAACTGGTGGCAGCTTATTTCTAAACGACAGCAGCTTTATATTAGTCTTCATATTTCTTCATATCTTTTGATTTTGTTTTTAACTGTGGTTTTAACTTTATAAGTTCTAAATTTCTTCCATTGTTCAAGAAAAAAATTGTGGATCAACTAAATATATAGCTCTGAGAATGCAAATAGGACAGCTATCTTATTTATATGAATAACAACAAGCATAAAATAATAGAGATCAAAAGCTGCTGAAGCATTATAAAACACAAAGGGGTGATGGCAACATCATGCTTTAAGAAGAGTCTGGCAACATCATGCTTTAAGAAGAGTCTGGCAACATCATGCTTTAAGAAGAGTCTGGCAACATCATGCTTTAAGAAGAGTCTGGCAACATCATGCTTTAAGAAGAGTCTGGCAACATCATGCTTTAAGAAGAGTCTGGCAACATCATGCTTTGAGAAGAGTCTGGCAACATCATGCTTTAAGAAGAGTCTGGCAACATCATGCTTTAAGAAGAGTCTGGCAACATCATGCTTTAAGAAGAGTCTGGCAACATCATGCTTTAAGAAGAGTCTGGCAACATCATGCTTTAAGAAGAGTCTGGCAACATCATGCTTTAAGAAGAGTCTGGCAACATCATGCTTTGAGAAGAGTTGGCAACATCATGCTTTAAGAAGAGTCTGGCAACATCATGCTTTGAGAAGAGTCTGGCAACATCATGCTTTAAGAAGAGTCTGGCAACATCATGCTTTGAGAAGAGTCTGGCAACATCATGCTTTGAGAAGAGTCTGGCAACATCATGCTTTGAGAAGAGTCTGGCAACATCATGCTTTAAGAAGAGTCTGGCAACATCATGCTTTAAGAAGAGTCTGGCAACATCATGCTTTGAGAAGAGTCTGGCAACATCATGCTTTAAGAAGAGTCTGGCAACATCATGCTTTAAGAAGAGTCTGGCAACATCATGCTTTAAGAAGAGTCTGGCAACATCATGCTTTAAGAAGAGTCTGGCAACATCATGCTTTGAGAAGAGTCTGGCAACATCATGCTTTGAGAAGAGTCTGGCAACATCATGCTTTGAGAAGAGTCTGGCAACATCATGCTTTAAGAAGAGTCTGGCAACATCATGCTTTGAGAAGAGTCTGGCAACATCATGCTTTAAGAAGAGTCTGGCAACATCATGCTTTAAGAAGAGTCTGGCAACATCATGCTTTAAGAAGAGTCTGGCAACATCATGCTTTAAGAAGAGTCTGGCAACATCATGCTTTAAGAAGAGTCTGGCAACATCATGCTTTGAGAAGAGTCTGGCAACATCATGCTTTAAGAAGAGTCTGGCAACATCATGCTTTGAGAAGAGTCTGGCAACATCATGCTTTGAGAAGAGTCTGGCAACATCATGCTTTGAGAAGAGTCTGGCAACATCATGCTTTAAGAAGAGTCTGGCAACATCATGCTTTAAGAAGAGTCTGGCAACATCATGCTTTAAGAAGAGTCTGGCAACATCATGCTTTAAGAAGAGTCTGGCAACATCATGCTTTAAGAAGAGTCTGGCAACATCATGCTTTAAGAAGAGTCTGGCAACATCATGCTTTAAGAAGAGTCTGGCAACATCATGCTTTGAGAAGAGTCTGGCAACATCATGCTTTGAGAAGAGTCTGGCAACATCATGCTTTGAGAAGAGTCTGGCAACATCATGCTTTAAGAAGAGTCTGGCAACATCATGCTTTGAGAAGAGTCTGGCAACATCATGCTTTGAGAAGAGTCTGGCAACATCATGCTTTAAGAAGAGTCTGGCAACATCATGCTTTGAGAAGAGTCTGGCAACATCATGCTTTAAGAAGAGTCTGGCAACATCATGCTTTAAGAAGAGTCTGGCAACATCATGCTTTAAGAAGAGTCTGGCAACATCATGCTTTGAGAAGAGTCTGGCAACATCATGCTTTGAGAAGAGTCTGGCAACATCATGCTTTGAGAAGAGTCTGGCAACATCATGCTTTAAGAAGAATCTGGCAACATCATGCTTGAGAAGAGTCTGGCAACATCATGCTTAAGAAGATCTGGCAACATCATGCTTTGAGAAGAGTCTGGCAACATCATGCTTTAAGAAGAGTCTGGCAACATCATGCTTTAAGAAGAGTCTGGCAACATCATGCTTTAAGAAGAGTCTGGCAACATCATGCTTTGAGAAGAGTCTGGCAACATCATGCTTTGAGAAGAGTCTGGCAACATCATGCTTTAAGAAGAGTCTGGCAACATCATGCTTTGAGAAGAGTCTGGCAACATCATGCTTTGAGAAGAGTTGGCAACATCATGCTTTGAGAAGAGTCTGGCAACATCATGCTTTGAGAAGAGTCTGGCAACATCATGCTTTAAGAAGAGTCTGGCAACATCATGCTTTGAGAAGAGTCTGGCAACATCATGCTTTAAGAAGAGTCTGGCAACATCATGCTTTGAGAAGAGTCTGGCAACATCATGCTTTAAGAAGAGTCTGGCAACATCATGCTTTGAGAAGAGTCTGGCAACATCATGCTTTAAGAAGAGTCTGGCAACATCATGCTTTAAGAAGAGTCTGGCAACATCATGCTTTGAGAAGAGTTGGCAACATCATGCTTTGAGAAGAGTCTGGCAACATCATGCTTTGAGAAGAGTCTGGCAACATCATGCTTTAAGAAGAGTCTGGCAAACATCATGCTTTAAGAAGAGTCTGGCAACATCATGCTTTAAGAAGAGTCTGGCAACATCATGCTTTGAGAAGAGTCTGGCAACATCATGCTTTAAGAAGAGTCTGGCAACATCATGCTTTAAGAAAAGTCTGGCAACATCATGCTTTGAGAAGAGTCTGGCAACATCATGCTTTGAGAAGAGTCTGGCAACATCATGCTTTAAGAAGAGTCTGGCAAACATCATGCTTTGAGAAGAGTCTGGCAACATCATGCTTTGAAAGAGTCTGGCAACATCATGCTTTAAGAAGAGTCTGGCAACATCATGCTTTGAGAAGAGTCTGGCAACATCATGCTTTAAGAAGAGTCTGGCAACATCATGCTTTAAGAAGAGTCTGGCAACATCATGCTTTGAGAAGAGTCTGGCAACATCATGCTTTAAGAAGAGTCTGGCAACATCATGCTTTAAGAAGAGTCTGGCAACATCATGCTTTGAGAAGAGTCTGGCAACATCATGCTTTGAGAAGAGTCTGGCAACATCATGCTTTAAGAAGAGTCTGGCAAACATCATGCTTTAAGAAGAGTCTGGCAACATCATGCTTTAAGAAGAGTCTGGCAAACATCATGCTTTAAGAAGAGTCTGGCAACATCATGCTTTGAGAAGAGTCTGGCAACATCATGCTTTAAGAAGAATCTGGCAACATCATGCTTTGAGAAGAGTCTGGCAACATCATGCTTTGAGAAGAGTCTGGCAACATCATGCTTTGAGAAGAGTCTGGCAACATCATGCTTTAAGAAGAGTCTGGCAACATCATGCTTTAAGAAGAGTCTGGCAACATCATGCTTTGAGAAGAGTCTGGCAACATCATGCTTTAAGAAGAGTCTGGCAACATCATGCTTTGAGAAGAGTTGGCAACATCATGCTTTAAGAAGAGTCTGGCAACATCATGCTTTGAGAAGAGTCTGGCAACATCATGCTTTGAGAAGAGTCTGGCAACATCATGCTTTGAGAAGAGTCTGGCAACATCATGCTTTAAGAAGAGTCTGGCAACATCATGCTTTAAGAAGAGTCTGGCAACATCATGCTTTGAGAAGAGTCTGGCAACATCATGCTTTAAGAAGAGTCTGGCAACATCATGCTTTGAGAAGAGTCTGGCAACATCATGCTTTAAGAAGAGTCTGGCAACATCATGCTTTGAGAAGAGTCTGGCAACATCATGCTTTAAGAAGAGTCTGGCAACATCATGCTTTAAGAAGAGTCTGGCAACATCATGCTTTAAGAAGAGTCTGGCAACATCATGCTTTGAGAAGAGTCTGGCAACATCATGCTTTGAGAAGAGTCTGGCAACATCATGCTTTGAGAAGAGTCTGGCAACATCATGCTTTAAGAAGAGTCTGGCAACATCATGCTTTGAGAAGAGTCTGGCAACATCATGCTTTGAGAAGAGTCTGGCAACATCATGCTTTAAGAAGAGTCTGGCAACATCATGCTTTAAGAAGAATCTGGCAACATCATGCTTTAAGAAGAGTCTGGCAACATCATGCTTTGAGAAGAGTCTGGCAACATCATGCTTTAAGAAGAGTCTGGCAACATCATGCTTTAAGAAGAGTCTGGCAACATCATGCTTTGAGAAGAGTCTGGCAACATCATGCTTTGAGAAGAGTCTGGCAACATCATGCTTTAAGAAGAGTCTGGCAACATCATGCTTTAAGAAGAGTCTGGCAACATCATGCTTTAAGAAGAGTCTGGCAACATCATGCTTTAAGAAGAGTCTGGCAACATCATGCTTGAGAAGAGTCTGGCAACATCATGCTTTAAGAAGAGTCTGGCAACATCATGCTTTAAGAAGAGTCTGGCAACATCATGCTTTAAGAAGAGTCTGGCAACATCATGCTTTAAGAAGAGTCTGGCAACATCATGCTTTAAGAAGAGTCTGGCAACATCATGCTTTGAGAAGAGTCTGGCAACATCATGCTTTGAGAAGAGTCTGGCAACATCATGCTTTAAGAAGAGTCTGGCAACATCATGCTTTGAGAAGAGTCTGGCAACATCATGCTTTAAGAAGAGTCTGGCAACATCATGCTTTGAGAAGAGTCTGGCAACATCATGCTTTAAGAAAAGTCTGGCAACATCATGCTTTGAGAAGAGTCTGGCAACATCATGCTTTAAGAAGAGTCTGGCAACATCATGCTTTAAGAAGAATCTGGCAACATCATGCTTTGAGAAGAGTCTGGCAACATCATGCTTTGAGAAGAGTCTGGCAACATCATGCTTTGAGAAGAGTCTGGCAACATCATGCTTTAAGAAGAATCTGGCAACATCATGCTTTAAGAAGAGTCTGGCAACATCATGCTCTAAGAAGAGTCTGGCAACATCATGCTTTAAGAAGAGTCTGGCAACATCATGCTTTAAGAAGAGTCTGGCAACATCATGCTTTAAGAAGAGTCTGGCAACATCATGCTTTAAGAAGAGTCTGGCAACATCATGCTTTAAGAAGAGTCTGGCAACATCATGCTTTAAGAAGAGTCTGGCAACATCATGCTTTGAGAAGAGTCTGGCAACATCATGCTTTAAGAAGAGTCTGGCAACATCATGCTTTGAGAAGAGTCTGGCAACATCATGCTTTGAGAAGAGTCTGGCAACATCATGCTTTGAGAAGAGTCTGGCAACATCATGCTTTAAGAAGAGTCTGGCAACATCATGCTTTGAGAAGAGTCTGGCAACATCATGCTTTAAGAAGAGTCTGGCAACATCATGCTTTAAGAAGAGTCTGGCAACATCATGCTTTAAGAAGAATCTGGCAACATCATGCTTTGAGAAGAGTCTGGCAACATCATGCTTTGAGAAGAGTCTGGCAACATCATGCTTTGAGAAGAGTCTGGCAACATCATGCTTTAAGAAGAATCTGGCAACATCATGCTTTAAGAAGAGTCTGGCAACATCATGCTCTAAGAAGAGTCTGGCAACATCATGCTTTAAGAAGAGTCTGGCAACATCATGCTTTAAGAAGAGTCTGGCAACATCATGCTTTAAGAAGAGTCTGGCAACATCATGCTTTAAGAAGAGTCTGGCAACATCATGCTTTAAGAAGAGTCTGGCAACATCATGCTTTGAGAAGAGTCTGGCAACATCATGCTTTGAGAAGAGTCTGGCAACATCATGCTTTGAGAAGAGTCTGGCAACATCATGCTTTAAGAAGAGTCTGGCAACATCATGCTTTGAGAAGAGTCTGGCAACATCATGCTTTGAGAAGAGTCTGGCAACATCATGCTTTGAGAAGAGTCTGGCAACATCATGCTTTAAGAAGAGTCTGGCAACATCATGCTTTGAGAAGAGTCTGGCAACATCATGCTTTAAGAAGAGTCTGGCAACATCATGCTTTAAGAAGAGTCTGGCAACATGCTGTCAGGTCAGAGTTCAACTGAGGCCTGATTGTTCTGATTGTCAATGAAGTAAAATAAATAGAGCTAAAACACAGGTGTATTGTTTCTAAGTGGATTTTAGAGCCTTTACAATAAATAACAAATAATATATAAATAAGTTATATTAATTTATCAAATAAAATATTATTTGGCCACCTCTTTATGTATTGTGACATAGATGAAAAAAAGAGAAAAGGACCAGTGAAGCCCAGCTTTTCTTTTAATGTGTGGTTTTTAGTGGGTTGTTTTGTTTCTGATCCACATTTAGGTTTCTAACAATTGTCCTACACATGAAAAAACATCCATTTAACCAAATATCTACCAAACTTAGGGTAGATTGTTGAAAATATAAAAAAAACATGATAGAGAAATGCTAGTGGATGGACGTGGCCTTCAGAGGTCCTGAAATTTGTCTGTGCAATGTTGAAGAGGGGCAGAGCAGAGCTATCTCCTGATCACCATCAGTTCAATCCATTCATGGTGAGTCTGCAGGACGTGATGAACCCAAATGAGTGTTTAGGGTGAACTGAAAGCATTTGGGAAAAGCCAGAGTACCAGGAGTTCTTTCACTTTTCTCTCAAGTTCCAGGGGAGGTTGGAGAATCCAAATAAACTATATTCAGTAACTTTATTTATGATGCAGTTTAGAAGAGCTGTACCCAGAAGATTATTGGTGTCTGATGGAACAGCAACCTGGGGACCCTTTGGTGGACACCAGAAGTGTGAGAGGTCATCAAGTGGACTGATGATTACTTAAAAAAACCAGGATCCATCCTGATACAGTCCTTGAGTCAGTATCTGGCTCAAGTGAACAATGATGGACTTTAGGATGGAGTGAGATGAACGGATGAATGAGATCTTCATCTGCAGTAATGTGGGCTCCTCTGGTTTGTTGTGGTACAGAAAGAGCTATTAATTCACTCTTCCTTCCACATTCCAGCCCTCACCTAAAGTCGTGAGATCTGAATAGTGGAGCTTCTGCTCCTGATCTACATGAGTCTGTTGAAGTGGTTAGAGCATTTAAGCTCTTCCCTTTGAGACCCCAAGGCTGGGTGGGAGTAGATGTCTCTTCTGGAGTGGCAATGCCTTGAAAAGCCCCTTAATGAGATTTGGCTGGATATACCTTTTGGATCTGTTGCCCCTGTGACCTAATCTTGGACAAACAGGAGACAACAAATGGACGGATTATTTGTTTCAATGGTCTGGAGATCAGGAGCGACAGTTTTCCATCAGTTGTTATTTTCTATAGAGCTATTTGTGGTTCCTTTCACATAGTTTTTAATGTCAATTATTTCATATTTTCCAAATGACGGAATATTGACTTCTAGAGCCATTAATAATGAAGAAGAATCATATATGTTTTAAGTAGCATTTTACATACGTTGTGTACCTAAAGAATTTATCTTTGCTACATGAAGCTCCAGTGACCAATCCCAAAGTTAGAAATGAAACCTGGGCAGTTAATATAAATAAATGAGGAATTTTAACACTGAACCTAAAGGCCAACTTTCTTTTTCATGAGTTAAAATGACAATATCCAGTAAATTAAAGCGCATAGAAACTCCTTCAGAATTTACATGACAGTCAACATAACTTGATTAAAAGAGACCTTACCTGTAGATATTGTGGTGACGGTCGGGCATACACACAGCTGTTCATTATGTAGGTACGACAGCTGATGTCTTGACCTTTGGTCTTCACTGATAATTCCACAGGTCGGTAAGCACCTAACATCACATTCTCTTGACTGAATGTGTGCACACACAAGAGTGCATGTTTTTAAGTTTCATACGAAAACATACAAACATGTCCAGATAAAATTGAAAAATAAAGCAAATGAAATAAGGTTTTACTTGTCCAGTGACTCTAGATCAGATACGCTCATCCGCCACACCACACCCCACACCTCGTCCCCTGGGCTGTCCTCTATGGTGGCCACACCACCATGCCAGCGGTCACTGGCTAGACCTTTGGAGTTGCCAAACACCAATTTATAATCCTAAAAAAAGACATGAAAGTCATTGATCAGATATACTTTCCAGCATATAGAGCTAGATGCTGATGGTACTTCTTTAGCACTATACCTTGAGCTTTGCCACGCAGTACACTGTTGCAGAGGGATTCTTGAGCTGGAGACGCTCCTTTAGAAGGTTACTACCATATGCAAAGTACAGAAATGTTTGGTTATGCTCCATGTTCATATCGGGTGAGGACCTGTAAACAGGAGTCATCAAAAACAAAGAGTGAGCAATTAGCTGAGCCCCAGCTGTGTGTTTAGAGAAGCTGCCAGTAAAAATGAGAGCCTGAACAGCACAATGACAAAACTGAAGCACTGGCCTTTCAGCAGCACCACACTGTTCACACTGTTCCTGTGCTAATCCTACCCACTGTCCTGTCACTGAGCACCATTCACTCACAAGTAGTTTACCACACGGGTTCAGACAAAGGCACAGAACCACGCGCTAACGTAAATTACACGCATTCTCACACACAAAATCAGCAGCAACACTTAAGAAATATTATTGCAAAGAAAATATGAGGGGCACAAAATGATTGATACTTCTATTAGTTCTCATTTTACAGCTTCATTCGTCACAACTTGTACACTGTGACAAAGATTATTTTCTTGAAACTAGAGGTAATATTTCCAAACAACACCTGAAATTATTCAAACTACAATCTAATGATTAACTAATAATTTAGTCATGAGGGTTCTGGTTGGCAGTGGGCTGGCAGAATTTGAGATCAAGGCACTCTGGACAGAGAGCACTGTGGAGCAGAGACAGAGCCTTGAGACCGGGCCGAGCAAATCCACAGATTCACAATTCATGGACAGCATTTAAATATGGATGTATATTTAAGAAGGAGCAGCAGCAAAGTCAACATAACAATATAGTAATCAATTGCTAGTTGACTACAAAGCAAGGCATTATGAGTATGCACTGCAGCAATTAAGACCACTTCCATCAATGCTGTTTTAGTAGAGACGAAAATGAATCTATTAGAAACAAGGAGAGTAAAAACTACAACTTATCGCACAAAACTGAAAAGTAGTTGTGGACAAAAAATCTGTGTGGTAACAGATCAGGCTTGAAACTCTGGCAAGTGGCAAAGAGCAAAATCTTTTATTTCATCGTTTGCAAATGGAGAACACACAGCAGCCTCAGCACAGCAGCTGTACCTGCGATGAGTTCTGACTTGGAGCTGCAAACTCTCACAATATATAGGACTCTTCACACAGTGTGGTCACTCACTGGCCCAGAGCCAGGTCCAGTTGAACAGGTTTAATGCACAGTCACTCTTATCAGGGTAGGGAGAGTGCAACATCATCCTCACTGAAGGGTCAGTTCATTGCTTAGATGATAAACATCTTCTTTGTTCAAAATAAGGAAGTTTCCAAAAATCAGGTTTACTAATGGAATAATTTTGCATAACAAGAACATTGTCAGAGCTTAAACCTGCACTCAGCACGTTCTCTGAGCTTGTGACATTTGATGGAGGAATTTGTTAAACCTTAGGGTTTATTCCATCTCGCCATAATTATCTCGACTAACTATTATTATCTGTTAAGAAACACTGGTGCCTTGCTTTGGTATGTGTGGTGAAGAATTAATCCAGTCATCAATCTACTGTGACTGCTTTAGGGAGAGGTCAGCAGGAAACCTATCTGGATAGTTCTGCAGAGACTTTGTCTGGCCTACATATAGATTGAACAAACACTAATGTGGTTAAATGAGTAAAAGAATTAAATACAATTTTTAAAAGAAATAGCACAATTTTTACTAGTGATGAAAAGGCCAAACGGATCTGTTTGAGTTCATCGAGAATCCCTTCATTATACTTAATGAAGGGATCTGAACATCTCGGATGATGGTACAAGTGATTGAAGAACATGTTAACTGCAGTTCCCAAAGAAAATTCTATTAGAGGACATGCACTGTTGAATTGAATATCTCAATATAAAAATGATATGTGGAATATGTGATGGGTTGCATTAGAACCAGGACTGTTTGTATTTTATTTTGACCTGAACAGTATTGCTACTGATGTCATACTTTACAAAATGTTCAAACTGTTTGTCTAAACTGATAAAATCCAATAAAGAGATTTTGGAAAAAAAAAAGAAAGAAAAAAAAGCAAACTAAATGATTGCTGGGAATATTCCAAGTACAAAAAGAATTGGTTTGGGTGGACACGATATGAATGGGCAAACATATGGATTGGATTGCAAGACATTCTCAAATAATAATCGGTGGTAGGAGTTTGCCCCGCAATTGCCAGTTTGCTGGTTTGATTCCCGCTCCATCCCCCTCAGTCCTTGTGTCCCTGGGCAAGATGTTTCACCCACCTTGCCCAGCATGGTGCCTTATATTTTAGGTCAACGTTGGTGGTGAAGTATTAACAAGATGGAGCTGCAACAAATGCAACTACACAGTTCTACGAACCACATTAGGGGAGATTTAGACTGTAGTTTTAAATCATTTTTATGGCCTGAGACTATCTTAAAAGGGGTTAGCTAGATTTATGTAGTTAAACTAAATAGACACGTCATATCTGGACAGAATTATTATATCTACTAATCAAACATTATAAGAACCTGCTTGGGATTTGTGAACCTTTATTCTCCTCGTGAAAACTCCTGAAATTGGACTTAAAAACCTTTTTTTCCATTAGTAAAATATTTTTTTATTGATTAACAGTTATTCTAAAGTAATTAAAACATGCACCTCATGTAATGTATTTGTTTAATGTTATTGTGACGCGTAGCCTCAATGTTTGTCATAATATCGCATATGTACTGTTTTGTATTCGGTGTCTCAATAAAGAAATTTAAAAAAACGACATACTCATGTCCAGTAGGTGGCGGTATGCACCAATGAAGTTGTTCGCCATCCGCCAAGATGAAGAAAAGCGACAAGCAGGTAAACAAACAGTTGTTCGATGAGACCTTGGGTTGGTTTTTAGTTTGATAAACACTCTTCCTGATGTATTTACGGTCTATAACAACAGTTAAAAGATACAGAAAAGGCTGAAGAAATGAAGGCATGATTTGTAGGTGCTGACACTTTCAGGTTTGGAACCGCTAGCTGAATGGTTTGTTTTGGCTAGTAAAGGTGACAGCTGACGGGACAAGTCGAGCTGTTTAAGGTCGGTGTTTGATCAGCAGGGGATAAAATGAACTGGCAAGAATCTGTTCGCGAAACGGATGTTTCCCATTTTCAAAATACCGTCTGATGAAAATAGTGTCAGATAAAAATGTTAACATCTGTGTTAACATTTTTGATCCTAGGATCAGCATTGAAAGCGCCTCAGTGCTGATCCTCAATTAGCATTGAGGAGCAAATACTGATTGGCTCCTTAATGCTGATTGAGGATCCAATCAGCATTACATAGTTAACAGGACAAGGCACTACTCTGACATTTCTGGTAAGAAGCAAATTCATCATACAAAAAGAAAATAATTGTCTGGAATTCAAAAAGAGGATAGTGGACACTTATCATGAGGGTGAAACCGCCAGGTGTTTGCTGACTGCTGCTGACTAGTCTGAAGGAGCAGAGTAGTGGAGTTGCGGCAGAGGTGAGGGGGAAGCTGAGATGGCAGAGCTACATCTGGGTCCAACCAGGAGTTTTGCACAGCTGAATAATTACCACCATGGGAGATGAAAGGATTTCTCATACATGCATGAAAGGATCGAGGCAATACTTAAGGTATGTTTTTGAAGAGGGAATAACATTATGACATAATGTAAAACTCAAAAAAGTTTATTTTAAATGATGCTGCTCCTTTAAAACATGGTAATGTGTTTTGGTAATGTGTTCTTTTGTCTGATGAGACTAAACTGATGAGCATAGGGATGTTCAAGCCTCAATACCCAGTTCCCACCTTCAACCATGGTAGTGGGAGCATGATGTTATGGGTCTATTAGGAGGCTTCAGTCCCTGGGAACTTTGTTCATCTTCATAGAATCATAGCAAAAAAATAAGAGAATATTGGCATTTGGAAAAATAATTGCTACAACTCTCACTTTTGGCCAAGGCTGTGTCAGGTCTCCAAGTGGGGGAGGGGGGACACAAAACTCCATGTCCTGGAATAGACATGGATGTCCACACCTGATTGGATACTCAGGTGTGGTATGAGTTAACAGAACTAGATGTAGGCCACAGATTCTGAGCCAACATCTCAGAATCTGTGGCAAGCCGTAAGGTTCATGCTTGAAGAACATAGATGATCTGGAATGATGTGCCATTGAAGAGTGGGTCATACACCTCAAGAGACATGGCAGCCATGTGAAGAACTACAGGTTGGGGGGTTTGTCAGTTGAACTTTTGGCCAGTAAATGTCAGAAGGGTTGATAGTTTTGCTCTGATCATTTCTTTTGTTTTCTTGCTACAGTTCAGCTGGGGATGCAAAAATTATTATTTTAGTAATTTATTCATCTATTAATTATTCCAAAGGTTAATCGGGTGAAAAAAAAGCATGTTCTGTAAATTTTTCTTTAAACTACTTAGATAAACTTAGGGGCTCAAATTTTAAAAATGGGTACATTGAACAAAACACCAACAACCCACATTAATCAAGAATTTAATTGGTTCATAATATATCATTGCCATAATTCAGGGACAATGCAAAGCAAACATAGTCTATATTTTCCCCAACTAGTATATTGTTGCTGTTTCTGCTGCTGATAAACCTGAAGCATCATTCATAGAGAATGACAATGTTATTACATTTTATTGAATGCATTCAGCTGAGAAAAAAAAACATTTAGGGTTCAATTAGGAAGTTTACTTTGTAAAAGTTTAAAGGCCCCCTGTCTAAGGCACCATATTACCTTGGGCCGGCCCTGCATGAACAGGCCATGCGATGCGCATCTCTGGAATCCACCTGGAATCCACCTGGAATCCACCTGGAATCCTCCTGGTTGACCAGTTGATCTAAAATCCAGTTGATTTTGAAAACTGGCTTCTGTTAAATCTTGAGACATGTGTGGATGTCGTTTCAGGTATTTGACAGATGCAGATAACTCTGAGTCAGGACTCATGACATGATTACAAGTTCATCTGTACCCATCAGTGATGTCTGTGAGCACCCTCCTGCGATGCACCTCTAGGTAATACTTAGCATGGTTTTAGATTCTCTCCAGGAAATCAGCTTTGTTTCAAAACCTAGACTCTGGGAATCTGTTAGTTTCTTATTTCATTGGATTCCCTGCATGTATCAGTGAAACATACGATGCATATATCAGTCGGGTGACTTGCCATGTCCATATGATATGGCAAGTCAAGTAGAGAAAATGTAACATCTTCTCTACAAAATATGCAGCTAGATACAGTTATGGCCAGAAATATTTGGACAGTGACACAGGTTTTGTTATTTTAGCTGTTGACAAAAATATGTTCAGAAATACAATTTATATATAATATGGGCTGAAAGTGCACACTCCCAGCTGCAATATGAGAGTTTCCACATCCAAATCGGAGAAAGGGTTTAGGAATCATAGCTCTGTAATGCAGAGCCTCCTCTTTTTCAAGGGACCAAAAGTAATTGGACAATGGACTCTAAAGGCTGCAAGTAACTCAAAAGGCCTTTCCCTCGTTAACCTGTAATCAAGTAAGTAGTTAAAAGGTCTGGGGTTGTTTCCAGGTGTGTGGTTTTGCATTTGGAAGCTGTTGCTGTGACCAGACAACATGCGGTCAAAGGAGCTCTCAATTGACGTGAAGCAGAACATCCTGAGGCTGAAAAAAAGGAAAAAATCCATCAGAGAGATAGCAGACATGCTTGGAGTAGCAAAATCAACAGTTTGGTACATTCTGAGGAAAAAGGAATTGACTGGTGAGCTTGGGAACTCAAAAAGGCCTGGGCGTCCACGGAAGACAACAGTGGTGGATGATCGCCGCATACTTTCTTTGGTGAAGAAGAACCCGTTCACAACATCAACTGAGGTCCAGAACACTCTCAGAGAAGTAGGTGTATCTGTCTCTAAGTCAACAGTAAAGAGAAGACTCCATGAAAGCAAATACAAAGGGTTCACATGTAGATGCAAACCATTCATCAATTCCAAAAATAGACAGGCCAGAGTTAAATTTGCCCAAAAACACCTCAAGAAGCCAGCCCAGTTCTGGAAAAGTATTCTATGGACAGATGAGACAAAGATCAACCTGTACCAGAATGATGGGAAGAAAAAAGTTTGGAGAAGAAAGGGAACGGCACATGATCCAAGGCACACCACATCCTCTGTAAAACATGGTGGAGGCAACGTGATGGCATGGGCATGCATGGCTTTCAATGGCACTGGGTCACTTGTGTTTATTGATGACATAACAGCAGACAAGAGTAGCCGGATGAATTCTGAAGTGTACCAGGATATACTATCAGCCCAGATTCAGCCAAATGCTGCAAAGTTGATCGGACGGCGCTTCACAGTACAGATGGATAATGACCCCAAGCATACAGCCAAAACTACCCAGGAGTTCATGAGAGCAAAAAGGTGGAATATTCTGCAATGGCCAAGTCAATCACCAGATCTTAACCCAATTGAGCATGCATTTCACTTGCTCAAATCCAGACTTCAGACGGAAAGACCCACTAACAAGCAAGACCTGAAGGCTGCGGCTGTAAAGGCCTGGCAAAGCATTAAGAAGGAGGAAACCCAGCGTTTGGTGATGTCCATGGGTTCCAGACTTAAGGCAGTGATTGCCTCCAAAGGATTCGCAACAAAATATTGAGAAAAAACTTTTTTGTTTGGGTTATGTTTATATGTCCAATTACTTTTGAGCTCCTAAAATGAGGAGTGTTTGTAAACAAATGTGTACAATTCCTACATTTTCTATCAGATATTTTTGTTCAACCCTTTAAATTAAACGTTACAATCTGCACTTGAATTCTGTTGTAGAGGTTTCATTTCAAATCCAATGCGGTGGCATGCAGAGCCCAACTCACAAATATTGTGTTACTGTCCAAATATTTCTGGCCCTAACTCATTTCATTATGACCACCTGACTGCTGCTAGTTGACCTGTTGAGAAATGGACTCCATTAGATTCCTGAAGATATGCTGTGGTTTGTGACATCTTGATGTTAGCATGACGTTAACAGTGTAATATGAAACTTTTTTTTTTTTTTTTTACATATTTATCAAAATGTTTATTATTTTGTGACAGTATAGTATGAGACAGATAATCATGTCCCTGTGGTCCTGTTGTCATTTGCAGAAATAGACTACTCAATCAGAGACAGGAATTGGGTCTTAACCAATCAGGCCTGTGTATCTGCTGCCCACAATTTCCCCCCTTGCTCTCTGCTATGCTACAGCTGGTTCCCCACAATGGAACCTGTCATGAATGCTAAAGCTAGTTAGCATGGCCACTGATGACAATTTTCCAATGATGGTAAATTGTTTCTTTGTCATTAGTACACTGAACAGGCAGTATGTGAATGTGGCTGACAAAGCTCAATTACTCCTCCTGGTTCTGATTGGCTGTTTTTGATCGAAGGGCCTTTCTGGAGACACAAATGATGGTGCAGGGAGGAGCCCGTTTTTATCTGTCATACTACACTGTCACAAATTTGTAAAAAAGAAAAGTTTTATAAAAGTTAAATACCCCAGATTTGACTTGTTTAGTAATTTGAGCTAAAGTAGTTCATCCTTTGCTCCCCACATGCATCATAAAAACCTGTAATTTAAGGTCCATTGAAACAATTCCCACATTATGCCCTAAACATCAACTACATGTTTTTACATGTTTTAATCCATTCTAGGTTCTAGAATGGATTAAAACTTACAATGAATGTGTTCTTCTCCTTTAGACATTATTTAACCAGGATAAAAAAAATTGAGATCAAAGATCTCCTTTGCAAGTGTTCTGACAAGTATGCAGCTAAAATAGTTGTTTTCCAAACCATTGCAATATGGGTCACATTTAATTTAAAGTATGTAAAGAAGAGATGTGTGTATCAAGCATGTCCTACTTGATGATTGTATCTCAGCCACACACCTTCTGGATTTGATCTTTGTAAGTCTCTCCTTTACAGATGATGCTAAACCACAGTCTGCAAATGCGTCACTGCAATCTCTCTTGTAGATTGGGTTTAATAGATTCTTAGCACACCCCACTTTTATTTCAGGCTAAGATTTCAAATATATTTCTCTGGATGGCCTGAAGCCTTCTCTGATTGCTTGTGTCTGGTTGGAAGAAAAGTTGTTGAATCTTTATCTTAATGGAATGTGCCAACCAGTAAGCCTTATAAATACCTACATTTCAGTTTGCCAACATTTTGAAATCATAAATTTTCTGTCAAAAAAGTCCTTATTGAGCCAAATCATTTCTGAAATGAAAAAAGATTCACTGTGTTTTGAGTTTTTCTTCCACTTAGACTTGAGGCTTTGTAGTAGGGTGTGAGTCTGGTACAGGACATTGTTGGATCAAGGGGCCTGTAATGTTGGGTGTAAGCAACACCGCAGGAGCCCGCTCAGCCTGCTCTGAATTGGGGGACTCAACTGGTCCAGGGCCTGGCAGGTGGAGCCTGCTGCTCTGTTTCTGTCTCTGTAGGTCCTCCAACTTTGAAATGGTTGAAATCCATTTGAGTCCAATGAATTATTTACCTATTTACCTGCTGTAGAACTTGCTGTCAGGTTCTACAGCAGAGGAATCTAAAGAGCTATGTTTCTGAAACCTTTTAAAACTGATTCAACACACCTGAAACAATTGAGTGGCTCATTATTGGGCCTCTGCAAAACCTAAAGACACAGTGAGGTGGAAATGAAGCCATTTGATTCCAGTACTTTGGAGCAGGAAGTCGTCTAATAACTGAAAATCCAGAGGACAGGGTTCCTGATTTAAAGTAATCATTCAAGAAGAAAAAACAGCTCACTACGTCGTGTGTGCACTTATTAGCTTTGAGGGTGTACAATGCTGATTAAAATCAACTATATTTTATTTCTGTATAAGGAGGCAGACTAAGCAGGACCCTTGAAATTAATATTTATGTATTTTCTTGTTTCAGGTCACAGAGGCAGCAGGCGATGGCCTTTCTAGTCCAGCAGAGAGCTCTGTCAGCTGCAGAGGCTGTCAATGCTCTCAGACCATTTTATTTTGCTGTTCATCCAGACTTCTTTGGTCAATTCCCCAGAGAACGGGCAAGTTATCTTCAAATGAGTGTACTTAAAAAGATGAATAATTTGTTGATCTGCAAATATATTAATTTAGAAGTCATAAAACCTAAACAGACTTGAACATTAACTTTATAACAATTAAAATATTAACTTCTTTTATCATCTTGTTTATTGCTTATTCAAGCCATGCATTATTTAACAGCAGAAACTGTCTCATCACAACATTCAAGATAAACAAAATCTATTTGTAAAATCTCACCACTAAACACTTTAAGTTAGGACTTGCACTCATTTTTATTTCAGTTTCAGATGATAATTCTGTCATAAATTTGCCATAACAAACCCCTCGCTTTGCAACCTTCATTTTGTAAACATCCCATGGGACTGTGTGTGTGTGTGTGTGTGTGTGTGTGTGCACTTATTGGCACCTCAGTTCTGCAACAAAGTCTGAATGGTTAAGTCTGGATGTCTACAGTTTCTTGTAGGGTTGTACACTCTATAGTAAATCATATCTTGATATTTTGCTTTAACTAAAAACGTTAAACTGTTTTTTTTTGTCCAGGAAGTAAATGAAAATTCTTTGAAACAATTAAATGGATACATGGAAAATTTGCAGAAGCCTGGCTTAAAGTTAGTTCGGCCAATAAAGCTCACCTTTTATATCAGGGACACTAAGGAGAGCACTGAGAAGCAGCCAGGCATCGTCTCTTCAGGTACTGTTTACCTTCATTTTGGACAATGTGGACACTGAAAATGCTACATTTTAATTGATTGCAAACTTTTACAGGTTTCCGGTCTGTGAGTTTCATTCTACACACAAATGATATCTTGAGTACCGTGATGAACGTGCTGACATCCTGCAGCTTGCCTGTGGAGCACATAGAGAGACATGAAAAAAGCTTTGGGACATGTAAAGGTGGGCCTGACGCAGGAGAGTCTTTTCATAGACCCATAAAATGGGATAAAAGCTACTACACCTTCACTGGGTTCAGAGATCCTGAGCAGGAGCTGCAGCAGACCAAGAGAATGGAACCGACACTCCAGTCAGTAACTCTGTGTGCATATCCAGCATATCTGTATACAATGTCAGACATATTTTTATAAGAAGAATTATTAAAAAAAATGTTCTTATAAAAAACAAAAAATTCTTATAAGTGCCTACCGAGGTCCTGTTTTTGTAAAATAAAATATAACTGCAGCACGTTCAGCTGTATACATATATTGCATATATTTTTGAATGAATGTTTTTGAAAACTTGTTTTTCATATTTTTGGCAGTGGTTGGCTGAGAAACAGCGAACCTGAGGCAACAAAGAAACACAATGCTAGTCTTCCACGGAGGGAAGAGCTGAGCAGATTGAAGAAGGAACTGTGTGAAAAGTTTCTTTTGGCAGATATCAGGTATGCTTCTTCTCATCCTCTAACACTGACTATGTAGTTTTACTGAAAATGTCCAGTTATTGTCCAGCCATCTACCAATCAGTGTTGAACAATAATGTCAGAAATAATAAGACTTAAAAAGTACATAAATCACTATTACAATTCCACTGTTTTTATGAAGTAAAGAAAATCAGTCATTTTCATCTGTTTTTATTGTTATTGTTACGTTTACCTAATGCAAAACAAAACAAAACAAAATATCATGAGAAACATAGAAATTAGAGAAGATGGATAACCTGGTTCCGGACCAGCACAGTCCATATTTGGTGCTTTCAGCTGGTTATGCAATTTCTTTTTATTTTGGTAGGAAAAATAAGAGTTAGGTAACTCAGTTGAGTTCTGGGGCAACATCTTCAAAATCTAATCTGTAGACAAGCAGGTAGGCAGGCACTTACTGTATGTGACTAGACTATTGGACATTTATGCTTTCAATTATTCCATCAACAGTTTCATTTTTATGTTGAGTTGCATAGGTAACATGAAAGATGGATTTTTTTAATGCTTCAGAATGACATGATTTCTTACATTGCATTACTACTTGAGGGGTGTGTCACTTTCACATAAGAGTGAAGATGCACTAGCAAAAAGCTGTACACCGATGAGTCTTAAGATGGACTCATATTATTCTTGGTGTGTTTAGGTGGCAGCGCAGCTGGGGAGTGGCTCATAAGTGCTCTCAGCTTCAGAGTCTGACCCGACTGTCTCACCAGAACCCAAAGGAGCTGATCAATCTGCAAGGTAATGTTTCAATGGGGTCGTCATTTATAAATAAATGCTAAGATCGCAGTATATAACTTTTATTAAGAAATGCTTTTTACAGATTTGCTAAAACTATCATGTTATGACAGTCATCTAAGAAAAATATCAAGCGCCGTCTGAAGAAATGCATAGACAGCAATAAACAAGCAGTCAGAAAAAGGAGGGGGTCTTCCAATTGTCAATCATGCTAATGTACATGCTGCTGAGTGTGCTAATGGTGTAGAAACAACCTACCGTTACAGGGAAACCGTTAATCCCCTGTTACTGGTGGGCCATGTTAACTGGCTTTAGCATTCATTGCTGGCTCCATTGTGGTGAACCAGCTGCAGCGTAGCAGAAGCAAGGGGGAAATTGTGAGCAGCATCTACACAGGCGTGATTGACATTGCTAAGACCCACCTCCTGTTTCTGACAGAATAGTCTATTTCTGCAAATAGGGTAACAAACGTTCAACTATCTTTATCAAGGATTGCAGTACTTCCACATGATGCATCCATGAAATTTTCCCATGTTGTATTTACCAGACCCTCTGAAATCCCTCAAAAATGAGAATTCCCATTGTGGCCATATTAGTATTTTAAAAAATAGGAGGAGATTGTAGTGATTGTGTGTTCATTTGATGTCCAACATAATTAAGCAGAACAATGAAATAAATGAGAAAATAAAGCTGTGGTGGGATCATTTAAATGTTATCCCACCTCCCCACCAGGCCATACTGTTGTGTTCACTGACCAGTCGGGCATGAATGCTTCTGGAGACGTCATGCTGGGAACCATGGATGTTCACCATCAGTGGACCAAAGTAATACAGCTGGAGTTATTCTGCCGTAAAATGGTCTTTCTTCAACTTCATTTTCTGTAACTCTTCTCTGCATTTGTTTCCAGTTATTGCAGCAGCTGCCCAGCTATCGGAGTCTCCAGCAGCAAACAGACTGGTTGAAGGAAAGAATCAGTTGCCTTCTGGGTGGATCCCAAGTAATCCATGTCGGACCAGTCCAGCCCATCGCTGAGCATTACAGTGCACTAAATGCTTTTCACAAGAGCCTGATGTCCCGACGCCTGCACCTGCATCCCAGGAGCCTGCATGGCCTTACCATGGTGCTGGACAAGTATGTACTATGGGGTTCCAAGACTTTGGATTTTTAAAGTCCAGCTCAACATGATGAAAGTGAAGTTGATTTTGACTCGGTTTGTGATGTCATAGAAACAAAGGAGAGACGTTTCACAGCAACTAAGAGGCTTTATTGCAGATACCGACAAATCACTGCTTAGACACAAATCTGTTATATGGAAGAAAAACATGTTACAAATAATTCCCATTGAAAACGATAATAAGAAAAATTCCAGTTAATTTGCAAAACTGAATGAAAAGTACTAATGACTGTCAGAATAGCAGGACAGAAAAGTGACATGACTTGTTCAGTGGAGCTGTGACCTTCTGTCACTCTGACAGTGTGAAAGTTCTACTAAGTCAAGTCCAATTTTCTTTTTTCCAAACACCAAATGGTACTGATAATCAGGTACATGCTCATTGTTGCACCTTTGGGTCAAATTACTATCTTTAGGCATATGCATGTTGGAACATTATAACCAAAATCTATCATAAACTGATCACATTTAATAAAGGGAACCTACCTGGATTGGGTTCCCTAATTTCTGGTAAAAACTTACTGAGCTTTGCATGAAGCATTTATGTTTCAAAAATCTTTCTGGTTTCTGTTTTTGACAGTGATCGCTCTACACCTCGTCTCCATGAGATGGGGCACTTCATCATCCCCATCAACTGTGACCCTCTCAGGCTCCAGCTGTTCCTCCAGAGCCAGGCCCCTGAGGCCAGACGTCGCAGCCTGCAAACACATCAGTAAGACTCCTAGTTACTTCACTAAGATAATGAGTGCGCCCAGATTAGTTTTTCATTTGAACATCATTTGACCTTTTAAGTGCTGTGAGGACAGCCATGTCCACATGGAACCATTGTCTGATGCGTGTGTGTTTAGGGTGACAGTTTCAAATGTCTTTGTTAAAACAACCTGACATTAAACAAAAATCAGGTTGCAGACAAACCAGCAGCAAAGGGGCTGTGTGCTTGGGACAAACCACTGGTGTGAAAAGGGGCGGTGGGCCGCGCCACTGCTTGGAGTGACTTGTCCATGTTGTCTTTATCGTGTCAGAACAAAGTCTACACAAAGGAAATTGAGACCCAGTGAAAGCATTTCTAGGATTACTCAGCAAGTGGAATATAGATATCTTTGCACACATTTGCATGGTCTCTGCGTCCACATGCGAAGAATTTCTCTGCTCGCTTGCTTGCTGGCTCCTGCTTCTGCTCGCTCACGGTTAATGATTTTGGCCGTCGGTGGGTGGATCCGGTTGGACTTCTATCACTACATATGATTAGCTACATTCCTTGTCCTCTGTGATTAGTAGTCTTACTAGGAAGACGAAGAAGGGGACTCGCTGAGTTAGGACAGCAGCATTGCAGACCATCAGGAGGCAAGTTGCACTTATCTTGAATGCATAGTATTGGTGTGGAAACAAATTATTTCTACAGCTTGACATTCAGTTAAAATATGATGGTACAAGGCTGCAGCTGTCTGCCAGCAGCTTACAGTTGCTGACACTAGCTGACCAGCCTTTGTTGTCTGTCTGGATAAGAAATCCCCTGTGAATGGTTGCTATGTTAAGGAGGAGCAATTTTATAGAATGACATGCTGCGAAATAATCAAACACAATTTTAATTTTCTTAAGATGATTTGTCTTCATTAGGAAGGGAACTGTGCTTGAGGTAGGGTTAATATTAATGACTTTTGACAGTGAATAACACTTAATGACATTTATAACTAGTCCAATGTGTTCCACTGTGTAAGGGAAAATATTAATGATCTCAACCCAGATAGCAAGAGATTCAATGTTGAATTATGGTCAAAAAGGTTGAATTTATGGAGAAGGTCGACGATTAACAGTGGATCAACCGTCAAACCATCATCCAATTCTAGCCAATTAACTAATGTTGTAAAGATGTCATAGAATCAATGTCTTATGGGCGAATTCTAATGATTGAAAAGACGACTGATCAATATTGAGTCAATGCTGTTTGTCAGACCAATCCCCTCCTCCTCTTTGTGCTCTGAGTGGGAGAATTTCATTCAAACAAAAAATGTGATAAACTTATCTGTATTTTGATAAGTTTATCACATTTTAAATTAAGCACTATATGTTGAAGACAGTTGGTTGTGATTCCTATTCCTAGCTTTTCCACTGTGTAAGGGAAAATATTAATGACACTTCCTGTACATTTTCTTACTTACCTATAAATATTATTACTGACTGTTTTCTGCGTAACTGTGTGTACACCAACATTCACGGTGCACACAGAGCTTTTGCTCTGTACTTCCTCGCCATCTTGGCCTCGTCAACCACATCTCCATCCTGCTGGTGCCAGCATATTGTTCTCTGAGGAGACGGATTTGATCAACGAAGAAAACAGTCACTGTGAGCTCCATGACTGTTTCCAGTGCACAGATTAGCAGGCCTTCAGAGAGGCAAGTATATATGAGGGAGAGGTGGACCTGGAGGAATACACCTCCTCTGTTCTGGGCTTCATCTCTAAGTGTCCTGATGATGTCACCACCACCTGGACAGTAACCTGAACCAGAAACCCTGGCTGGATGCTGAGGTGAGAGTCTGCTGAAAGCTGGCAACGCTGCATTAGGAAGGAACTGACTGCAGGCATTGTGAGGGCCAAAGCCACATACACTTTGGGACATGACAGACTACAACATCAGGGATACACAATGCCCAAGCGTTGTGCATCACTGTCAGATGCACTCAATGAGCTCTACGCCTTCTTTAAGGATCCTAACACCACCCTCAGCTCCAGACTTATACCACCACCTTTTGCTGTCTGTGTGACCACAGCAGATGTGAGGAAGTTCCTCCAGGGAGTCAACCCCCATAAGGCTGATTCCCTGTGCACTCCAGCTGTTTGAGGTGTTGGCAGACAACACCTTCACCTGCTTAAAGACCGCTACTGTTGTCCTTGTCCCAAAGTGCTCCACAGTGGCAGGCCTGACTACCGACATGTAGCCTTAACATTGGTAGTCATGAACCACATCAAGGACTCCAGTGATGTCACTGTGGACCCCCGTTGGTACGCCTACAGGAAGAACTGCTCCACCTCTGATGTTGTCTGATCGATGGTCCACACAGCCCTCACACACCTGCTGAGCAGAAATTCTTACATCCGTCTGCTCTTTCTGGTTTCCTTCTTGGCCTTCAACACCATCATTCCACAAACCCGTCCAGAAGCTGTCCTCTCTTGGACTGAGTGTCACACTGGGGAACTCAATTCTGGATTTCCTGACCAACGTACCTCAGATTGTCAGGATCCACAACACCGTCTCCTCCTCCGTCACCCTCAGCATTGGCTCGCCGCAGGGCTGCGTGCTTTGTGCTGTGTGCTTTGTGCTGCGTGCTTTGTGCTGCGTGCTTCGTGCTGCGTTCTTTGTGCTGTGTGCTTTGTGCTGCGTGCTTTGTGCTGCGTGCTTTGTGCTGCGTGCTTTGTGCTGCGTGCTGAGCCCCCTCCTCTTCACTTCTCAGCAAGAGACCCAGTGCCAACGCCTCCCCTCTGGTCTGCGTCTCTACTTCCTCTGGAAGCTGCGGAGAGCTGGACTTGGGAACTCAGTGCTGAGCGATAGAATATTATTGTTTATAATCATTTATAAACAACAAATTACTTTATTACATATAATTTTTATCTATTTATTTTGTGTATTAAATTTCTCAATCTGGGATCTCAGTCCGAATTTTGTACCACAAACAAGCAAAGGTGGCATATCAATAAAAAATGTTTTTGCATCCTGAATCCTTGAATAATGTGTTATTCAAAACGTCTACAGGTTATGGCTTCATTATCATGCCAAAAGTCGAGAGAGTAATTGAAGACAGTGCACATAATTGCACTGCAAGCGGAATGGAGAGGTGTGAGAGCGTATTGGTGTGTTCACACCAAACGCGTTACCTGCATCAAAAATGCGTCCAACACTTTAAATTCCACGCGTGTGCACATTGAATGCAGACATTTTGCTCTACATCCAGCGTTTCGTGTGTCCGGCTCGTCTAGTTTACATTCAAAGTGTGTGTGGAGGCACATCGGATCCAGCCAGTCTTCTGCTACACATGATCCTCTGTGATCCTAAATTCCAACCTTTCAGCAATGACCGTGAGTTTTCCTGATAAGTCTTCCTCATGATTTTGAAGGTTTATCCTTGACCAGACTGACAGATTAAGAGCTCAGCTCCAAGTTGATATTTCTGTGCTATATATTCTGTATTTAGAAATATTAAGTTGAATATACTTTATTGATCCCACAAGGGAAATGAAATGTTGTAACTCAGTTTTCTTCAAAGATGAGATCCACAGCATCAGAACCTGGGACATAAAAAGGCTCAGCAGCCTGATAAAGAATGCTGGTTCTGTTCCGGTTCTGTTCTGGTTCTGTTCTGGGGACGACTGTGATCCCTTAGGGGATCACAATGTAAAGAAGGATTCTTCATAAAGTCAAGAAAATCATGGACAACTCTGTCCATCCTCTTTATGAAACTGCTATTCAGTAGCAGAGTGTCTTCAGTCAGAGGCTTTTTCAGATTTGTTGTAATACAGACTGCTACAGAAGATCTTTCCTGGCTACTCCCGTCACAAACGTTTAACAAAATGTTCAGTAAGTTTTGAACATTTGATTTTCCTTTGGGATCAACAAAGTATTGTTACCTGTCAGTGTTGAACTATATCTAATCAATTTGACTGCAGTAGAAGAATTTGGCTTAGATGCAAACCCACATCTAGAACAAACTTTAGAAAACTGCAAACAAACAGTCAAAACACTGAGTTTCTTTAAATCAAGGAACTCAAAAAGCCACTTGTTTAAAGCTGCTTTTGAAACATTTTAAATGGAACATTGACCAATGATTTTGATGATGGGATTTGACTAAATGAAATGTTTCCTGGTTTCTCAAATTCCTGATTATATGATGTTTTCATAACATTTTCTTTGTGTTTTTATGATGTAAAGCTCTTTGAACTGCCTTCTTGCTGAAATGTGACAGACATAAAGACAAATAATGGCAATCAATTGGACAGGGTGTACACAAAGTGCATATCTTTTGATCTATGATTAATCCAAAGGACAAAATAAGTAATGTAATTTAATCTGACTGAGATATTAAGAATTACAAAAAGCAGGATGTCCCATTTTGGACAGGTCAGGTGCCATAAGGGTTAAGCTGTACCGCCTATTGGTCTATCTTGGTCCATCATTATTACAAGAACAAATTTGTCCTTTTTGACCTGAATGATTCCTGAGAGAAGGTGATGCACTAGACCACAGAGCTGGAGAAAAGAAGCAGCCCCTCAATCTGGACTCATTAGGTTTTGGAGCCCACCTTCGACCCCTGTGCTGGAAGAGCTCACACCTCTTTATCAATTTTGTCATTGACTCATCTTCCTCTCTGTGTATTTTGGAAAGGTTGCAGGTAGAAGAGGAGCAGGCGGTGCAGCTCTGTGTCCAGAGGCTGTCTCTGAGGGGCCTCTCCAAGGAGCCCAGCTTGAGCTCCAGTCACATGATTCTCTGCTGCAGGAGACTCATAGAGCATCATCCCCCACTGCTGCAGGGACTGCATGTCTGTGTCTCCCACTTTTACTCTGTCATGCAGGACGGCGACCTATGTGTCCCCTGGGACTGGAAGAGCTGAGACAATCCTTCAGAGAAAAAAAAAAATATATATATATGTTTTATGGCTACTGTGGATTCAACTCTGAGAAAGGTTTTGTATTCACAATCTAAAATTAGTGATAAATGTAAAACTTGAAAACACAGCAAACCACAGAAACTGTATGTTGAAGTTAAGAATGCAGAAAACAATTAAACTTGGTCGTTGTGTTGACAGGATGAACAAATCCTGTTCAAGTGTAAACCAGCACAACTCATCCTTCAAGAACATACACGTCTCTTCATATCACCCTTCCTAAAATACAATGGTGAGGAGGAAAGCTACTTAAGATATGATCCAATAAGTAACTCAGGTATGCCAATAATTACTGATTACAAAATATAACTGAAACGCTTCTATAGGTTTTCTATCTAGTGGTATGCTAAAAAAGTAGATTAGCTATGAAAATTGAAGTTTAGACTGAAGCTATGGAGAAGAGGCAGCTGGAGAGGCTGAACCTGAACAAGGCTGCAACTCCAGATGGTGTCAGCCCCAGAGTCCTAAAGGCCTGAAGCTGCAGAGCACCTCTGTGGAATTCTGCAGGATTTCTTCAACTTTAGCCTGACCCAAGACAAGGTTCCACTGTTATGGAAGACGTTTGTCCTGGTTCCGGTACCAAAGAAAACTCACTCATCAGTCACCAATGACTATAAACCTGTTGCCCTGACAAGCCACATCATGAAGGTCCTGGAGAGACTCCTGCTGGCCCTTCTGACTAAGCAGACAAAGACATATCAAGACCCCCTGCAGGCTGCTTATCGCCGTGGATCTGGAGATGATGATGCCATCCTACACAACAAACCCACTGTCATCTGGTCAAGCCAGCCAGGCAGCACTGTGAGGATCATGTTCTTTGATTTCTCCACAGCTTTTAACACAATTCAGCCTGATCTGCTCTGTGAGAAACTCCACAAGACACAGGCAGAGTCCTCAACAATCACCTGGATCTAGAACTACCTCACAAGCAGACCACAGTTTGGGAGTCTGAAGGCTGTGTGTCTAAGCAGCTGGTCAGCAACACTGCAGCACCACAGGGCCCTGTACTCTCACCATTCCTTTTCACTCGTCTGCAGAAATACTCAGATGACTCTGCAGTTGTTGGTTGAATCACAGATGGACAAGAGGCTGAGTGCAGCAGACTGGACTTCTTGAAGAGAAGGATTATTCATAAAATCACGAAAGTTATGGACAACCCTGACCATCATCTTGTCTTGGAAAAGCAGAACATCTTCAGTCAGAGGCTTCTTCAAAGTCACTGTAATACAGACTGCTACAGGAGAACTTTCCTGCCAACAGTGATCAGTGTTCACAATAACTCTTTGAAGAATTAATGAGTTAAACTTAAACCTTTCATGCTTTGTGGTCCATGTTGTGGATTTTTAAGTTATAAATGAAGTGTTTCTGAATTTGAATATTCTATTTAATGACTAGTCCAAGTCCACCATACAAACACTAAATACATTTATTGCCTCTTAATTTCAGCACAAACTCCTCAGTCACATTGAAGCTGAATCCCAGATGGACAGATCCTCCACTCTCTGAAGCTTCAAAAAGATTACAGCTGACTGATGGGTGACTCCAGGCAGCTGAAGTTACTGCACAGCTTTATTGAAGTTACTGCTCAGGTTTATTTCCGTTGAACTTGTGTGAATGATGAGGGCAGCTGGGGGGGCTGGGAAGGTTTCTTGCGCGGATCTGGCGAGGACCTATGAAGGGTTGAGGGTAGCAGCTGGTTCCTCTTGATGATCTGCAGAGCCAGCTGAGTGTTTCCTAAGGAGACATGACAAAAGCTCAGCAATCACCTGAAACGCAGATCTAAACTGGATCAGCACACTTTTAAAATGCACAGCTGAAAAACACAAACAGATTCTGGACACAGTGGAGAAAACGATGAACATAAGAAAAAATGGAACCATGGCAACACATGCAGTAATACTGGAGAAAACAAGAACTAAAGTCAGTTCTTTGTTTTCAACAAGATCTTCAAACGGTTGCCTTTGAACACAAGCTCTACACACCAAGCAAAGAAAGGAAAAAATCATGATCTGCTTTGTCCACCTCACAGGAAGTGTCTGCGTACCTGAAATTTGTTTAGCTGTCAGATGACAAACTGTTGAAACGTTGGAAGTGTGGCAAAGATTGAAGCTAGATTCAAATCTCCAGACATTACTAACTGACTGGTAGTGTGTGCAGTTTGCCAAACATTGAGCTGATAAAAATCATAAACATTTATGGCCTTCATTTGGTCCATTTGATCTACTGAGATGTTGAGCTGTTGCCTAAAACCTATTCAACAAAAACTAAGTAGAAACACTTTGAGAATAAATTCCAAAGAAGCAAATAACAGCTGCTGTATATTTTAGACCTTTGAAAGCGTCTCAATCTGTTGAAGATGAAACTTTTTCAGAAATACAAACCGTTTTGTAGCTCCAGGTAGACGCCCAGCAGGATGGCTTCAGGCGGAATCTCTTTAGAGTTCATCACAGATGCAGCCTGACAAACACAAATATATCAAAATGGAGAAATATTTCAATAAGTTAAGATTTGCTACCTAGCAACTAAAATGTCAGCAAAATGAGCCTTTAATGCAAAAGTGAAATTTTTAGTAGACATGTCACTTCAGGCATGAGAGTATATGTGACAGTTCTACACAACAACATGAAGAGAGGATATTTAACTGTAGCTGTCTAGTGTGTGATGACAAAAAGCACTTATGGATGATTCTCCATTGATCAACTAATTTAAAAACTTGATTATCCTAATTTTAATTTAGATCCAATTTTCAGAAGCAGAAAATTGGATGTATTTTTGCAGCAACAAAAGAAAACTAGAAGTGTTTAGGGATGAGTATAGCTTTAGCTAAACAGCACATTATTTGAAAAAACTAATACTGTGATATGAATGCAATATGAAAAAACACAATATCAACAGATGACTTGAATAACACCTGAAGTCATGCTGCATCCGGCCAGCCTGTTACCCTATTAGAGCTGGAAATATTAGAAAATCTGGCAGTGGAGAAATTATTAGAAAATATAAAATGTTTCTGTCCTGTCCATCTCATCTGTTCTTCCATCAGTCTGTGACGGTTACGGATGCTGCTAAAGGCGGCGTCCCACCACAGGACAGGTAGGGGTCCCTTCATTCTGGGTGGAGAATGAACCCTAACCCCAACCCTAACCCATCGCCACTCCAGCAGGTCTCCTACCCCAGATGGTATCCAGAGAGTGGGGGTTTGGAAGGACCACCAGTCTCCCTTCACTCGTTCAAATATGGTGTTGAGGAGTGTTTTTTAAATCAATTTTTGTTCACTGACCCTAACTAAATGGAGAATAGACGGGAAATGGGGACGAGAGAAAAGGGCGTTGCGTGTGTAACCCACGTTAAAATGTCATAAATAGGAATAAATAGTTGATTAAAAGTCTGTAAACAGAAAATTGTATCGCTGCCCCTTTAAGGGACCAGCGTCACAGCAGCAGCGTCAGCTGCAGCGTCACACAGGCCAGAGAGAGCGCGCAGAGGAGAGAGCAGTAATTAATCAACAGCAAAAGTTATCATTATAGTTGAGAAACATAATTACCTGGTCGGGAACTGACAGGAATTCTATGAGAACTAAGCTACATCGGTTTTGGTGAGTTTTATGTTTATTTTTTCGCACTTTCGCCGTTTTGTACTGTAAAATTGTATTGTAAAAAACGTGGCCGTTACAATAGCCGTTAAGAAGAAATGCTCCGTTATAAATTGTTATTCGGTTAACATATTGAGTTCAAGAAGAATTTATTTGTATAATTTGAAGATTTAAAAAGAGTTTTATTGTGTTTGCGACCTGTTATACAGGTCAGGTTTTTTGGAAGCTCGGTCGGAGCCAGGATTCATCTGCCTTGTGCTGCGCGCACATTCACGGATGGGATTCAAGATGGCGAGCCAGACCCAGACCTTCCGTTCATCTTCTGCATCACATTAATTCGCTGCCAGGGCGAACTGAACTGAACAGAACTGATCATTTATTGAATTATTATTTTTGTTTTGGATCGAGTCAACTAAGACTTTTCATTGAACTGAATAACTGAATTCATTTTCGGATATACTTTGATTTCTATATATTATATCTTTGAATGTGATTTGAACAATTGTATTTCATTTTGGTTTGATTGTGTTGGAGGTATTTTCTTACCTGTAAAAGAAAGGAAGATTAACTCAGAAAAAATAGAAATCTTGAAATAGATATAAGCTAGGAAATAAAAGAGATCAGTCTAATTAAATTAGATTAGTTTTACTAAAATAAACTAGGTAAACTAAAGACCACAAAAGAAGAGTGATATACTCTTTATTTATTTTCTTCTATTTTTTAGTTTCATTTACCTCCTTATTGAGAATCTGCAGAGTTTCTTTGTTTATGTGTTGCATCTTATTTGTGTGTTTTACATTTAGTAAATTGCCGGCCTATTTCACTTAAGCAGCGGTCTCTGGTGTTGTTATTCTTGCTCCCCGCTCCTTAGAACCTAGATCTGGTCCAGTGGTGCAGTTAGCTGTGTGATACCGGTGCTACACGTGCTGCAAGAAAAGCTCCCAGGAAAAGACAAACAGGGAAAATCTGAAGACAATGAGGCCAAGCCTGCTCTCACTGCCGTCTTCACTCCCTTCTGATGTTTGTGTTGCAGTGTTAGTTTGCCAGGCACACAGTGAAAGGGCCTCCAGCATTAGGCAATGACGTGTGGAGGTGGGTACCTGATGCAGGCATTTGCGGGCCTTGTCATACTCGCTCCTCAGGCAGTAGGCGCTGCCCAGGTTGAAGAGCATCATGGCCTGCGCTGCTGCCACGCTGCTGGGGTAAAACAGCGGCATCTTCTTAGCTGCTGCACAGACAGGGAGTGACGTCACTCTACATTCAGGAATTATTTCACTAGTTAGAATACTGCAGGACGGGACCAAACACTAGCGTGACGGCTTACATGGCTCTATGGGCTCATCTTTTTCATGTCCTGCAGATAAAAAATGAAACGATTATTAAGAAAAGAAAATGTTTGGTCTAGTTTACTGAAGTGTGAGAGTCCACACACCCTGGTCCTGCTCACTGCTGAGCACGCCTAGTGACACGTCGCTGATGTTCTCTGGGTTCAGGTGAGTGATTGCATCAGATATTCTGTCCAATGAAATGAGAGCTTCAGCAGCATACAGGTGACCCAGAAACCTGCAGGAGGAAGAGATACAGCAGCACATCACATAGATCAGCGTTTTCTAACAACTCTGGTTCTCAACTTACACTGACCTGCCTGTTTCAGATGTTCCTCTGCATCGATCAGAGGATCACACACCCCATTCACATGATTGCAATTCAGTAAAACCCTGTTAACCAGCCACCAGTAGAAGTCATGGGTGCTGAAGGACTTGCAGGGCAGTGTGCCTTGAAGACCAGGGTTGAAAAACACTGACATAGAGAACTTTAGACAGCCGTTCAATTGCTTGTTAGCAAAAACAGCAAATTAGACAATCCCAATCGTCCTGTATGAAATCAAGAATTTCTAAAGAAGGTCTTTAGGTGACCAACAGTAGCCTGTTTCTTGTCCCCTAGAACACACACACACACACACCTCTCCGCTTCCTCACTGAGCTTGGGACAACTGACCAGCTGCAGCACACAGACACACACTGTGGGAACAGGCCATGGAGACTTAAAGGACAAAACAACTTTTAAAACACAGTAAGAGCAGCTGGAAGCCAGTAAACGCTTCGTAGCACCAACTGACATCTGGTTCACATCCAAAACGTTCAGCAGAGGTACTGAAAAGAAAAATGTGATTTCAACCAGAACCGGTCTGTACTCATTTTAAAACAATAAAAACAGTAAAGACAAAAAAAAAAAAACCAGCTGGTTTATATCCCAACAACATTCACCTTTATTTATTTGAAGCTTCTATTCCTTTGCAAATATTTTTGAATAAATAGTTGCTACTCTACTCTCATTGTCTCTTAAATCTCCTCTATGAAAACTTTGGAGTAATTCAAATTCCTCTGGTCCAACATTCTGCTACATGGGAACCTACACACACCACACACTGGTTTCCAGTTCACTTTAGGACAGAATTTAGATTGTCCAGTGTGCTTGTTAAGCTACCAACATCCTTGCCCCTCCTTATTTAGAGGGGCAGGAAATATTTTTTTTGCTTCCTAATTCAGAATTGCTGTCTAAATGGGACTGAAAAGGTTCTGTCATGTACAGCAGTCAGAGGTAATGATGGTGATGCTTACCTGAGGGAGCCAGACACCTTGGTTTGATGAAGCAGTTTGTCAGCGTGGTGCAGAGCCAGCAGGTTGTCTCCCAGGGCCAGCGCCACATAGGCACTACAAGCCAGAATGGAACACCTGCAAACCCACCAGCTCTGGTTACCCACACAGCAAACATCATCCTGTCACCATCACGGCTCGCTGTCTTTACCTGAGGTTTTCCACCTCCTGTTTTCGAAGTGGAGACGATGGAGTTGCAGAAAAAAACTTATCAGCTTCCTGACTTTTTCCACTGTAAACAACAAGAACGATAACACACCATGTGTCTCAATCAACAGCAACATCCAGTCCTGGAGAACATTCAGTGCAGCATTACTAGGACTCCTAAATCTGAAAATGATCAAATAAGCAAGAAAGATCAGCACTTTGCTAAGTGTCTGTGTGTGTGGGTGTGTGAATAAAGCATCAAATTGGAAAAATCAAAGTTTTCTTTCATTTGCAAAAAAAAGTCTCTAGATTATCCATGTTGTGGAATGATGTATAATAATCTGTATGGAATGATGAATATTTGGAGCTTGGAAACCAGCAAACATCCATAGAGACTTTTAGCCCTGAAGCAATGCTTGTTTTCTTAGCAGCTGCAGTTTCATGGTCAGCAGTGTCTCTCAATGCAATTATAGTGACTGCTTTCTGTTTACATTGTAATTGTTCATAAACCATCATGTCTTCTTTCTTCTCAGTTTTCTGTGTTTTGAGCCACAGAGCTGACAGACATCATCTCAGCTAAAACAAATCTACAGTTAGACTTCCAATAAACCTTCTAATTCACTCCGAGACATCATAATGTGTGCCTGTGATTTTTCAGAAGAAGAATGAAACATCTACAAAGAAAGAAATGAATTGGATTTTGTGCTCCAGCTTCATCTATATGGGTGGGATTCAGGTTGTCAGAAAATCAGTGAGTAAAACTGACAAAATTCTGACAAATAAATGCAAATCTTCCTATAACACACTAATCATGTCAAGGTTCAGGAAGTTACGACCCACACACATACAGATGCAATGGTACACCTGACCTGCAGGGGTCACTGTTCTCACTGCCGCTCTCGGTGCTTCCTGATTGGCTGGAGTTCTTGGAGCCGCTTTCAGCCTTGGCGCCCTGCTGCTGGTGTTCAGGCAGCAGCAGCAGGGCGTTCCGCAGGCAGATGGCAGCGAACTCCATACTGGCTACAGGGATGGCAGCTGACTGGCCTTCACTGAACAGAGACAGCAGAACGCAGTCAGCATCCGGATCAGCTCACTGCCTCCTACATGACAAGTTAAAGTCTTTCCTGTCGTAAGCATCTCAACCCGTAATCTCGTATTTGAATTTCAGTGTTGAAGGACGTCTGACTGACCTGTAGTTGGTGTTCTGTGAAGACTGTGATGCCAGAACAATCTTGCGATGGTATCCTTGTCCAATTACAGACTGGATTATTCCCTTTTTACTAGGTAAACTCTTGCTTTCCTGCTCAGAGCCCTGGAAACATTAGCAAACATCACAACTTGTTCACAAACTATGTTGCCCAGTTTTAACATATTATATTTCAAAGTATAAATATATTTCCTATGTAGTTAAATCCGCAGCTGACGACATTTCCACAATACCCTGAACAATCCAGAACGAGTTTTTCCATTCATGTGGAAAAAGCTTTTGACCGTACGGAATGGAAATATTTATCGGAAATATTTGGGATCCATTTAAATTTTAATCATAGATGGCAGGTATGCAAGAGTGGGATCTCTGCTCTGTGGTGGAGTTTTATGTTTTTCCTTTTCTATGTAACAGTAGTCCTTTTATTTTTTCAAATGTTTTGTTTTTGTAAAATACTTTCATAAAAACATTTTGATAAAAAAAAAATCATCAAAAATTCAAAGATGGGTTGCAACACAAGGCAGTAGGCCTGTCGTAATAAACAATGAATCAATTAACCGCACAATAAATGAAAGTTATCAAACTCATCTTAATTTCTTGGTTTTATCGTTTCTTTCTGCATTTTCCTCTTTCTATTGATGACACTTGAAAAAGTGTCAAACTCCGATGCTCCCTGCTAACTCCTCCCTTCCTCATTTCCTTAGTGAAATGTCCAGTTCACACTACACGATTTTAGAATTGTCGGCCGATCATCGGGCCATTTTCAAAACCTGAGACCACAGACTAGCCGACAGAAAATCCAAGGTGTAACGGGTTGGATCTTGCCATGTGGTGTCCAGCAACACGGCAAGAGCAACATGCCACACAAGAACCGATTTCTCTCACTCACATTCAGATTTCAGACAGAAAATCCCATCAAAACCCTCTGTATCACATTTAGACTGAACAAATAGGGGTGATGACACAGACAACAGTGATAGTTTGTGAGCTTATTTTAAGCCATAAAAGATGTAACAAAAAAAGGAAGGCGTTGGATAAGACTACAGTAGCAATTCCGCTCTACTTGCTCTCCTTGTCATTTTTGTGGACATTCTTTGCATAAAACGAATACACATAAATAAATGTTGTTTCCATTTATGTTCATTCAACATAAATGTTGAAAAACAAGGTTCAGCGTTGGAGACGATGTCAGCTGTCTGGGTTTTCCCTTCATGCTTTCCCCTCAGAAATCCCTCCATTTTCTTCTGGTTTTTGGTTCAATTTACCAGTTCCAGTGTTAAGAGTTCTTTTGAAAATAAAGTGCATCTTTTTTTGGCAGGATATTGCTTGCATTATTATGTCATGACCATTAAATCAGTTTAAAATGTTCTTCAGACAGTATTATCATTTATCGCAATCATTTTTGAGACAATTAATCCCTCAGCAAAATTTGTGATTGTGACAGCAGGAAGCAAGTACTCCATTAAACCAGTCGCTTCAGTCTGTTGTCAAAACACCTTTCCTTATTATTTCACTTTTTATATGTCTTGATGCAGGAGATATAAACACATGTGTCTGGAATAATATTTTAAATTAATGTAATTATTTCATTCAAGCCATCTAGAAATATTTGAATTTGAAATTCATAAAACAAATTTGCTGTGATGGACTGGCGACCTGTCCAGGTGACCCCACCTCTCGCCTGCTGACCGCCGGAGTTGGGCACCAGCAGCCCTCCTGACCCCAAAGGATGTAAGAAAATGGATGGATGGAAAACAAAGATTTCTTTTAGTTTTAGGTTGCGATTCACTAACACACCAATTCCTACGGCCCTAAAGAGATCTGATCTCTAAAATCAGGAACTCAGCAGCTGGTGGCTGCAGGCTGAACATACATACCCCTTTGTTAGCAGAGATGCAGCATTCAGCCAGGCGCAGCCACAGACGCGGGTTGGAGTGGTAAACCTGAACGGCCTCCATCAGACACTCGAAGGCTGCCAGCGGCCTGGCGGCGTGCAGCAGCTGGACGCCACAGTTATACAGCAGCTCATATCGCTTGTTGGACAGCAGGGCACACATAGGGACACCTGACAGTCTTTTACCTGGAGACAGAAACTCAGCATTCAGCCCCTCTGTGACTGGACTGAAATCTAATAGATAATCACCAGATCACCAATTGTTCTATTTTGGTTCAGTTTTCCTAACACGACTGCAGTCAGAGGAAGATCCATAAAGCATGGCGAGATAAATCAAAGTCACCATGGAAACAGTCTGGGTTCTCAGCTTACACTGATTGTTGCCGCCGCCGTCTCCCAGTTGTGCACAAGTGTGATCGTTCTCCTGCAGCGCCTTCTTGAAGTAGAAGATGCCCAGGTTGTGTTTCCCCATTGCAAAGTGGATGCAGCCCAGATTGTTCCAGAACATACAGCGAACACATTCACCTGGATCAAACAGACGGGTCAGCCAGGAGCCTCAGCACGGTGTGTGTGCATGTGTGTGTGTGTGTGTGTGTGCATGTGTGTGTGTGTGTGTGCATGTGTGTGTGTGTGTGCATGTGTGCGTGTGTGTGTGTATAGAAGAATTTAAAATAACAGCTTCACATGATGTGTGGAGATCCCACAGATTGACTGCAGGCTGGCGGTCAGCAGATCTCACCGGTTCTAATGGGTCCAGGATGCTCTGCCATGTTGGAGCTGTTCAGCAGCTTCACCGCTTTGCGGTAGTTTCCTCTCAGATACTCAAAGTTACTCTTGAGGAAGAGAGAAGGAGCAGACTGGAAGACAAGAGACAGGAGAGAAGGTTCTCTGAAGACTCTCTTCTGCTTCACACTCACAAAGAAGACAACGTGGTTTAGACAAGGATCTGCCTAACGTCCCACAGCTCTATGTATGACACTAAAATTTGACTTTGTCCAACTTTGGCCCAGATGTTCCCTGCTGCAGCGTTGTCATGGACACTCACATTCCCTGCTGTGTTCATCACTGATTTAATCTCTCTCTTACAGGCCTTGGAGGACTTCATCTGAATGTACGCTCTCACTTTGTACTGGAAAAGAAGCCAAGAACAGGCAGCTGGTGAATCAGAGAGAACCTGAACAGCAGATCATCTTTACACTGACCAACATTCCTACCTGATGGATTTTGGATTTGGCTGCTTCCATCATTGCTACAAACTCCACCTTTTGGTTTGATCCTGAGTTGTTGCTCTAAAAAAAAAACACACACTTCTAATTAACAATATTCTGACATTTACCTGAGCTTAGGGTTCCCACACATCTTTGAGGGAAAAATGTCATGAAATGAGATGATGGTTGATTTCAGGAGGAACAGGATTAGATCAGACTATTTCCATCAAGAAGTGGAGGTGGTTGAGGAATAGAAATATCTCAGTGTTTGTTTCTATATAGGTATTTTATAATTATATTGTGCTTAATTTCCCTTTGGGATTAATAAAGTATTTTTCAATTTGAATTATTGTCCAGCAAAATGTGTTTTGGTGACAGGACTATCTGTGTGTAAATTGTCTTACTCTGAACAACAATAAAACATTTTTTTTCATTTGGCAGAGTGGTCAGCTACCTCTGCCTTGCCGTTCTTGTTGCTTCCTTGTACAGAGATCTTGTCCAGAACGGCCAGCAGGTGGAGCGCCTTCTCTGGCTGGAATGTCAGCAGGTAGAGATCCACCAACAGGAAACACACTGACTGGGCAAATTTCTCTTCTAGAGCAAATACAATAATTAGCTCCAAGACAAAGGCCTTCTTGTTCAAAAATTCACATTCCAGTTATCATTCAAAAACACATCATCAGGTTCTTAAGCGAAACCAAAAACTTTAAAGTTGTTGCTGCTGAAAAAGCAGCAGGGACTGTGAGCAGCAGCACAACATACCAAATGGTTCCAGGAACTGGTAGAGCTTCTCTCCGATAGAGATGGCCTCAGAGTACTGGCGCATGTGGTAGTGGATGATGGCCTGGTTATAGTACAGCAAACTATTCTCAACGTCATCCAAGCCATCAACATCTTCTGTGGCTGTGTGAAGCTGGGACACACAGCTCAGGTCATGAACAAACACAGGTGTGTGTGTGTGTGTGTGTGTAGAAGAGAAGAGACAGGGATGTGTAGCTTTACCTGATTCTTCATCGATGAAAGGGTCTGCTTCAACAAACCTGTCGCAGTCTGGCCACTTCTGTAGAACTCTAAAACAGCTTTATTCAAAGAAATTTTGTAGTCCTCTTTGTTGAGCTCCTGCAAGGCTTCAAGCTGTTTCAGAGACTCGTCATACTTCCCAGCCTAGGAAGAGGATGTTGGACAATCTCAAAAATCTGGAGCAGGTGGGGGAATTATGTGATAGCGAACTATAATAAACAAACAGCAAAGTCCATAAACACTCATTCCAACTTTTACTGACACAATCACAATCATCATCAATTACCTTGTATGTGCAGCTTGATGCATTGCTGTTACACCTACAGCTCATTCTATACATGTTTTGTGCTGAGACATTTCTAATTATGAAACGGCATTGGTAACAGCTGCAGATGAATGAGACGAGATGCTCTGCATGTTCTGACCCACAACCTGCTGGCAGCAGCACCATTAAACAGGAAGCAGAAGATGAGGTACAGTTCCAGTCCAACCAAATGCTAGTTTGGACCAGCCTCGTTTGGGTCGAGGCTGGTCTGTGTTCACACCAGTGAACCAAAACCACCACATAAAATGGGTCTGGGTCCAAGGGTTCACTTGAGTGTATTCACACATGCAGGACGGGTCTGAGGAAACCGTTAAAGTGGACCCATTGTGGCAGGTGTAAGTGGACCCTAAAACAGTTGGATCTGAATTGACCTGGCAGCTAACGTTAGGCTGTGACACTATAATTCATGCTTTTGCTCCTTTTATTATGTCTTCAGATTTCCTGTGCCAAATATATAAAGCTGCAAACAGACAGATTATGTTAAGATCCCCCAAAACATTAAAAGAGAATATTTACCAGAAAAGCTTCGTATGCACTCGTTGCCATCTCCTTCTCTTGGTCCGTCATCCCACTGGACGGCGAGCCGTTATGTTTTGCCTCATTTAATTCTGCTCAATTAAAACAAACAGATCAAAATATGTGCCAAACGTCACAATATGATATTTAGGGTAGAAATTAGACCTGGCTTCTCCAGCTTTACAATAAGACACAGGCAGAATAAGGAGCATTAAAAGTAGCTCACCAAATGAATATCCCATCTAGTGACAAGTGGAAAACATAAATAGAACTAATCATAGCTAGAGAATAATAATAATAATAATAATAATTAAAACAAAAAAAGTTTAACTCCTAAAGAAACACACAAAACATTCATGAAGAAAGCATCTAAAACACATGGCCAGAGTTGCTTCTCCACAGTAGGAAGCAGTGAGCATGGCTGGACCCAGATCCCAACACAATTAGGATCTGTGTCAATTCATCTGAACCAGCTCATAAACAAGGTTGATATGTCATTCTGTGTCCAGCAACCCAGCTGGACACATTATTAGAATTATTAATCCAATTATCTAAATGTGGCTGTGAACAGCAGTGGGTCTGTTGCTCAAAGTACCGGCGATCTCCCTCCTCAGAAAACGAAATCTGGGTTTTCTCGACTCCTGCACTGATTGTCTCTGGGCTATTTTCAGATAAAAGCGTAAAGCTGCCATTATGCTGGTATTGATGAAACCAGTCAGATGCTGAGACGATGCATAGATGCATAGAGCTACACCGGCTGAAACATGTTTGAAATGTTTGATGTTTGAAAAAAGTCCAGGGTCACAGCTAAACAAAGAGAAAACATCAACACGTTCCTTTAAAATATCGTTGACAAATAATTGCTTTTCGTTATCCGATCACCAACTTGAAGTTAGCATAGCTAGCCACTTAGCCTGAAAAAACTGAGAAACTCACCGCTGTTCTCTGCCATTCCCACTTCAGCTCTTAAGGATAATCAGAAAATATTAAGCTGCTGTAAAATTAGGCTACGTTAAAAAATGTCTACTAACTAAAGTACATGGAAAAGTGACGGATAAACACTTAATATCTTCAAGTAGATAAACAAAACTGTAAACCAAATGATCTCATCCGCTCGAACATTTTCTTCTTTGGTGTTTGATGACAATCCTAAACCGTTCAGGAACTCAGTGGCGCCCCTTATTGGTAAACATTCTTCTTCTTGAGTTTATTTGGCGGTTCCACAAAACGTTCAGTAAGTAATTCTGCCACCTATTGGTATGGAGTGTGATTCATGGGGATTTAATCAATGTGTAATTACAAACTTATATATATCTAAACATCTGAATATACATAAAGTAGAGTAAATGTTTGATTTAAGTGATATTGTTCAGCAAAAATATTTCACCTCTGAAATATTTTTGCAGTTTCATAGGTGAAACAGAGAAGTTGCTGAGCAAACTGAAATGTTTAGTACTTAGAAAATACATGTTAATATATGAATATTTTCTTGAACTTAGCTAAAATCAATTTATACTAATAGCAAACGCAATATAGTGTCTCCCATTATCTGAGGTCTTCATAGAAAAAGTGAAGCATAGCAAACATACTGGATAATTAAAAGTCCAGGCAAACCTGAATCTATCATTTTAATAATAAAAAAAATCTGCTAGGGATGTAACTTTATGGTTTCATTTCTCTCAGCGGTGTCTCAGAGACAAAAAAGGCCTCATGTCTGTGTAATGTGAGAATAGCAACCTAGAGAAAAAATTACTCTAATGTGAATTATAATTATGAAGCAGCAAAGGTATCATGCTATATTTTGGGATTCAGGAAATAAGCCAATTTTTACTATTCAGGGCCATCCAAAGCAGAAGCAAACTAAGCGGCTGGTTAAGGCCCCAGGGACCAATGGAGGCCAACCCAAATGGAATTTTAATTTTAATTTTTTGTAATGATTTATGTGATTACATTAACAAAAACACAACATTTCATTATAAGGTTGTGGTTTTAATAGTAATATATATTTGATATTGTATGTAGAAATCATTTTCTATATGGACATAAAAAATAAATTGCTGGTGGCCACGGTAGTTCACGGTAACATCCAAATCTCTAAAGCACCAGTGGAAGATAAGTTATCAAAATAATGTCACAAAAAAGGACTTATCCTTGAGGGAGAGAGAAAAGAAAGAGGAAGAATAGAAAAAACCAAGATAAAGGTTTATTTGCATGTATGCCTAGACTTTTATAAATCACTACCCAAGCAAAATTTGATTTTGGGGCCCTCTATTTCCACTCATGATGTGGATTGCTGCAATCAACAGTCAGATGATTAGATCATTCACACACCTCCTAAACTTATTGCATCTCTGACAGAGCTTCTTACATTATATCCTACATGCATGTGTCATGTATAATACATTTATCTGTGCCAATTTCCTTCATTTTGAGGACTGTATCCTGAGTGTTTGGCATGTGGGTAAAAAGTATAACAAAACCATGACACAAAGAGATCACTTTGATCTCTTTGAGGATCAAAGAGGAGTAGAATTTTTAATTCAAACATTTGGACATCATTTGAAAGACAGAATATCACATTAATGCAAACACACAACAAACTCAACAAACCCACTTTCCTTAAAATCAGTCTAAAATTCTTTCAAGGAAAATGATATGAAATTTTCTTTTCTTTTACATTACAGATCATATAATTGCATTCAGCAGATACATAGATATATAATTTCAGTTGACACATCACTCCTGCTTTTGCCTATTGGGATCAAATTGAAATGTACAGTTAGATTCATTTTCTCTACATGTCTGCATCAATCCTGACCTGATGCTGACCAAATCATCAGGTGAGGGACAGACAGCATCTGTCCTGGACTGATCCACCCCATCAGTAATTAGGATAGGCTTTCTGATTACAGAAAGTACTGGCCAGCGCACTCTGTAAGAAACTCAAAGCAAATTTTATTCAAAAAAATAAATAATGAGAGTTGAAAACAAATGACTATATGCAGCATAAACTTGTACAGAGCTAAAACAATGACAGCTTAAAATGAACCTGAAAGAATATGGGAATTGGAAAATATTATTGTGACTGAAAATATAAACATTGACTCTGAAATAACATTAGATTCAGTTTATTTACGTAAATGGAATTTACACAAACAGAGGGAGTCTTAGACCTTCCTCTGATACAGATTATATCCATATCAAATGATTTCCACTTCCACTCGTTTCCTTTGAGGATGTCTCCAGCTGGCACTCACTGAGAGCGTCTGCAATCAGAACTGTGACAATAATAATAATAATAATAATAATAATAATAATAATAATAATAATAATAATAATAATAATAATAATAATAATGATAATGGAGGAAGTTGGGTTGTGATCTGAGAGAAATTCAAATTCATTTTTCTCAAGTCACTTAAATTCAGTCACACAAACATTCCAGTTAATCCTGGTTATCAGTGCATTAAGTTCAATGTAATATCCAAATGAGATTAAAAGTTTTCTAAGTAACTGCAGCAAATTGCACCAAGTCAGTGTCTTGTAAAGGACAACAATGTGTGAAATTCAAAGTCAACATTGAAATTTAATTTGAATTTCACACATTTTTTATACTTTCCCATCTAGAAAGTTTTATAGAATTACAATGGAAATTAAATGTAAAAAAAACTCCAAACTGTTTAAATAACGTAGGTATGTATTTATATATATATATATATATATATATATATATATATATATATATATATATATATAAAAATTCCCTTCTCACCCACCGCGGGTGGTCCTTATCCTCTGAGCTCGGGTCCTCTACCAGAGGCCTGGGAGCTTGAGGGTCCTGCAGTATCTTGGCTGTGCCAAGGACTGCTGCACATTTCTGGACTGAGATGCCTGATGTTGTTCCTGGGATCTGTTGTAAGCCACTGCTCCAGTTTGGGGGTGACTGCCCCGAGGGCCCGATGACCACAGGCACCACTGTGGTCTTCACCTTCCAGGCCCTCTCCAGTTCCTCCCTGAGACCCTGGTATTTCTCCAGTTTCTCCTTTTTCCTGATGTTGCAATCACTTGGTATTGCTACATCTACCACAACGGCTTTCCTCTGATTTTATCCACTACGACAATGTCTGGTTGGTTCGCCATTACCATTTTGTCTGTCTGGATCTGGAAGTCCCACAGGATCTTAGCTCTGGCGTTCTCCACCACCTTTGGGGGTGTTTCCCACTTTGATCTCGGGGTTTCCAGTCCATATTCTGCACAGATGTTTCTGTACACTATGCCTGCCACTTGGTTATGTCGCTCCATGTACGCTTTCCCTGCCAGTATCTTGCACCCTGCTGTGATGTGCTGGACTGTCTCAGGGGCCTCCTTGCACAACCTACACCTTGGGTCTTGTCTGGTGTGGTAGATCTGGGTCTCTATTGCTCTGGTGTTTAGGGCCTGTTCCTGGGCGGCCAGGATGAGGGCCTCTGTGCTGTCCTTGAGTCCAGCTTTTTCCAGCCATTGGTAGGATTTACTGATATCAGCCACTTGGGTTATTTGCTGGTGGTACATCCATGTAGGGGCTTGTCCTCCCATGATGGTATCTCTGGCACCTCAACCTCCGTTCCCTGTTGTCTGAGACATTCACTGAGCACATTGTCTGTTGAGGCTTTGTCCCTGATGTATTTATGGATCTTAGTTGTTTCGTCCTGGACAGTGGTTCTCACACTCATAGTCCTCTGCCTCCGTCCTTGCGGCTCGTGTACAGTCTCAGGGTGCTGGATTTGGGATGGAACCCTCCATGCATGGTTAGTAGCTTTCTAGTCTTAATATCTGTGGCTTTTATCTCCTCCTTTGGCCAGCTAATTATTCCAGCAGGGTATCTGATTACTGGCAGGGCATAGCTGTTTATCGCACTGATTTTGTTCTTGCCATTGAGCTGGCTTCTCAGGACTTGCCTTATTCGTTGGAGGTATTTAGCTGTGGCTCCTTTCCTTGTGGCCTCATCGAGGTTTGCCATTTGCTTGTGGTATACCTAGGTACTTGTAGCTGTCCTCTATGTCTGCTATTGTTCCTTGTGGGAGTGAGACATCCCAATGTCAGTGCTGTAGATCCTGGTGGTGTGGATCAGTGAGTCGATGTCTCGCTCACTCTTGGCATACAGCTTGATGTCATCCATGTAGAGGAGGTGACTGATGTTGGCCTCATTTTTCAGTCTTGTTGATAATTTGGCTGAGGGGATTCAGGCCTATGCAGAACAGTAGCGGGGACAGAGCATCTCCTTGATATATGCCACATTTGATGGACACTTGTGCAAGTGGTTTGCAGTTGGCTTCAAGGGTGGTTTTCCACAGCTTCATCGAGTTTGCAATGAAGGCTCTCAGAATCCTGTTGATGTTATACATCTGTAGGCATTCAATGATCCAAGTATGCGGCATTGAGTCATAGGCTTTCTTGTAATCGATCCAAGCCATGCACAGGTTGGTGTGTCGGGTTTTGCAGTCTCGGGCAAACTGTGCGGTCTATGAGGAGTTGGTGTTTGGCTCCTCTGGTATTTACACCGATACCCTTCTGTGCCGTGCTCATGTTTATCCATGTGTTTGCTTATCTTGGCCGCTATGATGCCTGACATGAGCTTCCAGGTTGTGGAGAGACAGGTTATTGGTCGGTAGTTGGGTGGGACTGGACCCTTTGATGGATCCTTCTGGATTAGGATTGTCCGCCCTTTCAGGGTGAGTCCCACTTTGTAGCAGCTGGTTCATTTGGGCTGCCAGTCGCTCATGGAGAGCAGTGAGTTTCTTTAGCCAGTAGGCATGGATCATGTCAGGCCCTGGTGCTGTCCAGTTTTTCATACCTGAGACTCTTTCTTGAACATCTGTCGCAGTGATGGTTACCGGGGCTTGCTCAGGGAGGTTGCTGTGGTCTCTCGTAGAGAGATCAGCCACTGTGCATTGCTGTTGTGGGATGCCTCCCTTTCCCATATGCCTTTCCAGTATTGTTCAGTCTCCAGCCTTGGTGGGTCTGCTCTGTTGTTATTACCCTCCACTCAACCTTAGCTGGTTGAGTGGAGAAGAACCGGTTAATCCTTCTGGATTCATTCTCCCTTGTGTATCTCTTTAGGCGGCTGGCCAAGGCTTGGAGCCTCTGTTTGGCAGTTTCAAGTGCTTCAGGTATGGGCATCTGCCTGTACTTTCTGGGTACTAGTCTTTTCATTGTACCCTTGTGGAGCTCTGACAGTTGGCTCACTTCCCTCCTTGTTACCTTGATTTTAGCCTCTAACCGTCTTTTCCATGGTGGGTATTGGGTCTCATGGTTGCTCTTATAGCCAAGTATCTCAAGGATCACTGATGCTGAGTTGTAGATCAGCTCATTGGTTTCTGTTATGGTGTTGGTAGGGATCGTTCTCAATGCTGCATTCACATTCTCAATGAGACTTTCTGATGGTACTTCACTCAGCCGTTGTAATTGGGTCATGATTCTCTCTCTCAGGTCAGCAGCTGTCTCGTTCAGCTCTGTTTCGCTCATTGGGGCCGTGTATCCCCTCACTGGGTGGGAACTTGTAGTTAAGTCCCCACAGTCCTGACATCCGGGTTCCTCCCTTTTGCCGTAGCATTTGTGTTGTATCTCGTCAATCTCAAGTTGTGATAGCAGTTGCCGTTTGCGGATGTTGGAAACACTGAGCTACTAGTTGTTTAGCGCTTAGTGTTGACTGGGGATGTCGAAGTAACCATTCCTTCCCAGTCTTTGCATGTAACCCCTCTGACTAGGGTTACTTGAGTAGTAGCATTCCAACAGATCCACATTTTCATCTCTCGCCCATTTCCGTCTTGTTCCAGTAGCCCATTTGTCATCAAGGTGCTCTGGTTCCCCAACACCTGACGCAGACCTTGTTTGGCCGGGCGACGTCTGAGCCGGCATGTTACGCAACTTAGTATCTCTCATGGTATGAGGTAGGCAGTAGCTTGAAGGGTCTTGCCTAAGGACCCAGACTGGATTCGAACCCTGCCCTCTCGGGTGATATACTGATGCCTTATGTATTGAGCTATCCAGTCAGCTATATATATATATATATATATATATATATATATATATATATATATATATATATATATATATATATAGCCAAGTATCTCAAAGAAAAGCCGTTGTGGTAGATGTAGCAATACCAAGTGAGTGCAACATCAGGAAAAAGGAGAAACTGGAGAAATACCAGGGCCTCAGGGAAGAACTGGAGAGGGCCTGGAGGTGAAGACCACAGTGGTGCCTGTGGTCATCGGGGCCCTCGGGGCAGTCACCCCCAAACTGGAGCAGTGGCTTACAAACAGATCCCAGGAACAACATCAGACATCTCAGTCCAGAAATGTGCAGCAGTCCTTGGCACAGCCAAGATACTGCAGGACCCTCAAGCTCCCAGGCCTCTGGTAGAGGACCGAGCTCAGAGGATAAGAACCACCCGCGGTGGGTGAGAAGGGTTTTTTTTTTTTTTTTTTTTTTTAGAAATATATACATAAATAGTTAAATGACCATTTAGACTCTCAAGCAAGGCACAGTCAGTGATATTTACTCCTTATTTGTTGTTGACTGTAGCTGGTTGTGGAAAATGATCGAGTAAATTAGCCAAAGTTAAATACCATCAGTAAATTGTACGAGTGTCTTTAATATCCATTTTGTTAGCAGACTTTAGTTTTTCTCTTCAGTGGTTGTTCAGGTCATCTCTATCCCATGCTCCATGTCCAGAACGGGTCGATTTTCTGGTGCGAAATCCCTGTCTGTCCGCTCTACGTAGCGCTGCAGCGTACTGTAATACTGTTCACTCCTGGAGAAAGTGTAGTAGGCAGAGATCTCCTCCCATGCCTTGTGGTTTGGAAATGGCATGGGATCAGGTTCTTTGTTCTCAAAAAAGCTCTGCAAGTTTCTCTCAGCCAACTTTGTTGCATAGTTCACAGTGAAGGCATCAAAACGCTCCTTCTCTTTCTCAATATAATGCTTCCAGAACGTAAGCTGCAGGTAGCTGACCTGGGAACGGCAATTTTTGCAGCAAGTGCCCAAAAGACCTACAATGGCAGCAACCATTATGACACTCCATCCCAAAATCTGCAGATGTAATGAAAACAAAACATTCTGTCAATTAGTGACATGCATATTTTCCAATAATTATCAGCTGATGAATGCTAGGATAGCAAAACTTTAGGACTATGTGCCAGTATTCTATGTGACATTATTAACTCACTTTATGCTTTATTACTGCCTTGAAAAAAGGGACGTCATCAAATTTTATCATGTACACATCCATAAATGTTATGGGTTTGTGATAAATAAATCTTGTAATATATATTTCTCTGTCTCCAGTTAACAACAGGGCGTGTCCAGCTCATCTGACAAACTCGACGGCTTAGTTGGAATTAAATTATTAGTAATTTGTATTTATTTATTATTTGTCACATTTCTGAGAACTATCTCCATGAACTCACAGGCTTTTGAAGTCATTCTGTAGTTGTTTTACTGGATCTTACACTTCCCACAATAAAAGCAGATGTTACATTTCAAATAACTTCCCTGTCTAGAAAACATTCCTGTCCTTAAAGCTACAGTGCCATTGAAACTGCTGCACAACATTTGGTTTACAAATGTTCAAAGCCTAATAAAGATGCACAGGAGGTTAGGAATAATTAAGTGCAATCCTCTAAATGTACACAAAGATGGAATTGGTGTGTCTTACTTGTGACTGAGCCCTGAACATCAGCAGCAGCTTCATCCGTTCATCACTGGAAAGTTTAGAGTTACTACAGGGAACCAGGGCCAGCTGCTCCCGACACTGCAACGTCTTGTTTTTACAAAACAGATTCACAACCAGGTTATCATCCAGACCGCTGATGGCACATTCATAAAAGGTCCCATTGAGCAAGGCCACGCACAGCCACATAACAGGGGCCACACAAGCACCAGTAATAATGCTCAACAACACCCTGAAACAGCCAAGGCAGTTTCCGCGAGGACAAAGCTTCATGGGGTTAAGACAGCAGCCAGTGTAGAGCCTCCAGAGCCTGCTGCTGAAGAACAGACCAAAAACAAAAAGCACTGCAGCTGGACCAAGCAGAAAAGTCAGCCCATATGTGAAATTCTGCTCATGGTTACATGGGCACTGAAATGAAACCATGGAAAAAACTCGTTCCCCACCTATAGTGAGGAGTGCCATAAAACTGTAACCAATGGTGGCTTTTTGGTTCATGAAGAAACGCAGAACTGTCTGGAAGTTATCCATGGTATTAGAATCCAGGAGCTATCCAAAACAATCCCAGAGAAAAGTCCAACCAAACCTCGATCAGCTACTTCCTGCTCTGTTGTTTGTCAGAGATTCATCTGCCAAACCAGTTTGTGCTCCTCCCTTTGGTGGTCTGTTGTCACGCTCCTCCTTTGCTCACTTCAACCCTGAATTCTTCTGCCCTGAGCAGAAGAATCTGCTGTGCTCGTACTAACAGAAATCACAATCGTTGGAGTTAATTATTCCTATTCATAGGTTTTCCTTTTCAGCTGTGATATCAGGGTGAGTACTGTTATTGTGTGATGTCTTCCATGTTCTTCTGACAGAACCAACATCAAGCACAAAGAAATGAGAATGAAAATACAAGAAGAACAGTTCTTGAATAATTTTAGTTATTTCTTGATACAAATTCCCTCAATGTAAATTTAATATGAGATTCAGTCTGTTGCAAAGACATGACGAAACATGTAGAACATGCCATTGCAGCAGAAGCACATTCAGAGAACAAGAGGCATTGGGGGAAGTGCTCACATCCTCCATGTGGTTTACTTTTCCAGTCCCAGAGGACTGACGGTTCAGACTGCAGTCCATCACACAGATACTTCCTCTTTTCAAACCAAGTCATCCTCTGCAGCAACAGACTGAGCACTGAGTACCACAGGAAAACTGTAGTAATCTAAATATCTAGACACAAGGAATCTAAATATTTTGTCTGTGATGAAAAGCAGCCTAAAATAATTGAGAAAGTCCTGGCTGAGGACGATGGAGGGTGGGATTACATCAGCTTTAGATGATGAAAGCATAACACGATAACCAGTTACTTGGGGAACAGCAAACATTACACTTTGTCAATTTTAGACTATTTTTTTTTCTTCCAAAAAGTGAATCTGGATCACTTCCCACATGGAAAGAGCTCAGTGGAAGAGAGCTGAACACAACTTCTGAAGGACCTATTTGAGCGTTTCTCGCCAGAAGACTTTGAGTCATTCATGTGAGAAAAACTGACGAAAGCTCCAGCAGGTGATGGTCACCTTAACAAACTAAAAACAAATGCTGTGCCCACAGCTTTTATCCACAAACGCCAAAACCTCACTCAAAACCTCACCGCCGCCACTATTTGCTTTGTCCTCTCTATTGAGACACAAATACATTTTAACCAGTTGAAAAAAATTGTTTGTCTTCAATGTATGCAATGTCCCAGAATGGTAAATATGAAGCTTACCATAAATTACCTGCACTATAAGCAACCATCCTCCACTGCAAAAAGAAACGAGCCAATCCAAACCAGATGGCTGTTGACCTTAATTCAACATTTGGAAGCATGACCAGCACAGACTGGCCATGCTTCTTTCTGCCTGTATTCATGAAACTACAGGCAGAATAAGAATTCTAACACAGCACAGAAAATCAGTGTCATCGTTTACAACTTCTCATTCTGTTCTGTTATCTACCAGGGATAATCCAAGAAAAGGGGAGAATGTGAAACTTCTTTGGAGTGTAGTTGCACAGAAAGACAGTGACCAGGCTAAGCTTTTGTGGACAGTGGAGGCCTCCTGCAATAGTCGCAGCTCACTGCGACTAATGCGACTGTTGGATGAACTCAGATGAAGCAGAATCTAGTTTCCAATGACTGTCAAGCAATAAATATAATAATCTAATTTAAACATTGACAACGTTACTCTGCCAGATCACCCAAAGCATACAAAAAACCCAGACAAACAGGCAAGCAAACAGAGTGGAAATTAATGAGTCTTTACTCCAAAATTACAGAGAATAATTGACACATGCAATGTGATCCAAAGACACAAGAGCAAGGGAAACATTTACAGGAGCAAACAAGAAGATCTGGCAATAAGGGGAGGATATGTACAGGGACGGTGATTACTGGATGGAAGACAGGAAAATCATTTCTGGTCTTCAGCAGCAGTGAGAGAGCTGGAGGTGAGGAACTAACCAACAACTGGTTTCCTAACAGAATAACCAGAAAAAACATGAAGATATGTGAAACAATAGCCAAAACATGATCAAATTCAAAAGTAAGTAGAAATTGCAAACATAAGTCCACAAGAGTACAAAACTGACAAAATGTAACAAAACTGAAAAATAAACCAAAATTCTTCCAATCATGACTCCTTACAGCCGCCACGAGCCATCACAAACATATAGTACTTACATACTTTTAAACCTAAGAAAATTCACTTATATCGTGTTTAGAAATATATCAAATGTTTGAAATTATTCTTCTATCAATTTCAATTCTTTTCACATTGAAACCATTCCACCATCCACAAAATGGAGAACAGCAGGGTTGTCAGTCGACTCATTTGATCTTACTGAGACCATCCTAATCCCATCACCCTCCTGGTTTGTCTCCACATATCGATGTAAAGTGCTGTAGAAATGATCTTTGGTGCTAAACTTATATAATGAGGAAATTTTCTCCCAGTCCTTGTTGGAGGGAGTGGTGATGTTTGCAGGTTCCATCTGATTGAAAAAGCTCTTCAGGTTCCTCTCAGCAAGATCTTTAGCGTGTTTATTGGTGTATAAATCCATGAGCTCACTTTCCTCCTGAGCATAAGCCCTCCAGAACTTGAGCTGCTGATAGCTGATGGGCGAGTTGCAGCGAGCCAGGCAGATGATCAGTAAACTGGACAACATGATGAAGGTGATGACAAGCCAGCCTAGAATCTGTTGTGACCATCAACATAAAAAGATTATTTATTTCTATGACCATAGTAATGACTATTTAAAACTACAGCCTACAGCAAGAAAGCACCAAATTACACTTTAAAGAAGGAATGGTCTAATTTGAACATAATCTGGAGCATATACAGGTGGCAATGTAAATTATCAATGAATGAATCAACAGATCAAGTTTATTTATAAAGCACATTTCAGCAACAAAGCAGTTCAAAGTGATAGGAAGAAAAAATTTCAATAAGCTTTGTGAAAATTTTGATAATTTTTCTAATACGGTAATGAGTTAAAATCAGTAATGACAATGCAAAAATGTTCAGAACATAAACCAATACTTGGTATTTATGTTAGAACACTGCAAAGTACATCTACTGACAATATCAGCTGTTTGTTCCCAAAAGGTAAGCAGATGTAAACTATCTTCAAAACAAAAAGCTTCTCTTTTAATATCAACTTGAAAGTGTTTTTTTGTGTGTCTGATGTATTTTGGACTAAAATGATCTTGTTCTTCATCCAGAGACGTAATTAGAGCATCCAGCTTAAATAAGAGTCGTGAGGGATCAAAATAATATCACTCAAGTAGAAATAGAAAGTCCATGATTCTCTCACATCTGTCCAATGGAGCTGCTGTCTGGTCATAGACCAGACAAACCGTTAGAAGGTCTCTATAATCAGGCCTGAAAGGTTTGATATCAAAAACCAATCAGATTCCATCACTGTAACAACGTAGCTAAAAGTGGCATTCTGGACTTTTCTTCTTTTATAAGTTGTAACCTTTTAAAACGAATGTTTAAATGTTCAAACAGACTTGTGCCTTAGCCATTAAGTGATTGTATACAGAAATTGCAGGGCAGCAGTAAATGTACCAGAGCAGCTTTCCATGGATATTATGAGGTTCCATTTCATAAAACCACTTTTGCTCAAAGTGCTCTGTCTCTGAGAGGAGCTGCAGTTTGGAACTCACTTCCTGTCAATTTAAAGTTGTAATATGTTCAAAAGCAAACAGAACTCTATCCACTCAATGTTTTTATGTTTCACTGTTTTATATGCATGACTGTGTATGTATATGTTGTGTAGTAGGAAAATGTTAAGGTTGCTTAGGGTTACATATGATTATTAGCTGAATCATTGAATAGCAGAATTAAGAATCTTATGTGATGCATGAGCTCATGAAAAATGACTTGTGAAGAAGTTTAGTTTCTCTGGCCTTAACATTACAGTGAAGTCATTGTGTTGGCTCTTTATCTCTCCTGGCTCCACATGTCTATTATAAGATTATCAAACTCAGTGAATGGAAAGAACCTCTCCCTATAACACTGTAAGCTGTGTTCTGCTCCAGCTTCTTTCTCCTGACTGCCATCAGTGAGCAGAGACTTCAAACAGGGCACAACCTACAGTTTTATAGGGAGACGTTCATTCCATTCACATACTAGTATGATGATCTACTTGGTTATAGAACTGACTGCAGAATAGACAACAAGCACATGTGTCTGCTTTCACCAGGAGCCAGGAGAGATAAAGAGCCAACACAATGACTTCACTGGAACGTTAAGGCCAGAGAAACGAAACTCATTTTTCATGAGCTCATGCATCACATAAGAATCTATCTTCAAAAACATACTTTGATTCTTTCTTGTATGTTTGAGAAATCATTTCATCTCACATGGCAGCCATTCAGCTGTGCATAATGTCTGACTGGAAATACCATCTCCTTCAAGGTGCAGCTACTCTCTAAGCTTCTACCTGACAGAGCAGCCTTCCCTCAGGGCTGCCTGCTCTGCTCCTTCAGACTAGCCAAACATCTGGTGGAACTGCACATCTGCTGCTGATCTCATACCAGTTAGTTAGTTCTCAGTGCAACGCTGGTCACAATGTTGTTAAAGGGTGAATAGAGGAGTCATGTTGTGATGACTCCCTGAAGACTCAGAAAGAGCAGGAGTTTTTAAAGAGTACAGAATCACATCAATTCCAGAAGTAAAATTTGATATATTCAGTCATATTTGATATATTCAGCATTTTTATGACAAAAAATGCTGAATGCTATAAAAAAAAGCATTTTATAGCATTTTGATTATGCTATAAAATGGTTCTATGTTCCTGGAAACATAATTTAAAACTACTTCTAGAGTTTTTTCTTTTTTCTTTTAGGTTTCTCATGTACATGTAGCCAGATACGACTTTCCTCTGATTATTCATCCATCTGTTAAAGACACTAAATAGTCTGCAGTGTAAACATGTTGTCAAATCAACACAGCGAAAGGTTATATTTATACAAAAACAAACATAGTTGTTCACATGTTTCCTTGTAGGAAGAACAATTTTAATATTTAAATTCCAGATTTCTTCAAATGCTGATTTGATACAAATAATTAACTATTTGATAGTAAAAGAAACATTTGCAGTGTTTCCAGACAAAGATTTGCTGCACTGCTCACTACCAAGTCAACGAATTAAGAAAGCTGAAGTCTTTCATGCTGTGATGACTTGTGTAATAAATGATAGAGTGGATCACATCAGAAAACTGCTTACCTGAGACTGAGATCTTAATGCACGCAGAACCTCCTCATTACGTTTATCACAAGGAAGCAAGGGAAGCTTCTTTGCACAGTCCAACTCAGAATTCATATCTTTGCACAAATACTTGTTGTAAACACTCACATTGGTTCCAGTCATTGCACACTCATAATAGTTACCATTAAGCAGGGCAACTGCAAACCAGCTGGACGGTGCCACCAGGGCTGTGGAACTGATTTGGAAGAAAGCTGTGCAAGTGGCTGCCAGGTTTTTCCAACAACACAACTTTGCCTTGTTGTGCCAAAGACCTGTAAACAATATCCACATCTTTTTGCTGAGAATATAACCGAGCAGCAACAAAGCTAATGCTGGAACCAACAGGAAGACCAAGCCATACAGGAAGTTCAGCTCGTTGCAGGGACATTTGAAAGCCACCGAGGAGAAGATCTGCTCGCCTCCAGCTGTCAACAGAGCAACCAACCCAAAACCAAGGTTGGTCTGCTTGCTGGCAATATTCAGAATGGTCTTAAATCTATCCATTGGTAGCTGCTGGATGACAGAGAGAGTCAGCTGAAATGAACGTTGCAGTTTCACTTCCACCCCGTATGTCTAAATGTCACCACCACAAACGTAATTTCCTGGAACTCTTAATGTCAGTCGTAGGTTTAACTCTACTTTCTGAGCTTTGTAGCCAGCAAACAAAATTTCAGTTTGTACCTGAAATTGAGATGTCTTTCCATGTGTGTCTCCAGTTACCGAAAGCTATCAAATGTCATACTCTTCACTGCTGGTTATAAATAAACCACTGGCATCTGTGTTTCTTTTCATAAGGTGTCACAGTCGGGGAGTGTGGCACATTCTAAGAACCCCAAACAGTCACAGCTCACATGGTCCCTACTATTCTACATCGGAAAGCTATCCAGTAAAATGAAAATACTGTCAGAATGAACTCTTTAGTTGGATCATATTGGCATTGAGACAGCCTCTGTCCAATCTTGTGTGTCTTGTGTGTGTGCGTGTGCATGTGTGGGTGTGGGTGTGCATGTGTGTGTGTGTGTGTGTGTGTGTGTGTGCGCGTGTGTGTGTGCGTGTGTGTTTGCGTGTGTGTGTTGTGTGTGCGTGTGTGTGTGTGTGTGTGTGTGTGTGTGTGTTGTGTGCGGGTGTGTGTGCGGGTGTGTGTGTGTGTGTGTGTGTGTGTGTGTGTGTGTGGGTGTGGGTGTGTGTGTGTGTGTGTGTGTGTGTGTGTGGTGTGTGTGTGTGTGTGTGTGTGTGTACGTATAAAGGTGGGGATATTTGGGTCTCTGTGTGCCCAGTCCTCTGTCAGGTCAAGACTTTTGCTATATTTGCACTTCAGGCTTTAATGCTCAATTCTGAGTTTTGTTCAGATCTGAATTTTATTGCGTGGCTGTCCATATTTCCAAATTTATGCAATTTTTATGTGATCTCCTAAAGGATGATCTCCTTATGTAAACTGTAAACAACCTGGATGCTGTCATGTCAAGTATCAATCATGTATCAATCAGTAAACATGGATGGTAGTGCTGGAGAGTATCTTGCCATTCGAAAGTTGTTGTCCAATAGCAACTAGCTCATTAACAACTTAACCATGTTTGCTGTTTTTCTTCCTGCTAGCATGCGTCAGGACACAGAATAAGTATCAATGAGCCCGTCGTACAGGTCAGATAAACGTGACCTGACCGTATAGACACAGGTCACATTTGAAAAGATCAGATACGGATTGGGTTCAGGACCACATATCCAAGTGACCTCAGTTACATTTGTAAAAATCTTATCTGTGTTCTAACTGTGATGAAAAGATCAAATACAGGTCGCATGAGGGCAAAATATCATATTTGTGTCATTTCAGGCTCCATTGTGAACGTACCCTTAGACTCGTACTCCCTGCCAGTGGCTGGTGGCCCCACCTGTGCATGTTGGTGCATCTGGGTCTGGGTGCATCTGGGTCTGGGTGCAGCTGGGTCTGGGTGCATTTGGGTCTGGGTGCATCTGGGTCTGGGTGCAGCTGAGTCTGGGTGCATTTGGGTCTGGGTGCATCTGGGTCTGGGTGCAGCTGAGTCTGGGTGCATTTGGGTCTGGGTGCATCTGGGTCTGGGTGCATCTGGGTCTGGGTGCAGCTGAGTCTCGGTGCATCTGGGTCTGGGTGCATCTGGGTCTGGGTGCAGCTGAGTCTCGGTGCATCTGGGTCTGGGTGCATCTGGGTCTGGGTGCAGCTGGGTCTGGGTGCAGCTGGGTGTGGGTGCATCTGGGTCTGGGTGCAGCTGGGTGTGGGTGCAGCTGGGTGTGGGTGCAGCTATGGCTGGGTGTCTGTTGACTCACTCTTGATGGCTGCTTGGCAGGGCCTGGGCCCCTTGGCTCTATCTGGCTTTTTCTGAAGGGTGGGGTGCCCTTGAGTCTTGGGTCTCTATCAGGAAAGATTCTCAGTCACATTACCCTTCAGTTCTTCCCTCTGGAAGGCTCCGTAAAGTTCTGCTGTATTTATACAAAAAAATTAATTGTCCTGTCTGCAATAACCAAGGGAGGAATTTACATTTGATTAATGGAGGCAAAATAAACAAGGAGATTTCTGAAATGGGAGGGTTGGCAAATTGCAAGAAAGTGTTACATAAAATGTGCAGTTAGAAACTTATTGGCACTGCATAGAACAGGGTTGGGCAACTCCAGGCCTTGAGGGCCGGTCTCCTGCAACTTTTAGATGTGTCTCTACTTCAACACACCTCAGTCAAATAATGAGGTCATTAGCAGGACTCTGCAGAACTTGGCTGCATTTAGGAGGTGATTCAGCTATTTAATTCAGCTGTGTTGGACCAGGGAGACGTCCAAGAGTTGTAGGCCACTGACCCTCGAGGACCAGGAGTGCCCACCCCCCTGGCATAGAATATTATGAATAACTGGTAATTATTCTGGTTGAAATGGTATGGCTAAAATATATTTAATGGTCACATTAGTATTATTATCTATTAAATGATGTCCCTTATCAGCTCCATATCTCTTGAAAGGTCTTAATGTGTACAAACTGCTTGGCCAATAATGACTAGTTAGTGGTCTGGACATCAAACATGGGTGTTGTTTTCCTCATTATAAACTGTTGAGATTTACAGAAGTCAAATAAAAATGTAAATGTTTAGTTCTGAATTTGGTTTGCATTCATAGATTCCTGTGGTCAGCGCTACTCATCTATTCTCTGCCACAACACTTTTAACAAAAATGTAAAACCAAATATAAACAAGTTTTAATAAAACATTCTTCATGAACATTGATTTGTTGCAGTGTCTTGATGCAAACTATGACTTATTTCAATTATAAATTGCTAAGTTGCTTTACTTTGAACCCTCTTTGTTTTTATCATGACCCAGATGTCTGAGAACCAACAAGTAGGAACAATTAACAAATATTTAAACATGAGGATTTTTCTAGAAAAATATTCAGATTTTATTTGATGTTTTCAAGGTGTACACTGAAAATGATAAGAAATGAAGGCATGTCCTTCTGTTTTTCTCTCTACCATCAGCTGCTCTGCTCTCAGCTCCAACACAGAGAGCTGTGAGCCACTCGCAATGCTTCGCCCGACCCTCCTGCTTCAAATTCTTGTCATTAACAAGAAATCTAAATAAGATTGAAATATTTTCTACCTCTGATAGAAAAGTTTAAGTCTATCAAAGTGTTTTGGGTAGTTTTGCTGGTTTTGATTTCCAAGGTAGTTTATCAAGATTCAACCAAGATAATGAAATAAACTGGCCTGATTTATACTGTTAATGTGTTTCATCCTATTGAAAAGTGGGAGTGAAATGTATTTTGGTTCATGTATTTACTTACCTAAAGCAAAAAGTTTTTTTTGTGCTCACTGCTGAAGCTGCTCACTTCAAGCAGCTCTGAGGGATCAAAGGTCTTCTGCAGCAAAGCTGCTGTTGCTCCTCCTACACATTTTTTTAAAGAGGGCAGGGCAGCTAAAAATTCATCAAACTATTTTCCAAGACTGAGGGCTCCTGTCCTGTGTGCCTACAACACAGTCCCTTTAAAATAAGAATTTCTGTCACCTCTGCAGAGAATAGTTTTATTTATCTAATGTTGACCAATGATGACCAGTTATTTGCAGACTTTATTGCACCCAGTGTTGAAGACTTTTGAGGAAAATGACTATAACTTTTCTTTTGCTCTGTCACTGAAGAGACACTTTAAAATAATATCTTCACTTAGCAATGTTTTTTCCTAAGTGATTTAGTTTGACGCTGGCTGCTGTGCCCTGAAATAGAAACAAGTTAAAGCTGCTTTTAAGATGCACTCTGAAAAGTAAATTTCGGTTTTACATTCACATCTCACCAATATTAAAATCGATCCAGATAGCGCAATATGAGTGAAACAACATTGATTCAACATTAGTTAATTGGCTGGAACTGGATGATTGTTTGATGGTTTATCCACTATCAGTCATCAACATTAACTACAAATGAACCTTTGTGATTACAATTAAACATTGAATTAATCTCTATTTTGTAGATAAATTAAATTATAAATTTCTGAACCAAACATTTTTCTTATTTTGGTCTGATGATTATTTAGGCTCACAGCTCTTCAGATGCACAATGTGTGTCAATGGAAATGCTTTGTTTCTTTAAAGCCTAACTTCTAACTAAAGCTTGTTAAGAATTAAAAAGTAGGAATAACTTGATTTAGCTCGTTAATTAATTCTTTGTCCCGAATTCTTGTGTCTGTGTAAGTGTGCAGAGAGAAAAGAGCAATCATACAACGTCAGATTTCAGATATACATAACTTTATCCAAAAGTGAATACAAATACATACAGAATAACAGACCACCATTTACACCCAGATTATCATGAAGCCAACACCCAATGACAAAACAGAATATTACCTGATTCAAAAATGCATTTTTGGGAACCACTCACTCAGCACCAAGCGATTCGAACTTCTGCTGTAAAACAAATCATTTATAGAATGTGTAATCTCCTCATTTAAATATATGCATTAGGAGGTGTGTTCTTTTCCTTTGTGTGGGCTGTCTTAATGTTCATTTTATTACCTCCTGCTAAAGAGCCCCAAAAGCAGATATACGGCCTAGATTTTCTCGTACCAGCCGCTGTCCAGTTTGATATATGATTGCAGCTGCAGTGTTATCTCTGCCTCAAAATGTTTTAACAAGAAACTAGTTGGTGTTTTTAACCAAGCTTGCACAAAATGTAATGCTAAATAATGACTATAAGTTTGGATCTAATAAGTAACTAATTAAAAACATGCTTAAAGAAATATAGTTAATTCTAATATAGATAAAATTATTTATAAAAAGTTTTAAGATCCTAGTGAACTTTTGAACCATGCTCAGGAATTTGTTAATTGCCTGGCAGACAGGCTCCCTATCTAAAGAGATCCAAGGAGTCTAGGCCTGTGTTTTCTGTTTTTTTTCTGTCTGATCCTCCTTTTAAGAATTTATCTGCGTTTCAGAGATTGAGCCGTTGTTTTTAGTTTAATCTAAATTTATATGAACATAGAGTGTACTTTAACTTTCTATGTTATATTTCATATGTGTCAAAACTATCCTGTGCAGTATTGTGCTAACTTAAAATTCTATTTAAACAAGCTTTAGTTACGTGCTCTTTCATGAGGTTTGTTCATTTTAATACAAATGTTATTCTAACTTCTCCGTAAGTACAAAAACTTAATTTGTATTTTAATTGATCTGGGATCTGACTTGTGCTGAACATTTTTGTCAATAAAGTTTTCTAAATATAACAGGGGTGTCCGCTGTCGGTTTCCGTATTTGCATCACTAAATCTGAGATCGATTTAGTGTCTGCAGAGCGGATGACGTAGTCAGGCAGAAATGTCAATCTCCGACATCATCGATCGCCTAATGAGCAGATGGGACCGACAGAACCCGCCGAGCCAAAAGTTTCAGTGCTGGAATGATTTGATCAAACTCGATATAATCCCCTGAGATTAAAAATGACAGATTACGTCGAGGAGCAAAGGAATGAACTTGAAGCCATAGAATCAATCTATCCCGACTCCTTTACAGGTGGGAGTTGATGAAAATAGTAGCTAGCTTCCAGCTAGCATTGCAGCAAGCCTTCTTCATCTGACTGCTTGGAACTGCTTTGTTTTGCTTAATAGATTTGATGACTTTAGTCAACGTTTGCTAATGAGACAGTAAGTTTTCGTCTTGCAGGCTTTTCACGTTCACATCCAGCAACGAGAAGCAACGATTCGGTTTTCTAGCTAAAATAGACTCGTTTAAATCCGGGATAAACTTGTAGAGACTTGTAGGGTTTTGGTCTTACGATGAAAAGCAGGAATAGTTGAAGTGAACTGCTACAGCGACAGCCATGGAAGCTGTCTGCACAATAAAGCAGGTGATCATGGTGCTCTAATGCAAGTTTGCAGAAATGATCTGTTATCATTGCAGTGCTGTCAGAAGAACCCACCAGCTTCACGATCACAGTGACGTCAGACGCAGGAGAAAACGGGGAAAGTGAGTATATTACATTTAGAAATGTGGTATATTCTGACATTCCCTTAATATTGACACCTTCTTTATAATGACGATGATTTACCAGAGTTAATGTACGGTTTGAAGTTACCGAATAAAGATTCAGTGGGAATAAATTTTTCTCACTTTGTTTTCTCATCCCAGCTGTTGAGGCAACTTTAAAGTTTACATATGTATCAGAATACCCGGATGAGCCCCCACTGTGGGAGATCTACTCTCAAGAAAACCTGGAAGATGGCGACCTGGAGAACATTCTCACCCTGTTGAAGCAGCAGGTGTGCTCATTTATCTAGAATAAATACTGTGTTTAATTTCTTCCGCTTTGTTCATTATTTTTACTCCGGCTTCCTCCCTCAGTCCACAAACATGACTGTCAGGTTAATTGGTCTCTGAATTCTCTCTAGGTATCTGTGTGTGTGTGTGTGTGTGTGTGCGCGCGTGTGCGCACATGCTTGTTTGTCCTGTTTGTTTCTGTGTTGACTGTGACCTGTCCAGGTGACTCCGCCTCTTGCCCAGGATGTTAGCTGGAGAAGGACCTGCACCTCTTGACCCCATGAGGGACAAGGGTGCTAGAAAATAGATGGATGGATGTTCATTATTTTTGAACTTTTTTGGGGGGGAAAGTGTTCTCAGCAGACTTTAGGTCACAGGTGTCAAACTCCAGACCTGGAGGGCCAATGTGCCTCTGCTGCACCACCTGAATAGAATAATTAGGTCATTAAGGCTCTGGAGATCTGATTTACACAAGGACCAGGTCATAAAGCCATTTTATTCCAGTGTTTTGTACCTGTGGCACATCTAAAACCTGTAGGATAGTAGCACTTGAGGACTGGAGTTTGACAACCCTGCTTTAGGATATTTCCATACACTCAATACAAACTGACCCAAGAGCCATATTCAGTCTTGGCACAGGTTTGTGGAAGCCCATCACTCAAAGATCGATTGTTTTAGGAGCTGTTGAGGCATGCAGCAAATGGCCATATTTACAGTCATGTTGAACATGACAAAACTGCAGGTCACAACATTATTTCATAATATTAAAGCCTTTTTGTTCTTAAAGTAGTCCCACAGTAACTGAAAAAATATTAATTACATTTTTCTGATTTTTATTTGCACTGAAAGGAGGGAACAGAAAAGATTTTCGTTCTGTGCACAACCTGGGTCTAAATTAGCAGTGGCTCTTGTTCAAGAGCCAAATGTAACACTAAACTGAAGCTGCTTGTTTTATGCTGTTGATTTTCTATTACCAACATGTGTATGTAATAATCGTGCAGGCTGAAGAAAACCTGGGTATGGTGATGATTTTCACCCTGGTGACAGCTGTTCAGGAGAAACTTAATGAAATTGTGGATGCAATGAAAAACAGACAAGAAGAGGAAAAACTCCGGAAAGAAAAAGAGGCAGAGGAAGCAGAAAAGGTAATTGGAAGTCTGTTTGAATACTAGTTTGACTTTTAATTGGTTTGCCTCATCTAGGTCCTCATTTCTATAGAGGCGTAGGTGATATGTTCAGGCTCCCTGAGATTTGCTAAGGAGATGAAGGCAGTATGTATGAAAAGGATGCTTGTGTTTGGCAGGTGAAGTTCCAGGGTACAGTGGTAACAATTGAAAACTTCCTGGCATGGAAAGCAAAGTTTGAGCTGGAGATGGCTGAGTTCAGACGAAAAAAACAGAAAGAGGAAGAGCAGGCTGGAAAACCCCGACTCACTGGTAAATCAGTTTCACTTTTCTGAAAAAACCTTGGAAGCTGCTTGCAAAATAAAGTATTATTTTTTTCCTCTTTAGGTAAACAGCTGTTTGAGAGAGATCATAACCTCGACACATCAGACATTCAGTTCCTAGAAGATGGTAAGTAATGCTCTACATTAAACAGATCCTGCTGTTAAATATATTTGGAAAACAATTTTTCTCAAACTGGCGGGATTTTTCTCATAATTTTAATCCGTTTTGAGCAATAACTCCAGCTAGATAAACTTAAATGTGTCTTGTGTTTGAAGCTGACTTGCCAGAGTAAGACTTGTTTTTACTACCTTCAGTTGGGAACCACTCATTGGAAACAACTACAGGGAATTGGGAGTTTGTATAGATTCTTCTATGTAATGTCTCTATGATGCAAGAACCAACTCTTAACAGAGCACGGCGCTTCTGCTTCTCTTTAAACAATGCTGGCCAAGCATTACAGTCATGACCTTGTTTTTTGCTGTATTCCACAATATTTCACAGGTAAAGTGAAACTGTTTTAATCACAGAGCCTTGGGTGGAATGCATCTTGAATGGTGATTTGTTCACTACCCTTCTTCTAAAGCGATTTGTTCTTTTTTGGTCTTCTCAGCTGGAAACAATGTAGAAGTGGACGAGTCCCTGTTCCAGGACATTGAGGACTTGGATTTGGATGAAGAGGATCCAAACTTTGACCCGTTAGACATGGACAGTGATGATGACTAAAGCTGGACAAAACAACACAGTTAAAACCCCCAGCAGACCACCGCTTCACTCATAGTTCCACCCAATTGTGGCATTTCTGAAGACTCTTGGAGAAAATAGAAAAAAAATCTCAGTTTACTACAACAGAAGATGTTAAAAAAAATAAACTAATTGAAATTTCCAAAATAAATCTTTCTCTTTATTAAATATTGACCTTCAAAAAACTATGGTGAATAATATTTCAGTTTCTAAACTCCAACTTACATGAGTCAAGAGAAGAAGAGCTACAACCTGATACAAACAATTTAATGATTTCATATCCATAACTCCTAGAAAAAAGGAAGATTTTTTTTTGTCCTGATTTAGAAAAATTTGGAGATGGACACATACTACAAGATCTGATATCACAGAGAAAACCACCAAGTTCTCACCTGGTGGTTTCAGTCGGAAACCACCTCTGAACAGAACTGTTCACACTTATTGAGCAACACTGAACTGCTGAGTTTGTAGAAAACTATAGATGGAATCCAGTGGAATTGGAGATCAATTCCAACATTACATTCTGAATAAATACATCAACTATGGATCATCTTAAATTTCCATCTCCACTTTTGATGGTTATTTCAAATTTGGTGTAATTATTGTTGGTCGTATTTTTCATTTCCCTCATGAATCTGTGGTCATTTTTTGATTGGCTTCTTTGCTAACCCTTTCATTACAGCTGTGAGAAACGTTGGAAAAAGGTTTTAGCATCTTCTGTAATTTACTAGAAACACTTAAGGGAATCCTTGATTAGTTGTAACAATAGATTTTATTTGTGAAATATTTGTTTTATATTTAAAGTTTTTTTTAATTACACTACCGTTCAAAAAGTTTGGGGTCACCCAAACAATTTTGTGTTTTCCATGAAAAGTCACACTTATTCACCACCATACGTTGTGAAATGAATAGAAAATAGAGTCAACACATTGACAAGGTTAGAAATAATGATTTGTATTTGAAATAAGATTTTTTTTTACATCAAACTTTGCTTTCGTCAAAGAATCCTCCATTTGCAGCAATTACAGCATTGCAGACCTTTGGTATTCTAGCTGTTAATTTGTTGAGGTAATCAGGAGAAATTGCACCCCACGCTTCTAGAAGCAGCTCCCACAAGATGGATTGGTTGGATGGGCACTTCTTGCGTACCATACGGTCAAGCTGCTCCCACAACAGCTTAATGGGGTTCAGATCTGGTGACTGTGCTGGCCACTCCATTACCGATAGAATACCAGCTGCCTGCTTCTGCTCTAAGTAGTTCTTGCACAATTTGGAGGTGTGTTTAGGGTCATTGTCCTGTTGTAGGATGAAATTGGCTCCAATCAAGCGCTGTCCACTGGGTATGGCATGGCGTTGCAAACTGGAGTGATAGCCTTCCTTTTTCAGAATCCCTTTTACCCTGTACAAATCTCCCACCTTACCAGCACCAAAGCTACCCCAGACCATCACATTACCTCCACCATGCTTAACAGATGGTGTCAGGCATTCTTCCAGCATCTTTTCATTTGTTCTGCGTCTCACAAACGTTCTTTGTGATCCAAACACCTCAAACTTGGATTCATCCATCCACAACACTTTTTTCCAGTCTTCCTCTGTCCAATGTCTGTGTTCTTTTGCCCATCTTAATCTTTTTCTTTTATTGGCCAGTCTCAGATATGGCTTTTTTTGCCACTCTGCCCTGGAGCCCAGAATCCCGCAGCCGCCTCTTCACTGTAGATGTTGACACTGATGTTTTGCAGGTACTATTTAATGAAGATGCCAGTTGGGGACCTGTGAGGCGTCTGTTTCTCAAACTAGAGACTCTAATGTGCTTATCTTCTTGCTTAGTTGTGCAACGCGGCCTCCACTTCTTTTTCTACTCTGGTTAGAGCCTGTTTGTGCTGTCCTCTGAAGGGAATAGTACACACCATTGTAGGACATCTTCAATTTCTTAGCAATGTCTCGCATGGTATAGCCTTCATTTCTAAGAACAAGAATAGACTGTCGAGTTTCAGATGAAAGTTCACTTTTTCTGGCCATTTTGAGCATTTAATTGACCCCACAAATGTGATGCTCCAGAAACTCAATCTGCTCAAAGGAAGGTCAGTTTTGTAGCTTCTGTAAGGAGCTAAACTGTTTTCAGATGTGTGAACATGATTGCACAAGGGTTTTCTAATCATCAATTAGCCTTCTGAGCCAATGATCAATCACATTGTACCATTAGAACAGTGGAGTGATAGTTGCTGGAAATGGGCCTCTATACACCTATGTAGATATTGCACCAAAAACCAGACATTTTTAGCTAGAATAGTCATTTACCACATTAGCAATGTATAGAGTGTATTTCTTTAAAGTTAGGACTGGTTTAAAGTTATCTTCATTGAAAAGTACAGTGCTTTTAGTGACATTTCAATGTGACCCCAAACTTTTGAACGGTAGTGTACATCCGACAGTGACACAGTGTGGCATTATCTAAAATTGCACCAGTCAAATGTAATATGATAAACAACAACTTGGGTAAAGTTAGCCTTTACAACTGGGTCATCAACCCGGCATGCATTGCACAGGTGAAAAAATGGTGACCTCCATGGGTGAAAAATATTACATTTTTGAAGTAATGAAGAATCATTACACATCACAAACAGCAATAGAAAAACTGCAACATGTTTAGGTCAACATTTTCAACGAATCTTGGATTCCTTTAAAATATGTGCAAATAACCTGATTCCAAAAGGATTCAATATTTTGTATCGTTAAAAGACAACTACCATAGACGAAAATCATGACATCATGAAAGTAAGACTGCAAAAGATAAAACTGTTTAATTAGAAAGTTTAAAGTTGGACATCAATTTTGTAGTATATCAATTATAGTATATAAAAAAATGATTTGCATTCATGGAATCCTTTCAGCAGATAATGTTCTGGAGTTGAAGATTCTTATCTGTGAAAAGAAAGCAAGCAGAAAAGAAGGCTGATTTAGAGAGAACAAGTCCTTCTTACCCGGATCACTTCCTAAGTACTTTGAATTCAAATTGGTTCAAATTTAGATTCCATGGCTCCAATTCTGTGCTTTGTGTTTGAAATCTCACCTGTTTCTCTTCAGGAGACAACACGCCTTGTGCTGCTACGAGCTGGTACTGTTTGTGCTTTAGATTTCTGGGGAACTTCCTGACAAACTGAACAGCAGTCGGGCGCGTGTCCCTGTTCAGCAGCTTTCTAGTGTCAGATGATGAAGAGCCAGGATCCAAAAGCAGGAGGCACAGGCTGCCATTCTTCCTCTGTTCCAAACCCACGACTGTTCGGCTGTGACCTAAAGGAGAGGACACGGATTCAAATGTGCCACATGCTGGGAAACTGAGATTTCTAAACTGCAATATGAACAGAGAGTATGCAGTATAGCACATATTCAAGAGACGTGCACATCACATCATACAAGATTAAAAGCCATGAAAAAAAAACTGAATGACCTCTGGGAACATTTGATGACTACACTGTACACAGTGAATATAAGCTCTAGTTTCCAGGGAGAAACGGACATGAAAATGATGATGCAATCTACTAAGATATTTAGGTATAAACTCTACATGTGTCCTGGGTAATAAGTCAAATCTAGTAATACAGCACTTTCCAACAACAAGGCAATTCAAAGTGCTTTACAAAACACACCATTTATAAAAAAGACATTACTTTACAGTGCCAGGATAAAGTAATGAAAATCTGTAGTCCAGACAAGAATTAATCTGTTCTCCATATATTAATCGAAGGTAACTGAACAAGTGGCAGTGATCTAAAGCAGGGGTGTCAGACTCCAGTCCTGGAGGGCCGGTGTCCTGCAACTTTCCAATGTGCCTCTGCTGCACCACCTGAATAGAATAATTAGGTCATTAAGGCTCTGGAGATCTGATCCACACAAGGAGGAGGTAATGAAGCCATTTCATTCCAGTATTCTGTACCTGTGGCACATGGAAAAACTGCAGGACAGCGGCCCTCCAGGACTGGAGTTTGAATCCTGTGATCTAAAGGAACTCTGTGTTTGAGCTGTTTTGCAATTTTCTTGAAGTTTGTTCCAGATTAGAGGACCTTAGAAGCCGAATATTGCTTCGCCATGTTTGGTTCTCTTCTGAGAATGAAGGGAAGACTAGAACCAGAAGACCTTAGTGGCCTGCAAGGTACAACAGGTCTGCTGAGCTGTTCAGTAATTTGCAAACTAAGTGTTTTAAAGTTTATTCTCTGATCTACAGGGAGCCAGTGACCTTAGAACTGGGTGATGTGCTCCTTCTTCCTGGTTTTAGTAAAACACTTCCAGCAGCGTTCTGGGTCAGATGGAGCTGGAGGATTGATTTTTTGGGGAGACCTGAGAAGACGGTGTTGCGGAAATCAATAAGTTTAAAGACAAACGCATGGATGAGTTTCTCTAGATCTCACTGAGACATTAGTCCTCTCATCCTACAGATGTTCTTCAGGTGATAGAATGCCGACATTGCAACTATCTTTATGTGGTTCTGAATGTTGAGGTCAGAGTTCATCACTACACCCAGATTTCGGATCTGATTTCTGGTTTCCAGCTAATAACTGAAGCTGTGCATTGACTCTACATCACTTCTCTTTAGGTGCAAAGATATCCTTAGTTCACTAGTGGAACAAGTTAGTGTAGAGTTAGGGTTAACCCTAACCCATAATGTAAAAACATGGAAGGTTTGATTAAAATTAGAACAAGTCAGATTAGAAGGAATACAGCTTTATTTGTTGTCAGTATAACTTGATCAAATTGAAGTTAAAAACAACAGATTGTTAAACACTTCAACTCTGTCAGAACATCAGCCACATTTTTTTTAATTGGAAATGTTTCAATAGCACATTGGGGTCCTGTGATTGCTGCTCCAGAAAGGTGAAGGTCTCTGGACGTCCTGAAGGTAAAACACCGACTGGCAGTCAGGAGGACGGACACGGATGAGACATCCTACAACTCAGAGGCTGCAGGAAGAACCACGATGGTCTGCAGTTTACCAACATCTGAAAACACATTGAAATATATTATGAATGAATTCTGACACTATTAAGTTATTTGCAACACCCTGACTAACATTAGCGCAATTATATTCACCACTATTACAAAGTTTTAAAGTAGCTCACCTGCACCGTCTGTGCCACCTGCTTTCCTCCCGCTGCAAGGTGGAGATCAGCTGCTGCGCAGTTTCTTGAAAAATCACAATCAGGCTATAAAACGGTAGCTTGGCTCTCTCTTCCTCTTTTGTATCAGAAAAACAACTCGTATTAGGTTGCATAGTAACGAAGCACCGCACATGGCGCTTGGAGGCGGTACCCCGCACCGCCAGGAGGTGGCACCCTGCTACAGATGGAAAAGCGGTCACTCTGAAATAGAGCCGAGCCGGGCCGAGCCGAGCCGAGCCGAGCCGGGCCAGGCAGCCGGTGGAAAAGCGGCAATTGTAATGCAGAGCTGTGTGTGTTCTGCATAGTGATGGTGACTAGTCTTATTATTTGTTATAATCTGCGCTAGAGAGAACATATAGATATTAAATCAGATTGAACCTTGAGGCACCCCATATGTGACTTCTGTCTTCTCTGATGACAAGTTACCTTTTGACTCAAAGAAGTCCCTGTTCTTCAGGTCAGACTGGAACCAAGTAAGTACTGAACTCCTCAAAACTATCCATCTTGCTGTCTGACAAAAAAACACAGCAGCTGGAAGGTGAAGTTGAGTTCCTTCTAAACAAACACCCACAAACTGATGATACTTCAAACAATAGTTTTGGATAAAAAAAGAAACTTAAAGTTTGAGAAGGGATTTGTGTCGAGGACGGATGTGATTTTCGTCACACAACCACAACAGTCAGAACCAATTATGGCACTTCAGCTCGATTATGCCGAGCCTCTAAGTAACCTCATATTATTTTAAAAAATGTTCATGTGAGGGTCCTCCATCTGGAAGGTTGAATTGTTTCAAAGCCATATTAGGTTATGATCTGTAACAATCGGTATGAGGATACCAAGTAAGTACTGCACTTGGATTCTGAGACAACTGTCAGAAAAATATTAATCTTAAACGAGCTCAATCAGCTCATCAATCAGAAATATATGGTGTACCTTGATGTTGTAGGTAAAGTGGGGGTAGGTTGGTCAGGATGAGTCCGGGGGACAGAATGCTGCTCTTACTGGACTGACAAAAGTACTGCTTGACCCAGTCAAACAAATGGGGATGAGTGTTCTTGCTGCCAGTTGGCTGGTGGAAATCTATGATGCAAGCACTGCAGAAAAATCAGAGAATGTTACTAGACTTTGTTTTTGTACTACATAAGGCTACAGCTGGCGATTAAACACATAGGAGTTCATTTTCAGCTTTAAAAAATAGACATCCATCATCCATCAAGATGGATGATGGATGGATGGGTGGATGATGGATCATCCATCCACCCATCCATCCATCATCCATGGACCCATCATCTAGACACTAGACAACTTGTGTCCAGTTGTCATCCATCATCTTCCATTTATTCAATGATGGAGGGACATTGACATTAACCAATGCCCTGGAGGGACATTTGTATCATGGTGACATGAATACAGCATGTCACCATGGCAACTCCACAATTCCAGTATGACTTGTGGTGATTTAGTCCTAGAGCCCGGCTGCTGGGAAGCAGAGGACATAGGAACAGTATTAAGGAGATCCTTGAAGCGCACATCCATCGCCCAGAAATATTTTCGATCTGGAGCTACAGACAATTAAAACCATGCCTCATTGCTTTTCACACAGCCCTGAAAGCACAACCTACATTTTAACATTTTAAGTTTTGTATCAAACTAAATGAACCTTAATGAAATGCCAAGTCTTTGAATCTGGATCACTGCAAAGGTTCATAAAAATCCTCCTAAAGCAATGTCACACCATGCAGCAAGAGATTCAGAACAGTAACAACAACGCAGAGAAACTTTCCAACCTGATTCCAAGTGAGGTGAGGAGGACGTATATCTCTGTGGCTCCAATCCAAGCCTGTGTTCTCTGCAACCCGTTACTGAAGTGTGAGGCTCCTTGGGGATCAAGCCCTTCCTTCCAGGCTTCTTCAATCATTCTCTGCACCCGGGGAATACAAGGTATTGTCTTTTCTGATGGAGAAGGACAATGCAAGGTGAACAAAACTGGAATCTATATCACTGCCAGTAAAACTATTATATTATAATTCATTAAATTCCTTTTAGGGTATAAAACAGCAGAGAGAGGTTTTCTGTTTTAACAGCTATACAGTCTTGATAACAGACAGGTCATTAGTGAAAAATCATCCTCTCAGCTCACAACTACCTGTACAAAACTGAGCATTAACAAATCCAAATCTGTTTAAATTAGCAAGTATAAATATCTTATTCATTCTCAAACAATGTTAGCAATTGGTATCAAGATATGCATGGAATTCCAACAAGCACAACAATCTGTCAAGCAAGTGTTTTAAGACACCATGAAGAGCTAGGATTTTGGACAACTTGACCGAGAAATCATGATCTGACATAAATTTGTTGTAGAAGTATTACTGATTCAACTTTAGCTTTATATTAATAAAGCTAAAGTTGAATCAGTAATACTTTTATAACAAACTTATGTCAGATTATGATTTCTTGGTCAAGTTGTCAAAGACATTTTGAGTAATGTCAACTTTGCATTAAAGTGTCACGAATGACTCTTTATGACAATAGTGATAAATATTCATGAAGACTTACTCATGTCTATGACGGTGTCATGACAGTCTCCTTCACAACCCATCAAAATACAGAAACTCTGACCGAGATTTTATTTAGCAATATCACAGTAAAGGGGCTAAGTCAATGAGAAGACTTTTAGGATTTTTGTAAGTTTCCCACTACATTGTGTTCATCTCTCACATTATATTTACCAGAAAATTATTGGATCTTCAGGTTGAAATTGGACAAAATGTCAAAATTACTATTTTTGTGGCCTTTATTTGTCAGTTATCAAAAAGAACAGTAGGTTGTGAGAACGGGAAAGACACATGTCAAAGGTCATTGAATTTTCTACAGCAACATCAAAGATTTAGGGCTATTTTTTCTAAAGTTTCTGCTTTACCCATGTGCCACTGCTATTCCTCTAAAATTAGAGAGGCATGGATACTCCTGATACTTTTAGAGACAAACATAAGGTAACTTGTTGTGTACCTTGTAGAACTGAAGAATATGTGTCTATTCTGTACAGGGATGAAAGGAGCATCTGGAAATTTCTGTATCCACAACCCCAGCCCTTATCGCCTGCAGATGAGCTGTAGTGGTCAGTGTCAACAGCCAGCCACACATGAACACTGTCTCTGCATTCAGTCTGGTAGTAATCTTCCAATGCCCTGATGACCCCTGGGAAAAAGTGATGAGAGGGTCAATGGTTCAGGTGTTGGGAACAATATAAAAGGCAGCAGCAAACCTAAAGACGCTATTTGCTGTAGTTATAAACAGCATGATTAATTCAGCAAAATTAATAAGCACTCCTATTTTATTTTTCCAACATTCAGTACACTGGTCATAAGTCCTTGCACCACAGGCTTCAACAGGTAAAAAGCAAACATTTCAATATGTAAATCTGTTTCAGAGAATATTAAATGCACATGTTTACTTTCTGGGTAAGAACAAAATAACACATTTTGTTCTTTAAAAGTAAAAAAAATCAACACTATGATAGCAGTGCTATAATGAGGAACCCAACAACTTAGGATAGGAATGAAGAAGCAGAAAACAGCTCTTAGTGTGCAGTCTAAAACCACAGCATAAATATTGTTGAACATCCATCCATGCATCCATCCACCCATCCATCCATCCACCCATCCATCCCATCCATCCACCCATCCATCCATCCATCCATCCATCCACCCATCCATCCATCCATCCATCCATCCATCCACCCATCCACCCATCCACCCATCCATCCATCCATCCATCCACCCATCCATCCACCCATCCATCCATCCATCCATCCATCCATCCATCCATCCATCCACCCATCCATCCATCCATCCATCCACCCATCCATCCATCCATCCATCCATCCATCCATCCATGTTATTTTAAGATGATTTTATCCATAGTAACAAGAAAAAACTCTGGTCTGTTCATTTGTGCTGTGAGGAAGTTTTGTCTGATGATGGAGCTGATTATGTACTTCTACAGGGAAATATTGTGAACTTATTGATGTTGTCTTTTAGGGAAAAAGTGATGGAGCTTGTTATTGTTCACATGGGTGCCGTGGTTTTACCGCACTCTTCCGGACCGCCAGCATTTTCTAGAGCTTGCTTAAAACCATGCATATATAAAACTGTTGAGGATAAAATACACTTTTGACTGAGACTGGACAGAAACATCAAAGAAGACGCTGTATGAGCTCTGCACTTCTTCTTAGCGTAACATAAAGGGGGACAAAAGGATATCAACAATGTGAAGACCTGCCTCCAAGTGCTAAACGAATGCGGGGACAACATTCCCAGAATTGTGAATTTCAGCGTTGTGCACCGGAGAAACTACACCATCTCTGGGATTTCCTAAATGAAGCCAGGTGAAACAACTGGATTATATTCTGACATAATTGAAGCGCTACTGGGAGCAAGCCTGCCTTATAATAAAAGTAATATAAAGATTAAAAATAGACTAGGTTGGAGTCAGCAATTATTCTGTTGTTGACAAGAAAGTATTTTATCTCCTATGTTATTTAATCTTTATAGCTAAACCTGTGTAGAACTGGCTGCATGATTGGCAATACTATTATTAATCATTTAATGTATGCTGATGACATAGTGATTTTTAGTCCAAGTTCAGCTGGTCTTCAGAAGCTGCTTAATGTTTGTTCAGCATATGGTGAAGTACATGATGTTAAATTCATCAAATTCAAAATTCAATTGATCTGTTGCACAAAGGAGGACAAATATCAGGTATTTCTTAACTTCAAGCTATCTGGGACTTTATTGAATGTCTCAAATGAAGTAAAATATCTCAGTCATGTGCTGACAGACCGTTTGTCTGATGATGCGGACATTTACTGACGGGTTCCAATGTTATATGCTCACGCAAATATCCTTGTCTGTAAGTTAGGATTTTGTTCTGATGAAGTAAAACTGAACTTGTTCAGATCATATTGTACATCACTGTATACTTCACATTTGTGGAGCAATTTAAAAAAAGCCAGTCTTCAAAGATTGAAGGTGTCTTATAATGATGCTTTAAGACTTTTGTTAAATAAGCCCAGATGGACCAGTGCCAGTGAACTGTTTATATCGGCTCGTGTCAGGACTTTAATGGCTGTTTTAAGAAAGTTTATGTGTAAATTTATTTGTCGTGTAAACGAGTCTAATAATAGAATTATTCTGTTGTTGACGAATGTTAAATATAGTGCAGTAAAATATTCATCTGTACTTTGGAGACATTGGTATGATTGCCTCCTGAATTCCTAGGAGCCATTTTTATTGTACTTTTTAGTATTTTATTGCATTTGTTTGTTTTTTTTAGTGTAATTTGGACTTTGAGTCTGTAATAAAATCTATCTAAAAACCATCATGTGAACAATAGCAAGCTCTACTACTTTTTACTAGTAAAACATCTATAAGTTCCCTGTTAAAATAACTGGGATACACAAATAATCAGCTCCATCATCAGTCAGAGATCTGATTGGTCTGATTATTCTGAACAGAGCACTTCACTCTCAGACTGAGAATGACTGCAGTAAATTCACGTTCGAGAATTTCAGAACGTGAAATTGGACGCAGATCCTTTTGTTGTCAGCTTCTGTTTCTGTTGAAACTTAGATTTTAGGTCACAATATCTAAAAGAAGCATACCCTGGGTTCTGCTTGAGCCATCATCAACCCCTGAGGCCAGAGACTCCATCATATCAGCTTTCTTCAGGTGAAAATCGACTGGTGGCAGATGGCCACTAACCACAGCTCTCTCCAAGCTCCTCTCCATCTGCCGTCGGTAACCTCCTCTGCCATCCAAGCCAAACTGCCTCTGAACATCAAGAAAACGGTGCTTAAAATCAGAAATGTTTATTTTTTTTTAAGTTCTTTGCTCCGTTATTCTTTTAAAGTAATAAAAAAAAACTAACGTCCCAGATAGCAAGAGATGTTGATTCAACGTTGAATTATGGTCAAAAAGGTTGAAATTATGGAGAAGGTCGACGATTAACGGTGGATCAACCGTCAAACCATCATCCAATTCTAGCCAATTAACTAATGTTGTAAAGATGTCATAGAATCAATGTCTTATGGGCGAATTCTAATGATTGAAAAGACGACAACAAGTCCAGTGTTTTTCAACCCTGGTCTTCAAGGCACTGCCCTGCAAGTGCTTCAGCACCCATGACTTCTACCAGCCACCAGTAGTGGCTGAATTGCAATCAAGCCAAACCTGATTGTTATATGCTCAGGCAAATAATGGGGTGTGTTGAAGCAGAGGAACATCTGAAACAGGCAGGTCAGTGGAACTTGAGAACCAGAGTCAGGAAAAACTGCTAATCAATATTAAGTCTGCTGTTTGCCATATTCCTCATTGAGCTCTGGGTGGGAAGTTTTGATTAAAACCAGGGTTTATCACATCTTAAATTAAGCACTATATGTTGAGGACAGAGGGTTGTGATTCCTTTCTGTACATTTTCTTACCTATCTGTAAATATTATTACTGACTGACTGCATAATGTGTTGACACAAAAACATCAACAAGTCACTCCAAGCAGTGGCGCGGCCCACCTCCCCTTTTTACCCCAGTGGTTTGACCCAACCACACAGCCCCTTTGCTGCTGGCTTGTCTGCAACCTGATTCTGAATTGAATTCTACTCTGAGAACTTTGATAGAATATTTTGTGATATTACTTTTGTCTCAACTGTGTTTATTGAAAATAATTGCATTGTTTTGTGCCTATGCTGCAGCTTCACAGGTAAATGTGATTATATGTCAACTAACATTAAGTTAGATATTCATGAATATTCCTTGGCATGTCCTTATAAATTTAACTGAGTGTACAAATGGGGCGTACGGTTTGTGTGTATGTTCTCATACCTATAACCAGTACAATATTTAATATTTCAATGAGTTTCAAATCTTTCTCACCGGCACCTTCCTCACTCTTATTTTTGTGTTTTCAGCTGCTGCTCAGCAGCAGTTTGTCCCAACACAGACTGACAAACACTTCAGCAAAACTGTAAAGAAGTGGCTTCATTATGTATCAGAGTGGGAGGGAGGCATCAAGGAACCAACAGTATGTGCTGGGTTATCCCAACACATACTGTTTTTCTGGTTCATACAGTACAAGGCTTATCCTCCTGGACGCTCTTCTTCCTGTTGTTCTGACAGTTACAAAGATGCCCTGACCAGATGCCTGAGCCATCTCAACTGGCTCGTCTCGATGTGGAGGAGCAGCGGCTCTACTCTGAGTCCCTCCCGGATGACTACGGTGCCTGGGGTCCGTAGCCCAGCTACCCTACAGAGAAAACCCATTTCGGCCACTTGTATCCGTGATCTCGTTCTTTTGGTCATGACCCAAAGCTCATGACCACAGATGAGGGTAGGACTGTAGATCGACCGGTAAATCGAGAGCTTCGCTTTTTGGCTCAGCTCTCTCTTCACTGCGACAAACCGGTACAGCCCCCACTTCCCTGCAGATGCTGCACCAATCCATCTGTTGCGTCAACCAAACCAACCCTACAACATCCAGAACCTTAAGGAACTCCGGCCGAATCTCATCCACCCCCGGGACCCGGCCACCAAGGAGTTTTTAAACACCTCGGCGACCTCGTGCCCAGAGATTGGAGAGCCCGACCCAGACACCACAGGCTCAGCTTTCTCAATGGAAGTCATGTTGGTGGGATTGAGAAGGTCTTCTCATATAGCACATACTCATACTTCGAAGTATTCTGCCCACAACATCCCGAGTCGAGGTCTGCAGCACACCATCCTCACTAAAAATAGTTTTGGTGCTGCACTGTTTTCCCCTCCTGGGACCAGAATCGCCTCAAAGCCGTGCAGAAGTCTTTCTCCATGGCCTCCCACGGTCGAGTTTTCGCCTCTCCAACCACCAGAGCTGCTTGCCGATTCGCCTGCCGGTACTCATCAGCTGTTTCTTACATTTGTCTAAAGCTAAGACAATTTATACATGCTGTAATTTAGAAAACATCAACGTCTGTCTAACTACAGAACATTACCTTCTAAATTCACAAAAAAGTTCTTAAGAGTTAAAAAATATATACACAAAAAAAGGTGAAGAATAATAGCAAAAATAGTATAGTGTACAAGAATATAACAGAAAACACTGAGCAGTTTTTAGAAATAGGCATAGGACTCATAATCCAAAGGGTGTGTAATTGAGTTGGATCATGTTTGTAATATATTCAAACCTATCAGTGAAGATAGAACATGCCTGGGGAATCCAACCTGCAGCTTCTTGAACTCCTCTCTCTCCAGTTGGGCCTCCTCTCGCTTTCTCTTTAGCTCCTCTTCATGTTGAAGCTCTTTTGCCAGCATTAGGTCACAGTTAAGACTTCCTGTAGAAACACATTTAACTTTTGTTTTTACACATCTTAAAAATTTGCTGGATTACTAATACAGTAAATGCAGATGGTTTCTACTATCATTTTAGCAGCCTTATATGCCAGTGTTGTTTCAGGATGTTTCCTGTGTACCTCTCATGTTAAGAAGTCCGTCCTTTTCTAAGCTTTTTCTGTGAAGTACCTGGTACCAAGACACCAGTATGAACTGGATCTAAATAAATCATGTGCACAACTTAAGACTGTGTTGCTGATTAGACAGTAAAGTCACCTGTCAGCTGAGTGAGGAGTAAATCTATGTGAGCACATTCTTGAGGCCTCTGTGCTGAAATGAGCAAACCCACAAAAACATGGCTCCTCTGATGGCAACGTCCTGCACATCCAAAGGTATAGTCCAGCACTGACAGCAGAACTGAATCCCTTTTGTCATCATTTGTTATTGATGACTAAAGCTATGAAGGACAGAATGACAGAGAAAGTGCTTTAAAAACTCTGAATCCCAGAATGTACAGCACTAACTCATTTTCAGTTTCTAGAAAGGAGTGTTAGTAGTGATCATGTACTTTGTCTTAAAAGGTGGATCATATTGCTATTTTATAGTGCATGCAAGTAACTACGTTACCGTCCTTTGTTACAAAAATGCTGTATATAAAACCTAACTTAAAAGAAGTTTGACTTTACACAGCTCCTGCTCTTTCCAACATTCCACCATAAGCATGTCATCACTACAATATGGGTTGCTGGTGCTGCTCAGTTGGTAAAGCACCATGTTCAGAGGCTGTAGTTCTGCAGGGTTTTGTATTTTGTCTTATGTTTAATAGTTTACTGTATTGGTCCCCAGTTGTGTTGATGAAGTGAATATGACAAAAAATTTTGGTTTTGTTACTTGGAATGTTAAAAATCAGAACAGGAGCTTTCCCCCTTCTTAAAAGTTTGGATGTACAGTTACAGCGTTTTCTCTAGAAAACTCATCTTAAAAATCCAGAATATCTGCTTCAAATGTGGTTGAGTGAGGCCTTTACACCGTCTTCTTCACTATTAGATCCCACGGGGCTTTTTTTTTTAATAGTAAAAAGTAAACTATATAACAACAATGTCACACTGGCAAATGTAATTGCTCTAAATTTTGATTACCTCCAATTCTTTTCTCACTTTATTAAACTGCTTCCTTGTAAAAAGTCGCATCAGCTCATTATGGGTGGGGATTTCGATCTGACCCTGGACTGGATCGATCATCAGTGAGACTAGGTTATAGCACTTCCAAATCAGCTTCCTATTTACAGTCTTTTCTTGCAGGATATGGCATTCAGGCCGTTTTTACACCCAAACGAAAGACAATATTCCTTTTTTTTCTTTTACTCACCAAACAGAATTGATTATTTTTTTATAGACAAACTTATTACAGATGTCCAATCATGTGAATATGGTACCATAGTAATATTTGACTGGTGCTTAAACCTAATATACTTGAAGCAAAAGCTCCCAGGAGGCACTGGAGGTTTAATTCTTTTACTATCTGATGAAAACTTTCTAAAATTTTTGTCATACCAAATCTATCTGCTCCTGGATGTCAATGTGACCTCTGAAGTTTCTTTTAAACTGTATGGGAGATGCATAAGGTTGCTAAAAAGAAAAATAACAGTGTGGCCAAACAATTGAACTTAGAAATGGAATTTTTCTATATAGAAAAATCTGTATGTCTATAAACCATTTTGGAGTTTTGAGAAGAAGTGCTGAGGTATTCCATATATCAACAAAAGATCTTTCCCACTTTGGCACAAGTACATTCAGAGGATAATAGACTCCGAACAAAAATCAGATGATCCAGCTTTCCACCAACATTTAAATGCACCACTTACGGACGAATACGAGGCTCTTTGGAATCATAAAATGAGTCTCAAAAATCCAGTTTTGTCTGTGTGTATCAGCTTACTTGTGCATAGTTATTTAACATTTGTAGGTGCAGGTGGCATCATATTTGGTTACCCTTAACCCTAACCAAATATGATATGTAATTATCATATTTGGTTAAAAAAAATCTAAATCTGTGTGTGTGTAGAAATATTATGTTTGTAGAAATTGTAATTGTGTCTGTGTACTTTTATTTTGTGTTCAGACTTTCTTAATATTTAAAAGTGTATTAGGAATGCACATTTTCTGTGCATTTGACCACACATTTCCAAGTGACCTGAGTTACGCACTTTTTTTTATTTAATTTTTTTTTACTGTTTACAAATCATATTTCACACATACAGCGACCCAAAGTTACACACTTGTTCCATTTCCTCCCCATGTTTCTTTCAAAAGCCTATTTAAAAAAAAAAACTTGATTCTATTATATTAACATACATTTGGAATGGAAAGAAGCCACACTTGTGAAAAGATCATCTTCAGAAATCAAAACAAGATGGTGGAGTGGCCCTTCCAAATTATAGACACTATTACCGGGCAACTAATTTGTGATGTTTGTCATTCTGGACATATTATTATAATCCTATTTGGGTTGTGACTCAATTTCTATCTTCAGTATTCGGAGCATCTGCACCTTTTTCCATAAACTGGACGATCACTATTCCAGTTCAGAATTTACTTACAATTTAGAAATACTTTGGTCTTTGAAATATGAGACTTTCCAATACAATACCATCCGATGTTTTTTTCCCCTCATCGATGCCACTTTTAATATTTGGTTCAAAAAAGGCATGAGATCTAAGATCTTTTCATTGAAGATAAATTTGCCTCTTTTGCACAGCTGTCTTCTCAATTCAATCTCCCCACGTCTCATTTTCAGGTACCTCCAAGCCAGGCATTATGTTTTAGGCCCCATCCCAGGGTTCCCAGATAAACCAGTTAACAGTATAACTGACAAATTGATATTTAATTCAACTAAGAAAGGATAGTTTTTGCCAATTTCTGCCATTTAGAGACTCAGCTCACATTTCCTGTCATCATAATCTTCAATAACTCTTTGAAGAATCTGAATTGATTTGAGTTACAACAACATTTAACTTCCTTTTGGGATCAATAAAGTATTTTTGAATTGAACTGAATGAGTATACACACTCCTCACCTGATTGGTCCATGAACAGTTCATGGTCAAAGTGCAGTTCTACATGTTCCTGCAGACAGAAGCTGTTGCTGTAGACAGCTAAGCATATTGGGCACTGGAATGACCTCTCTCCTAAAAAAACAGGCAGAAATAAAACATGTCACAGTTAATACAATAGTTTTATAGTTTTAGCTCAATTGATGAGAAAAGTGAGGAAAAATAAAAGCCAATCATCATACAATAAAGTTTCTACCTCTATACACGGTTGACTGGGTGCAAGTATTATTTTCAATAGTTTAAATGGAAGGAGTTATCCATCCATTGTCCAGTCTGATTCACGTTGATAAAAAATAATTGATGATCTATGCACCAAAACCTAAACGAACAGCTGTAGTGTTTCCCCAAATGCTGGTTTTAGAAGAGCACTGATGAGATAAATACATTTGAAAATATGATTTCATTCAATTATGTAGGATTAGCAGAGTAATGCACCACCTAAGTCATTTCTGTAATAAAATATGCCAGTCAGTAGAGATATGTTTGTTTGTGTTGGGTTGTGACTGTGTACGCTGACCCATGTACTGCCCAAAATATGCTAAGCGGAGGGGGGTAACTAAATGCATTTAATCAAACTTACTTTATTGTTGTTGCACAAAGAGACAACAGTGAATTTACAACAATGCTTCAAGAGAATCCAGAAAAAAATACTCAAAAACTGTGACTGTAAATACATATATACACTTATGTAGATTAAAACAAAATGAAGACAAATATTATTCAAATACTAATATATTGCTAAATACATATAACTGCTTTGTAGACTGTCTGCATTTAGAAATTAGATTAGATTTATTGTCATTGCACAGTAAAGCAGTGCAACAAAACTAATAGTACAACTCTGCTTGGGCATTTATATACAATCCAATCATAAGACTAGACAGAAGTATGATCTGGGAAATAAAATCAAATAAATGTTTTTCAGACTCTTTTTTACAAAGCTTCTAGAGGCAGAAGGGGGAACAGCTGCTGGGCTTCTTCAAGGCTGCTCTGGACTCTGGAGAGACATGGAGAGACCATGTCTGGACCATGCATTTGACAACCTGTTCTTCTGCCCCAATGACCCCGAGCAACACTCTCCTGTCTTGATGGACGGTACTCTTTCCACTCCAGGAAAGAGAGGAGATGGTTCAGTCCTATTCTTGCATGACACGACTTCTACACAAAAGTCACGGATGTAAATGTTGACAGAAGCATCTGCTCTTCATTCAAGCCCATTGATGATGAATCTATTGTTTGTGAGGAGTAGAGTGGGATGGGAGATCTATGAGTTTTTCCACTCAGCCTGGCCTCCAGAATTCTATTAGCGTTGTTAACGTTTCCAACACCGGCGCTTCTTTCAGCGTCTGACCATAGTCCATGGAAATCCCGGTGGGATGTAGAACAATTACCTGAGTGCTGTTCCAAAAGATGCAGCTCAACATGTTCCTGCAGGAGGAAGTCGCAACTGTAGACCAGTGGACACATGGGGCAGGAGAACAGCTTCTCTAGAATAAAAATAAAGAAGCTCAATTTTATACAAAAGCCGAATAAAAAGAAAAAAGGTCATGAAAATAAAAGTTACCTGCTAATAAAGGTTGGGTTTGGTGAAGTTCATCTTTCAGGACATTTGCATTATTTTGGTCTGAGATTTTATCAACCTGTGTTTTTGAGGCTGCAGTGGAGTTTGCATAGTCTCCAGGTGATGAACACTGATGCTCTGTGTTAACAGCAGAGGCAAAGTTAGATGTAAGCTGTCCTGCTTGATCAACAGCTCCTATGGACTGACAGGTTTGGGACTCCTGGCCTTCACTTCTAATTGTTTCTGTCCTGTCAGGTAAAGCTGAACCACATGGGTGGTGAGTGGGGTCTTGGATTCTTTGCTGCTCTCTAGGATGTGCAGATGTAATGTGGTAACAGACTTCAGCATCATCAACTCCTGACAGAGTACGGAGGGGAAAGTGCAGATCATCTTCTATGTGGCAAAGAAAGAGATGTGACTTCATGTCTTCCTCCAACAATATCTCCTCACCACAGATTTCACATGTCAGCATAGCTGAAGTCTGCAAACACAGAAGCACAATATCTAGTCCAAACCTTTGGAAAGATGAACCACTTATGCTTAGTGTGTTTAGATTTACTGCCACATCAAGATAAAATGCAGTCAACAACAAAGCTCATTCTAAAATATGTCACAAAGATAATCAGTAAGATAATTAACTACTACAAGAAAGTAGAAAATAAATAGAATTTGCAGTAATGCTGCACAATATGATGATTTTCAATACCCATAGCAAAAGCAATGTCTACGATACTTGTGAAGTAGATTTTTCTTTAAAGAGAAAATCTATCATTTGCATCATACAGTAACATAGTCAATATGTTTTCTCGTGCAGCTGCAGAGGGTGTACTAACTAATTGAACAAGATGTGTCTGTTGAAGTTTCCCAGACGGGTTATCTGGGAACTTGCTGTTTTTCCCGAGGTCTTCCCTGCATGGAGATGGAGTGTTTAGTTTTCGAATCCCGTAGACATGATAGTGAATGAGTGTGTAAGGTTGAACTGTTCCGTCTGTTTTCCTTTGTTTCTTTTGTTTGGTCTTAGAAGATTGAGTCTCCGCCTCTGTTAGCAGAGAGAGGTGAATAAAGCAACTATGCAACTCTGAGTTCGTTAGAGCAGAATGATTTTCGCCTAATGCAGTGGATTTTTACTCTCCGTCTGCAGATGTATTTAAGATTGTTTTTGCTCCATGACTTTTGTCTGGACCTCAGTCTCTGAATTGTGCACTTCACATCCTGCAACAGCCAAAAACTACCTGGATATCATACACTGGGTGTCATGTACACCATGTTCCAAATTATTATGCAAATTGGATGTAAGTGTCATAAAGATTACATTCTTTGTTGTGCTATTAAATGGTATTTTGCGTCAGGCTCTTTGAATCACTATAGTTAATTTCAGAGAGTTGCTTGATTAGTTTGTCTGGTGAGCTCAATTAAAGCAAATCTACTGAAGAAGGATGTTCCACATTATTAAGCAGGCCACAGATTTCAAGCAATGTGGGAAAGAGAAAGAAACTCTGCTGATGAAAATCATCAGATAGTGTAGTGCCGTATGACAAGGTATGAAAATATTAGATGTTTAATGAAAACTGAAGCGTTACGGTACTGTGAAGAGATTTGTGGCTGATTCAGAACAAAGAAAGGCATAATGAGGAAGGTTTCTGTTAGACAAATTCATGGGATTAAGAGAGCAGCTGTTGAAATGCCCTTAAAAAGCAGCAAACAGTTATTTGAAGCTGCTGCTGCCTCTAGAGCCTCAAGGTGGAGGATCCTCCAGAGGCTTGTGGTGCGTCAACCTACTATTGGGCCCCTAACCAGCTCACAAACAGAAACGCTCGCAGTGGGCCCAGCCGTACATGAAGATTCATTTTCAAACAGACTTGTTCACTGATGACTGCTGTGCAACCCTGGATGGTCCAGATAGACGCAGTAGTGGACTGGTGGTGGACGGCCACCACATCCCAACATGGCTGTGATGTCATCAAGGAGGAGGTGGAGTCATGCTTTGGGCCGAAATCATGGGGAGAGAGAGAGAGAGAGCTGGTCAGCCCCTTCAGAGTCCCCAAAGGTGTGAAAATGACCACCTGGCAAAGTATATCTACTTTCTGACTGATCACTTTCTTTCATGGTTCAAAACGAAGAGCCGTACCTTCAGTAGCAAAATCATCTTCATGCATGACAATGCACCATCTCATGCTATGAGGAATACCACTGTGTCATTGGCTGACACCGGCATAAAAGGGGAGAAACTCATGGTGTGGTCACCATCCTCCTCTGACCTCTGACCTCACCCCTATTAAGAACCTTTGGAGTTACCTCAAGCAGAAGATCTGAGGGTGGAAAGCAGTTCATATCAAACAGCAGCTCTGGGAAGATTTTCTGACATCCTCCAAAGAAATTCAAGCAGAAACTTTCCACAAATTCAATGGATGCAAGAATTGTGCAGGTGATATCAAAGAAGGGATCCTGTGTTAATATGTAACTTGGTCTGCTAAGATGTTTTTGATTGAAATAACTTTTGATTTTAGTACATGTGGCCACTTAATGCTGCACATTCAAAGAATGACCGTTTGAAGTTCTTTATAATCCATTAAATGTTAAGAAAATCTGCTGTGCATAAAAATTTGGAACAGTGCATTTTGAGTTTTTTATTTTTGAAAAAAATACTATTCTCATGGGGAGCTTTGTACAGTAAAATTTGATTTATACTGTAATAGTTTACGACTTAAAATTACACTGACCATCATTTGCATTGACCATTTAAGAAAATGTGAGAAAATATCACTTGCATAATAATTTGGAACATGGTGTAGTCACATGTCCCATGATAAAACTATAGTTGTTCAGCTGGATGGGCTAACTGCCCTTGATGGTGAGATACGAAAGAACACAGAAAATAGACGAGCTAAAATGTGGCTTCATCATTATACACCGACACTGCTGTGACATTTTTGCTCAAGTTATGCAGAACCAGTTAGGAACCAATGGAACAAGTTTTGTTAAAAGTAAACACCCATTAGTGATACCTGAGGGCTGACTCACAAAAGTCAAATTATAAGATCTGGGATCAGAGATCAGCCCCATCAGTTCATCCAGGCTTTTTCCGTTTCACAAAGACCAGTCCAGGTTGTGGACTTGCCGAGCAAGTCTCTATGGGTTATTTTAAAAATGAGAATTGTGTTTTCTAACGTTATTTTTGTTTAAAAAAAAAAACAAACAAAAAAAAAAAAAAAAACAATACTTGACTCCATACCAAAATGAATTAGTAGTATTTTAATGCAGGGTGATTTTTAAAAATACCAAAACAGATAAGATTTGGGAAGGCCTTTTTCAATTTAAGGTGAAGCGTTTAAATCTACGGCAGCCATGACGGTAGCTACCAGTAGCCGACGCTATCGGATGTCCAAACCTGTTAATCGGTAACAATGGGGAACTTTTTCTGCTGCTTTTCTTAGTACAACGCTGAATTCACCTGAAGTAGACTCACGTGTGAACTGATCCAGGCGAGGTATTGACAGTACCTGATCAACAGATGCTTTAAAACGAATCTGCCGATACAATACTATCCAGCGGAGTTGCAGTTTTTGCTTCTTCTTCTTCGATTTATTGGCGGTTGGCAACAAACTTTTAGTAGCATTACCGCCACTAACTGGTATGGAGTGTGCTTCTTCTTCTTCTTCTTCTTCTTTTTTTTTTCTTCTTCTTCTTCTTTTGATTTTAACGGCAGTTTGCATTCATTATTGTTACACTGCTGCCATCTATAGGATCCTAAAATCTATATCTCAAATTTATATTGATCCCAGTCTTTTTAAAAAAACGAAAAATCTTATTTTTCCCCTCAATACTATTTAACCAATCAACCACATTCTCAAATGTCATTTTTCTATTGAAATCTAATTCGGTTTTTAATAATCTTCTTTGATTTACCTATTTTTTACAACCAATAAAAACATGTTCCATTGTTTCTACAGAATCACACTAACTACTTAAAAAGTGTTCCATTTAAAAAACTGTGATTGGTTCTTATTCTATTTATAATTATCTCCTCCCTCCTGTTTATTCCTCTAATCCTTACTACATCAACTGTATTTTGAATCCTATATAAATGCCTTCCATTTATTTCATTATCCCACCTAACTTTTACCTTCAGATTTAGATAACTTTACTGGCTTATCAATATCTTCTTTTTATAATAGCCTCCTTAGCCTACCTATTTCACTACTCAAAATACCTACATGAGCAGGAGTCCAAAATAATATTACATTTTAATTTTTTTCACATATTCTCTGATGAACAGCCATAACCTCATATAATATATTTTGATGATTTTTTGTACATCCCTTTTCAATACTCAACAATGCAGATAGTGAATTACTACAAACTATTATTTTATTTATATTAGTATCCTCCACCCATTCTAAAGCAAATATTATAGCACATAATTCTACTGCAAATATATACTCAGATAATTAGATGTTCTTTTTGAAATATTAATCTTTAACTCAGGAATCACTACTGCTAGACTAGTTGTTTCATTTTTTGGGTCTTTCAAACCAACAGCATACATTTGCAAATAATCATTACATTGATTCTGTATTTGATCATAGAAATCTTGGCAAATATCTGTTATATTTCCTTTCTTAATATTTGATAGTGATATGTCTATGAAAATTTATGTCCATGTCCATATAGGTCTCAAAGGCCTCAATACTGCTGGACAAAATTCTTAGTCATGTATATTAAATGTTTTTGCTCTGTCATGGCCATCCCTCCCAAAACTATTTTTTTTTCCTTTCCTTTTTCCCAACAATTTCGTAATACTTTCTTAACTGGATGATCTTCTTTATGTCCTTTTAAATTTATCCAATAATTAATCATGATCTGTTGTCTTCTAATGCATAATGACATTTCTCATGATTTTACTTGTAAATCACATACAGGAGTTGATTTAAATGCCCCTAAATAAATTTTCAATGCTCAAACTTGAATAACATACATTTTTTTAACTTAGTTTTAGCGGCTAAACCATAATCTATTCTTGACCGAATTAGTGACACGTAAACATTTTTAAGTGATTCAAAACTTGCACCCCATGCAACCCTGCTAAACACCTCATAATGTTAAGAACATTTTTACTTATCTCCATAATATGTTCTATGTGACTTTCCCAAGTTAGTTTCTTTTCAAAAACTACACCCCAAAAAACGAAAACAGTCAAACCTTTCTAACTTTTTCCCATATAAATACTACTTTTTATAAACTCCAATTTTTGTTTTTGTAAAAATCATCAAAATCAGTCTTCTTAATTGAAAGTTTAAAACCCCACTCTATCCCCCTCTTCCCCACATATCTATGCCTGAAGTTTTAAAATAAGACGTTCTACATTTTTTCCCTTTTCCATAATGTGCCATCCTGGCCTGGCCCAAGCCTCCAGAGGGCCCTAAGTGAAATGTGGCTTTGTGGCCCTTTAGTTCTGCTAACAATGTAGACTGCCAGCAATCAGCAGTCTGATCATTAGATCATTCGCACACCTGCTATAAACTTATTGAAATAGACTGTTCTGCATGGGCAGCAGATAAATGGGGATACTGTACAGTGAAAGAGATACTGTGCTGCTGTCCCTTATTCAATAGCACCTGTTTGGTTGCTTCCATATGTGAATGTAGACCTAGAGGTTCATAAAGAAATATAGACTAATAAAGGTAATAACTGGGTAGATTTTATAAATGATAGAATTAAGAATATGTATAAATCCTTTACAATTACATATACAGATGGTTCAAAAGATTTTGTTTCAGGTAAAACAGGAATTGCTTATTATGCTATTCCTGAATTAGAGGTATTTATGAAGCAAAGAAGAACTGACCAGTTAACTCTGTATGTGGTGGAAATGTTAGTAATACTGATGGTCTTACAGTGGGTAGAGCAAAATAAAACTGAAAGAGTTCTCATAGTTCAGATTCATTACCATCATTAATGTCCATTTTAAATAGAAAAAATGGAAAGTCCTATGAAGCTGATATGTGAAACTTATGAAATTATACTAAGAATAACAAGCTCAAATAATAACTTGCCATACAATGACAGACCATTGTCTTTAAAACAAAGTAGAATTATGGAAATAGCAAATCTGAAATAAAATCAATTATTAAGAGCAAAACTAAATCTGAATGGCAACAATTGTGGGAGGGGAGAACTAAAGGTTGTCATTTATTTCATAAAAGAGGAAAAGTAGGAAATATGGGAAGAAATTGGAGGAAATCAAATAGGAACCAGTAGGAATGACAAGATCACTGTGTGCTCATACATGATTAAATAAAACTTTTCATTTGATAGTTAAACATGATATGGATATGGATCTGGAGACAGTAGAACATGTAATAATTCATTGTGAAAAATATGGAGTAAGTAGAGAAAAGCTAAAACAAGAAATTAGGAAGTACTATATATATATTAAAAAAAAAATTCCCTTCTCACCCACCGCGGGTGGTTCTTATCCTCTGAGCTCGGGTCCTCTACCAGAGGCCTGGGAGCTTGAGGGTCCTGCAGTATCTTGGCTGTGCCAAGGACTGCACATTTCTGGGCTGAGATGCCTGATGTTATTCCTGGGATGTTGTAGCCATTGATCCAGTTTGGGGGTTACTGCCCCAAACCACCTTTGGGGGTGTTTCCGACTTTGATCTCAGGGTCTCCAGTCTATATTGTGCACAGATGTTTCTGTACACTATGCCTGCCACTTAGTTATGTCGTTGTATATATATATATATATATATATATATATATATATATATATATATATATAATATATATATATATATATATATATATATATATATATATATATATATATTATATATATATATATATATATATATATATATATATATCTATATATATATATATATATATATATATATATATATATATATATATATATATATAAAGGAAACAGGTCTATATATAAGAATTAAGATTAGGTTGAAAAAGGGAAAAACTCTGGTCCACGCTCCAGCATAGTAGATGGCAATAATACATCTTAACGGTAGATGTCACCCGCCAGTAAAAATAGAAAGAAGAAGAAGAAAAAGAAGGTTTACGATAAATGAACAAAAAGAAGTTTCAGAGGTTGAGGTATGGATTAGTAAATCAAAAGCATGAGTCACATGACATAATTCAAGCACTTATTAAATATTTTAAAGATACAACATTAACTGAGAGAATTTAGTATGTATATGTGTGTGAGTGTATAAGTATATATATAATATAGTTATTTTAAAGATTGAAGATATGTAGAAAAAAATTATTTCTGAATTAGATCTCCATCCAGTTGATGGCGGTAATACACAAAGTATGTACAGTACCAGAAAAAGCTATAGAAGCTGAAGAAGACTAAGAAGGAAGAAGGTTTACGTCGATTCCGCCCTAAGCCGGAAACAGGAAGAAAACTCTACAGATTGCGCTACAATGGAGGCGACTGTGTTCATCCTATCGCTTGTAGATTGTTGTGCACTGATTTTTCTTTCGGTTTACTTTGTATCCTTTCATTGTATATGTTTCTCGTGAATGTTGAAAATAATTGATTGAAGTAGCCTTTTCAGCTAAAAGCTAATCGGAACTCCTGTATTTTTTTTCTACACAATCTGTGTAGTCTACACCTTTAGCCACTTTGTTAGCCCTGGATAATGAAGCACTTCATACAGCCAAAAGACACGGAAGCAAATGGCGTGTCGCGGGTTGCTGCTGCTAGACAACAGTAATAGACTCGTGAAAACGACTAAAAATGGTTTATACCGGAAATTGTGAATATTCTATTAACTTTGGGCAGAATTTCATAACCGAATAAAGCGGTTCCTTCTTCCTTTAGTCCACTTTTATTTGTTGCAACTGGGATTGTGGAGGAATTATTTTCTCTTATTTAGCATTGGGACCTAGAAAAATTACTGCACCATAATAATCAATTAATAAATTTCAAGAAATCTTTTTGATATCGTTTTCAAATGATTTTTGATTAATGTTGACTTTTTAGGTGTTCGAATAAATGACAGTTAACTGATCTGCAATAGTTCCTTTATCATTAGTGTCCTGTTCAGTACTGCAGAATAAAACACTTTTACTGTTTTAAAAAGAAAACGAAATATTCTCACTCGAATGAACCCTGGTCAAGTTAAATACTGAATTTCAGATTTAATATAAAAGCGAAACAATGGTTTACTTTCTGTTGGTCTAAACTTCACTTGTGTGTCCTGAGTATGATTTTCACAAGAATGGAAAACTGGACATTGAATTAAATGCTGTGTAAGTTTATAATGTCAATCCTCAAATATCAAGCTATAGTAGAAATAAAACTGAAGGGACAGTGCTTCCCAGATCATTATCAATAGTCCAGTCTTAGATTCAAAGATAGTAACACTCATGTATAATGAGTTGTTAATACATGAGAATTATACATGACAATAATTCTGCAGTATGATATAATTATAACAGATTTTAGCACAATCTGTTATAATTGACAGATTGTACTGCAATAATAATCAAGAAATAACAAATGTGTCAGATGACAAAACAATACGGAAAATACTTTTCTTTAAATAAAAAACCTTTGTAATATATAACACCTTGACATTCATTTCAAGATTATCACTCTGTCTGATCTAGAATGTGACTACATTAATGCCCGAGCATGCTGCTCCAAGCTGAACAAAGTAAGTACCATCTCTCTGTTCTTGATTTCCAATATAAAGACATTATTTTTCCCTGTGTTTATATTCCATGTTAAATGTTTATAGTTCATTATATGTCCTGAAATGTGTCTGTTTTTGTACAATAAAAACAGACAATAACGATTTTAATGTTTCCAGTGGGTAATTCCAGAGATGGTTGGTCAGTGTCTCTCTACGATGCTCATGCTGGTCTCCATGCACTGGTTCATTTTCCTGCTCAACATGCCTGTAGCAGCCTGGAACATCTACAGGTAAGCCATGTTTTTTTAAGCTAGTGAATGGCTAACTGTTTGAGTGTCTAAACACTTGTAGTTGATATATCGCGATATAAAAGCAAAGATATTCACTCCAGGGTAATATTATTATAGGAACTGTAAATTTATATAGTTGGTCTGGTGTTTTTTTTATTGAACACAAACAACAGCGGAATAAAAAGTTGTTTAAACAATCGTTTCCAAGTCTTGGGGATGATAATTTGGTTCTTTTGTGTTAAAAGATTAAGTATTTTCTTATTTGTAAAACCAATACCAGCTATAACTTTACAGGACCTACAGCATTCCTCATTTTAGCAAATAAAATGAAAAAATTAGCTTAAAATTACACCTTTATTCTCGTACAACTTTACTTAATTTGAAGAAGCTTCTGACTGAAGACACTGTTTTCCAAGACAATGTCTTGAGAAGATGATGGTCATGGTTGCCCATAACTTTCTTGACCTCCTGAAGAATCCTTCTTTGCCTCATCGTCTCCAGAGGTTCCAAAGTTGTCCCCACAGGAGAACCAGCATTCTTTATCAGGCTGTTGAGCCTTTTTAGTTCCCGGGTTTCGATGCTGCTGCCCCAACAGATGAGGGCAGAAGAGATGACACACTCAACAACAGAGAAGATCTGCAACGTCTTGGCTGCAAACCTTGAAGGACACTCCAAGATTAATCAATCTCTAACTAAACTAAACTGAACTCCCCTGGAATTCAGTTTAGCTTATTAACAACAAATAAAAGGAATATGGCCCATGTGTAAATCTGCCAAGAATCAAATCAGGTCATCCTCAATCACTCAGTGATTGCGAAGAAGAAAACAAGTGAGAGAGGACACATTTGATGTCAGAATTTATTGAGATGCAGCTGTTGTTAGGTAAGCAGGATTAAATTTGCTCAACCATAGAGACCATATGTCACACATCTGATCTGAGATGGAGACATGGATACCTTATTTCAGTACATGTTGCATTAGACTCTTCTTCTGTTCCCATAGGTATGTGAAGATTCCTATGGGAAACATGGGTGTGTTTGACCCAACTGAGATCCACAACAGGGGTTTGCTTAAATCATACATGAAGGAGGCCATGATTAAATTAGGATACCACCTGCTCTGCTTCTTCATTTATTTGTACAGGTAACAAAACCATCACATTTTGTTTATAAACTTCTAATTCTTTAGATAATGTCATTCAATATTATGTTAGTAAATTGCACAGTGCTATTTTTTTCCTCCATGTATTTGCAGCATGATCCTGGCTCTGATCAACGACTGAGACCCTCAACAGAGTGACCCCCTCACATCTGTACTGTCTGGATGAAATGTCTCAGAACACTGTTGATTTGTGTTGTCAAGATCCAGGGTTTGCAGTTTGATACAGTTATGTGGTTAATATTTAACCATTCAGTGCTTAACACTTTTCAAAATAGCCAAAAATGTCTTTTTGTATGGTAAAGAACCTCATATTATTTTTTTAAATACTTTTTTGACAGGGCAATCACATTTGCTTTTCATTGTATGTTGGTGTGAATTTTTTTGTCTGTGCTTCAATTAGCTGAAACAAAAAAATGTAAGACATAGTCAATTACAAAATATTACTAATAAGTAATGCATACAACTGATCCACTTAGCCTACTTTATGTAGTTTCATTTACATAGCATGCTCAACATATGAAACATCAGCCTGACAGAAACATCCATACTTGATCACAGTTGCAAGTAAAAACTGGAATAACTCACTTTTTTTTTACAATAGGCCCAATTTAATATGAGATTTGGTCTTCTGCTGCTGTGGAAATATGCATGAAAAAAGTCCTTTGGAGCCTGTTCATTGGGCAGGACCAGGAATTTGTATGATAGGGTTAAGGTTTTTAATGATTCTCATCATTGTTTTGCAAAGACAAAACCAAATGCTTATATTGTTATTGCTATAAGATACAAAATTATTAACTTGAAAATTAAACATTTATGGTCAACAGCTCAGCAAAAAATGTCATTTAGTTTGATTTTCATTTGCCTTTTGGAATCCATGTTTTTATGTTTCTGGCTGCACCTGACTAATTGCTTTTTGGGACTCTAGTTGTCACCATTTTCCCCGTGCAACTCAATTCGCTTCAAAAAAATGTGCTTTGTTAATGGCTCAAGTTTGCTTGAATACTGTAAATAAAGAAATAAAAACTAGGTATCTGTCAAGACGTGTCAGACTATGATGAAATGTTAACATGTAATTTTATGGATAAAATATTAATTATCTTCTGTTAACCCATGATGTAAAATGAAAAACAACAAAATCTATCTGATGAAAAATATATTTACACTGTTCCACCACTGTTCAATTTGTTGTGAGATTGGTAAGCAATGCAGAATATCATACTGAAACTCAAAAACAGGAGACTGAAAAGGAGTATGTGTGGATGCTATCATTGTGATGTACTCCTATGTTTACTGACCATTTCTATGGTAAACCAGTAATGGGCTTGTTACCTTCACCCCCTTTACAGTAATACTTCTGTCAAAATGTTTGTTAGTCTGTCGAAAGACGGCTGATTATTGATGGAAGTCGTAAAGAAGAATCAATCATATCACGTCTTAGAATTGGTCATACATGACTTACTAGTTCTCTTTCTTGAATAGGGAAACATGAAACGGGGACTTGTAATTATTGTAATTAGATGGAAACAGTGGAACATGTCTTATTATAATGTAATAAATATTCAGAGGAATGTCAGAATTTGAAGTCAATATTAAACAGGAAAAGGATTTTCTATGATAAATATTTTAGTAAATTAGTCAAAATCTATTATAAATCAATTAATTAGGTTATTTTTTAAAATAGGTGATTTAATCAAATTTACAAAGTATGTGTGTGCATACACATGTGTGTATACAGGAACCATTGAGGTAATATCAAATTCCTTCTTAATATCATTGGTGACTCTAGGGGGTCATAGGAAAATGATTTTATTTTGCGTCCCCTCGCAAAACTGTAATGATCAGTTTATGCGGCATAATTGAATGCTGTGAGCCGTTCTTACAGTGGCCGCCGTACTGTCTGCTTTAATAAAAGGTTATGTGAGGTTTTTCCATAAATGTTAATATCTCGATGTGAAAAAAAGAAATAAAAACGCTGAAAGTCACCAGTCAAGCTGTGCTGAATGTTGAGCGGAGACTTTGTGGTTTAAACAAGACCCGATGGAAGAATGAAACTAGACTGGCCAAAAGAGCATCGATCATTTGCTGTCGTTTGGGTGGTTGCTCTGTCTTCCGGCTCACACATAACCTCAGTAGATGGCGGTAAAAGGCCCTTAAGCTGGCTTGCAATAAACAGAAGAAGAAAAAGGAGGAAGAAGAAGAAGAACTTCTTGTTGACGTGTAGGTTGGAAAGTAGCTTTAGCATGTATCAAAGTGTTCTCTTTTATTATTAATTATTCAAAAATGAATTCGTTCGGTTTATTGCAAAGGATTTTAACAAAACGCTATTCGAGATAAACAGTAAAAACTGCAAAGGTAGGGAACTTAAGATTCCGTGACAAGATGAGTAAGTACCGTGCAGAAAGTTGTAATTCTGATACATCACTGCAGTGACAGACGGACGAGTTTTTGTGACAGACTCCGATCCTGTAGGTTTATGAAGGCGAGGCGTCATGTTGTTCTGGTCGGGAAGTCGAGCCATTACAATTAGGAGGAATGTAATAAAAAGTTTTCGGAGCATGTGCAATTACATTAATGAATTAACTTCTACCTAAGGTTTACGCATTCTTATTGCCAACGAAAAATCAATTCTCACACCAGGGTTTAAATATATGAGTGCGAAATGTCGTTTTAGATGCGAAATGGAAGTGCTCATTGGATCAGATTGACCGCCATCTTTTCCATACAAAATGAGCATTAAAGTGTAAACTCAAAGACCCCCGTACATCGTTTTTATATACAGCAGATATATTGTTATAATTACAGTTAGTATGTTTCGCCACGTATAAAGTTAAAGTACCTGCCTGTAAACACACTTGCTTGTTAATTGTTTAGCCCTCTCCTTTAACTCTGTCACATTTTCTCTGTATTCTTCGTCGTCCCTGACCTCAAGTCTCAAGTTGTAATATTTCGCATTTAAGTTTTTTTTTTAATCAAAATATGTTCAGTGGATTTATACGTTTTTCAAAGTGTATCATTTTAATCAGTTGTATAATATTTGTTTAATACTCTGAAACCTGTTTTAATTCTGCTTTACAATAGTATTTGTGCAAAAGGTGTAATCAGCCTGAAGGCAAAATGCAGTCACACTGGCTTCAGTTTTGTTTCTTCATGCTTTTTATTTTGTTGACAGATTTCATTGGGCTGCATGGAGGGATTTTTAAGTTGGGTGTTATTTTCAGGTGTGTCAATGGATAAATGTAAACCTGAAACATTGATGTGGTTGGTTTGGCTGATTCAGACGTTTGTAATATTAGCTGGTGTGGCCCCAAAAAACATTGCTGAACTAAGGCTTGATGTTTTCACACTTTGCATGCATCCACACAAACTACTATAGTTAAAAGAAAATATTAAGCAAACTTACAAAAGAAAACAAGAATTTTACAGAATTGCTGCTGAGACCATTTGCATGGATTCAGAACAAAGTGTTCTTTATGCTGTAAAAAAATATGTTGAAACAGAATTTATTTTAGTCGATTAACAGTAAATTGACAGGCAAATAGAAGCACTAGATCAAACCTTTTAGGAGTTTTAAAATTTTGGTCCTTAATCCTCTCCAGGCAGATGTTGCAGATTTGCAACAACTCAGTGCTACTTAGCTATTCTTTGCAAGTAATTTGAGTCTGAGAGGGTTAAAATGAAGCAGTTTTAATTAAATAAAAAATGTTTGCAAAACAATATTAACATGTCTGCTCAGTGTTTAAATATTACCCTGTTTACTGTTTGGCCAAATAGTAAAAAATAACTCTTTAATTATGTATTCATATACAATGGCTAACATGTCCCCTACTTGTTGGTTTTGCACAAATAAAGGAGCTTTCATCATAATATTAATTAATATTATTTTTGCAATTAGCTAGCAAACATTCTGTTCTTTCAAAGAAATCTTCCACTATTACCAAATTTCAATCTTGAAATTTTAGTGTTGTGTTTATTTGTGTCACTGTATGCATAACCAGAAAAGCTTAATGCTGTGTTTTCAACAGGTGTGGTTGAATAAGGACGTCCATGATAAACTATGGGGAAGAAGAAGGTGCTGGATCTGTATAGAGCCCCATTTCCACTGTACACCGTCAAAGTGGATGCCACTACAGGGCTTGTGATAACAGCTGGAGGAGGGGGTCCCTCAAAGACAGGAATAAAAAATGGTGTCGTAAGTACAGATGATCATTTAGATCAGTCTTTCTCAAAGTGTGGGCCGCGGTGTACTCCATGTAAACAACTGTTAATTTCCCATGCGATGCTAAAGTCAGCTTACCAAAGGATTGTGCTTAAAAATAATAAAGGACAAATGGTTTAAGACCAGGTCACTAAAAAGAAACCCAAAAGATACCAGTGGAAAGTTTCTCAGGGTGAGGTCCAGAACTTTTGTTTTTGAAGACTATGATAAACAGCATGCCACATGCATGTAGTTGTAGGTCCAGGGAATGCGGAATGATGGGGAAGAGGTGGTGCACAGAGGCACACCCATGCTCACCAACTGTAATCTTAACACCTAAAATATAAAGTTATTTATATTGGGCTACATAAAATGGCTGAAAGAAAATGTTTGTTTTTGCCAATGCAACTCAAGTTTGTTTTTTCTTCATTATGCTTCTAAATTAGAAATATTCCTTCAATCAGGGATGTCAAACTCATTTGCAGAAGGGGCCAAAATTCAAAACACACTTAAAGTCACGTGCCACCCAGGATAAACATTTATTAAACACACTTAAATTTAATGTTTTTGGGACATAAATATGAATAAAAACAGACAGGAATATTACATTTAAACCTTAAATCACTTATACAGTATTTAAAAAATATCCCGTTAAATTATACAACTTAGAACTTAAACAACTTATTAAAATAACATTCAAATTCCTTTGCTCCTATGTCAATGTATATGTTAAAAAAATAAACTTAAATATCCCAAAATATTTTGCTCTCCTTAAAATATTTCCTGTCAAAAGTAGAAATATGAACATGCTACAAAACCTGGAAATATACATAAAATATGTACTTTTTAGAAATAACAATTCTAATCATTCCGTTTTCTTTGCTCTTATGACTCTGGTCTGATCATTTGCTCTGATCACAGCCAGACACCTGGCATCTTTTTTTGGCAACAAGTTGCTTTATGTTTGGTGTGAAGTCCTGTGTTGTGGAGATTCTCAGGATGGACTGCAGGTGGTCATCAGTGAGACGACTTCTGTGTGCTGTTTTGTTAATCTTCATCACTGAGAAGAGCTTCTCACACAGACATGGGCTCCCAAACATGCACAAGGTTCGAGCCGCATGAAGACGGAGCTGGGGCATTGCTGCAGGGATAGAGTGAATGAACTGTGCGGGCCCTGCAGTGTCATACTTTGCCTTCAGTGTCCCATTTCACTGCAGCTCAATCAGTTCCATCTGAATCTGCACAGGTGCAGTTTCAACATCAATGGCAAATGGGTGGCAAAGCAACTCAAAACTTTTTTTGTGTGCTTCAAAGTCACTAAACCGCCGTGCGAACTCAGCGCGTAGTGCTCAGTTTGTCGGCAAAGTGCGTTTTGGGGAACACAGTTGTGCTGACTTGGTTCAACATTACTTGGCAACAGGGAAAGTGAGGCAAGTTGCACTGTTGCATTTGTGTCTCCCATAAAAGCAGCTTCACTTGAAACGCCTTCACCATGTCATACATGTCAGTGATCCTGCAGTCACGTCCCTGGAGCTGCAGATTTAAGGCGTTAAGATGAGCTATTACGTCAGCCAGGAACGCTAACTCGCACTTCCATCCTTATGTTTTGTCTCAAAGTGCCGTCTTAGATTGAATTCTTTCATTACAGCCACATTAGCGCCACAAATAAGAGACCGGGGTTTACCTGCAATGTCAGTAAACATATAGTCAGCCTCCCATCGGTTATTAAAGGCTCTGTTTTCAGAATCAACTTTTCTCTTCGCCATTGTGAGGGGATCTTCGGCTTCCAGCTATCTGCACGCTATCGTTTAAAGTTTAACATGGAAGACTGACTGTTCCGATGGTCCTTGGGGTACTTGTAGAACTTCGAATGGAATGGTGCTCAGTTTACGCAGTCCATAAGAGCAACCAAAAACTCTGAGTGCCTCTCAGGGCCTGAATGGACACAGGAGATGCGCCGCAAGGCAGCCAAAGCATTGCATTGTGGGATGTGTAGTTCTGTGCAGTATTGTGTTATCAGCGCGGCGAAAAAGGTATACCCTCGACGGCGTTGTTCATATCGACGGGCCATTAATAACAATAATGTAAAATGGTTTCGCGGGCCGGATATGTTTACACGGCGGGCCGAATGTGGCCCCCGGGCCGTGAGTTGGACACGTGCCTTAAATATTATTAGTGCGCAGAACACTAGTAAAGAAAATTTTTTGATTTCCATGTGTTTTCTGAGACTGGAAAGCTTCGAATTCATACTTTCAGAATCTGTAACTCAAAACGTCCAAGTAGACTTGTTCATGGTTTTATTGTGGCTAGTCACATTTACAAAACAAAGCCACCCTTCAGATTCAGAGGAACAAAGACAGTGAATTAAGAGACTATTTTCATTTCAGGTTGTATATATTAAGATGTTGTATTATTGCGGGGGGCAATTACAAGTTAGGTGGTCCTTCAGTGTTTTTAAATGGGGTAAATAACCCTCAGACTAAAAAAAGTTTGAGAAACACTGCTTTAGACTGAAGTCTCAATACTACTGAGCTAGAACAATGTATTGGTGTTAATTGTTGTGAGTCTTAATAGATGCCTGCCATAAAAATGTATGGCAGGCATCTATTGTTCTTCACCTCAAAATAACTGCTGCTTCCTACTACCGTTAATGCGGCCTGTACTGCTGCGTGCCTCCTCACAATATTTATATCAAAACATGCGGCTCGGTCCCGTGAGGGGAGCTATTACTTTTGTTGGCATTTCGAGTAACTGTGGCAACATAATTAACAAAAAAACGAGCCAAATTCAAGTCAAAACAAAAGTCTAACTGACACAAATCAGTGTCAAAATAGAATTTTGTCTCTCCCTCTGAGCTGCTCTTTAGAACTACAGTGACGGTAAAATGTCAGAATTACAAAGATGATACAATCTCATTGCATCTCTGAATAGTGCCGTTTGTCATATCTTATATGCATATCATCTTGAGGTGGCAAAAGCAACAAAAAATCTATTATGCTCTGGACTTAAGATGGAGTACATGCACACATATTCATGACATGCTTTGATTAAATTAATAAGTGTAATTCTAGTACTAAAAAATTAGCTTTATACCAGGCGAGTCTGTCTAACCTGAGAAAGTGAACCTGTACTGGGCTGATTCTATGCCTTCAAATAATTTTAACAATGCTCCTGCAGAAGATTCATAACTTCTAGTTTATTAGTCTGAAACAGGAAGAGGTTTGAAATAACAGTCTGTGTGCTACACCAAAGAGAGATTCATTTGATGAATATTTATAATGTCTAAATTGAAATATCAGGTCAAAGTAGCTACTAATTTTCAGTTTTATTTTCAGGTTTCAAATTCAGTAATACTTTATTAATCCCACCGAAAAATTTAATTAAATTCTACCTCCTCCAGTAATTTGGTTTAATTCTCATTAAGGTTCTGTTCACTATATACTGGATATTTAAGAAAAGTTCAACACAGCAGGTCTGACACATAATAATAAATATTGTTATTAATTTATACTCTCAGAGGAGTCTCTGTTTTATTCAGATTTTTTACGTTTTTCTTACTTTGTTTTTGTGTTTGAAAAACATTGCTCCACATCTCAAATCCATTAACCAGCTACTTTGTGTGTCACACCAGTGCACAAAGCATTGATTATGTTCATGTGATCAGGACCGGCAGAAGCGGTCTTGGCCTGTTTGGCTCCCTGGGCAAACCACCTTTCTGGTGCCAATCCCAGAAACCTCCACTGAGGACCCGTTTGTTTTCCAGAACCAACAGCACAAACTTTGTCATAATATTCACTTGTATCTTATGTGCACAGCAGCAGAGGCTCATTCTGCTTCACTCTGCGCCACACTCCTCTGAGCTTGGTTGCGACGCAAAGTGCACCGATGTGAAATAACACAGCTGATAGAAGTCCACAGACCTGCTGAGGAAAGCTGCTACCAGGGAAACGTATTTTAACCCTAAATGATTCAGCTCCCATCTATCACCTAAAACTTAATGGAGAGCCCAGAGAAGGCACTCTACCCTTTTACAGCTCAAGACCATAGTCTTGGATTTGATCCTCTAAAGCCACCAAAACGGATCCCTTCAACACCATGGCTGCCCCTAGAAATTCTGTCCATGAAAGTAATGAACAAAATCGGTGACACAGGGCAATCGTGGCGGAGTTCAACTTTCACCGTAAAAAAGCCTGACTTACTGCCGGCAATGCAGACCAGACTTTGACACCGGTCATACAGGGACCTAGCAGCCCATATAAAAGAGCCCAGTACCCAATACTATCAGAGATTATGATTAAGTCAATGCCTCCGCTATGAACTTCACCACACGTCACTGGTGTTTAAATCAGGGTCAGCTGGTATAAGTAGCTAGTAAGATCTGATATTTACAATAAATTTGTTAAACAACTTTAAAAAAACAACCTAAAAATAAATACATTTTATAAATAATGTATCACTTTTTTTTAAATTAAATTTTTCATACTGACATACATAGATTAACATAACAGATCAAATTCCCACCCATCCCTCACCATCCCAAATCGGCACATCATAAAGCACTTACAAAGTCAAAACAACGTAAGTACATCATAAAGTGAATACAAGATCTCAACCGTGGCAGGTCTGTCATTAACAATTTTTCATTGAAGGGATTTTAATACAGGATTCCATATTTTCTCAAACAGACTGACTTTTTATCTTCATTGTGATATCTCAGTCTTTCCAGATGCAGAGTGTTTGTTAGTTCCCCCAACCAGAGATCAAATGTGGGCACAGAGTCCTTTTTCCAAAATCAACCTTTTGGCAATCACCGTTTTCTCCTGCTTAGTGGCTGGAGACCCCAATCATTGCAATAAGTGGTTCTGGGTCCCATTTCTTTCCAAAAGCTGTTGGGAAAAAAAATGAAAAATGTTCTTCCAAAATGAGTGAAGCTGAACACATAACCAGAAGGAGTGTGTCAAGTTACCAATAGCCGCTGGCAGCGATTCCAAAAT